GAGTATGTAACTCTTTACCCATTTTAGGTTGAATTAAGAAAGTTTACTCAGCTGCTCCTCCGTGGGCTGATATCACGATAAGCTCTTGAAAGCTTTTGAGTAAACCATATCTCTTAAGTTCATGATTCAACCTAACTTCCTATGTCATCGGATTTACTCGACTCGAAAGCTGTGACTCTTAACCCATTTTGGGTTGAATTAAGAAAGTTTACTCAGCTGCTCCTCCGTGGGCTGATATCACGATAAGTTCTCGAAAGCTTTTGAGTAAACCATATCTCTTAAGTTCATGATTCAACCTAACTTCCTATGTCATCGGATTTAGCAAGAACCTTTTTTTTGCAAAATGTAAATAGAAACCATGTAGAATTTCCATTCTGGTCCAAAAAATAGTTGGTATTTAGAAAGATAACTATCCTTTACGTGTCAACATGTTCAGATGTGTTTCATATCCACGCAAACTTACAAAATGGTCTGGGGAAAATTGTTTGAAAATGTAAAAATTTCGAGAACCATCAGTTTTTAGATATGTTTCATGCGTGACTAAATGACAAAGAAAAGAAAACAGAAGGAAAAGTAACTCAAACTGTAAATGTTAGATTTACGTGGTTGACTTTTTGATTGAAGAGAGTATTTTCACAGTTGAAATGCACAGATTCTTTAAAATTACACTGAAGTTTTTCTGGAACTAGAATCTTTAATTTCGAAGCAATGTGCAGAGCAGGACCTAAGGAAAGCTTCTCAATTTTAAATATGTAAAGGACCTCTCACTGCGATGTCTACGATGGTTATAAATATTATTTCCGCTGGTGTAGCAAACCGTTACAGTATGCACAAGTACAATTTTTGTAATAAACTGAACAACACAGTGCTGAGTTTCAAAATGTTTCTTACTAGCGCCTTGGAATTAAATTACTTGGAATTATCCAAATTAACAATTTGCTGGTGCATCATCCGTTACATACATCATCCGCACATCATCCTTCCATAGCATAGACCCATTATCCTACATATAAATTTAACACACACAACGCAAATTCTTCGCTTTGCCTCAAGAGAGGCTAACACTGTAATCATCAGTTTTACAAAATTCGCCTCAGCGGTTGTCGCGTAACTTGATCAAATATCGTTAAAAAAGTTGTGGTCAATTTACCACCGTAAAACCTCAGGGCATAAACCTCACAACAAGACTCATTGAACACAAGCAAACGATAAAAAAATGGTGGTGTTATTAATCAAATTGCTTAACTGGAGCTCTGTGCAGTACCTTGCCTACTACACAAACAATTTAATGACTCTGGAAAGGTAATTCACTTTCTTAAAACAAACTACCCTCAATACATATGCACCATACAAACGACTTACTTAGGACATTTAAACCAAAAACGAACCGGATAGGACGACCCAACATTACCGACGGGTCGAACCCGACCAATCACGACTGACTTATGCCACTTGAGACTTAAAACTAACCTATCAGTTTACACGAACCGGACCTAAAATATTCGACTGACACCGAGTCTTCACTGAATTCCGATGATGATTTCCGCTCAAATTATCGAAACGCCATTCAGTACCACCGACAACAGTCCTTCTCAGGACTACTCACACCTGGACGAGACTACTCGATGAAATGTTACCCCGCGTTCAAACATGTACCATATTGCAAAGTTAATTACGAGTAGTAGTCTAGTAGGCTGCATGGTGTTTATTGTCGTTTTCTGTTGTGAAGTCATGGCAGAAACGGAATTCTTCCCTTCGTCTTGGAGTTAAAATTGTGTTGTACGCACGAAATTTAACGAAGTTGAATCTTTTCTGTTTGTTTTCAAAGATTCATCAGTCTAATGGATCATACAAAAAACAAAACAAACCACAAGAATATAAAAACATGAATTTAAGGATTTTCCGGTTTCAACAAGTTGATATGGCTGCCATAGTCAATTTAATCGGGTGATTACATAATCTTATTATATATATGGTTTTGCATGGCTGCGTAATGCAGCTCGGCTGGCTTGTTAGGCCAAAGCATGGTTATTTAATCTCCTTGACTCCGCTAGTCTGATAAGAAACAACTTTTTGCGAAGGAGAAATTGACACGCTGAGAGCAGACAACATGGGCATCTGGCCGAACTCAACCCTTGAAATTTCTATTTATTTCGCTATCGCGCCTTTCCCCTCGTCTGCCAGCCGCGAATATAAGCTACCGTTATTAAACTTCTACAAGGATAGAAAAATGAAAAGAGGAAAGAAATGTGGAATTATGTGAATTACCCCACAGGAGTAGAAATTGAAGAGCTAGACAGTAATTTATGCCTGGCACATGTATAAAGCAGTGAATATCGTGTTTAACCTCAAATTCTACTTTGGGTTTTTTTGGCAATTTTAAATACATAGCCTTAAATTAGAATACCACTCTGAATACAAGCGAGTTGAATCTTTGATAGAAGAGCAGCAAGGTAAAGCAATCTAAGCTTAAAAAGTGGTTCAAAAAACTGCTGACCTACTTAACTGAGCTGCATGCTTATTCAAGAGTATTGATTCATCGACATAAGTGAAATGAATAAACAACATGTGTCAGGACAGCTGGGCTTTTTCACAAGGCACGTGCGTTCTATTATTAAAGTAATTCAACCAAATCTGTTTGGTGTGCATCTCTGAGTACATCTTGTGGCTATGTGATCGCACAGGGGAAAATTGCTGCAACCGTAAGCCGAGCTTACACGGCCTCCTCTTGGCTACACTCCGAAATAAATCATTAGGAAGCAACAAAAGTTTGTTCTAAAAAGTTTAACAGCATGCGCCTTTTATCTTGCCTGTAATATATTCCGGTGTGAAATGTTTCTTTTAAGAACTAAATTCTCTCCACAATGGTAAGTAAACAGAAACTCGCGATCAAATCGATATTCACATGTTATGCATAATCGTTATGAACTTTTACGCTTCTTGACCAATAGCAACTTGTTTTTTTCCTCTCTTTTGTCTTCTCTTTTCTTTATTTTTTCATGTTTCCTGCGACGAGGCGTGCTAATGGTAAGAATCGGGCGGACAAATAGTACCCCGGCAGAAGTGTAAAACTTGTCAGCGTGTCCAATTTGTTGTTCTTTGAACAATGAAAAGCTTTGAAACTCTTAAACAAAGCACACGATAAAGAACAATTAACATAAATCATCATTACCGAGCACTGGTTAATTATAATTCGAAAAATTCCTTCATTTTCAATCAATTTAACTTCTTAAGGAGTAGGATTCAGTTGGCAATACTAATTTGCATAACTTAAGTTTAGGTTCTTGTGAGATCTTGTTGTGAAACAAACCCAGGCAGTCTCTTCCTTTTACTACAATTGCTAGAATTTATCTGAGAGTGCTTCCTTAACACCACGAAACAATGCTTTCCAACTGGATAAACGTGAGTCTTCCACTGACCATCTTACTCATTTTTTGTGGAACTTCTGAAACCACGCGGCAAGGTTAGTTCCCATCCGTGAACAGTCTCAATACTAAACACCACTGACTTTCTGTGATATTTAACTTCCTAGAACTGGCCCTAAAGTTGCCAGCTTATTTTGGTTTCCTTAGTTTAGAGAAATTGGCGAACCGTACAACAAGCGATTACTGCAAAAGTAGGACTAACAGACGCTCTGAGCGGATCATATGAAACTGACCTCTTAAGGGCACTGATGTTAACTTAATGAAACTCGCGTCTATGACTCCGTTCTGAGGCTATATAGAGCATTTCAGAACTGAGCTAAACGAAACGTTAATTTAAAAAAATCTAAACGTTTATATATTTTAGGCCGTATGAAGACCATGTTTTACAGTGTTCTGTAGCACGCTTTTATTGGCAGACCAGTATCGTTTACTTGGAAAAAAATCGGTCTGTATTGTCTTTCCCTCTTTCTTACGGTGTAAGAAAATCATGTTTTCTTCATCTCCACAATATACACAAAACATAAGGCGTCTATAAGAATTTGACTGAATTACCGCGCAATGTGTAGTTGGACAAACGCACAACGTGTGACTACCAATCTAATTGAAATTTCGACACTAAAACTGTAAAGCGGGACTGACGGAAGTGTCTATAAATTTTTTAAAATTCCATTACGTCCTTAAAAGGAACAGTCGGTAAATAGCTCTTGTGTATATCACAGATGGATTAATGGAAAAAAACGGCAAGAAAAAAATTTACATCCTAAAAACTAGTCAAACAGAAAAAAGGAAATAAACTGACGAACTGCAATAGACTGCAATGACTTTAAGAAGGAAATTTGTACTGCCTTCGAGCAAGTTCTCATTATTAACGCTGCAAGATGCGCGTTTCCCCGCTGATCTACCATGATTCTCGTCTCTATTATCACCAATATCATTGAAATGCTTCACTCTTGATCTGTCCAATTGAATTGACTGAAGAGACAAACAAAAAGGAAAATAAGTTTCAAAGTTTTAAAATGATAGTGATAACAATTTACTCGCCGATATCAAGCGATTTTTCTTTGAAATGCTCAATCTGGATGCACATGTTCAGGTCATCTAAACCACGAACGATGCACAGCTAAGCTTTGTTAATAATGTTGTTTTTAGTTAAATAAACCATATCAAACAGCTTTTTGATTTGAAATTGAGGATGTAGTGAACTAGAAGTCCTCTTTGAAAATAAACGGAAACATATGAGCACAACAGCACAATGCATCATGGGATTACAGCATCAACGGCACAGAGCATCATGGAAATGCAGCATCAACGACGTAGGGCATCATGGTATTAAGGAGCAAACAGATTCACACAGTGCCCCCAAAAACTGACGTACCCCATTAAAAAAGCTCTTTCCAGAGCTGAACACGGTTTTAATTTGGTTTCTTCACGAAGCTGCTTAAGCCATAATCAAAGCTTTGTTAAGAAACGGGGCCCATTTACCCAAAACGAACGAGAAGTTACAAGGAATTTAATACTTGGCTTATAATTTCCCTCATGCTTGTTCGCTAATACATTTATTTCCTGTGATTAATTTTTTTAGGCTGTAAATTTACCTTAACACAGAACAGGGGCACATTCCAAACTCCGAACTTCCCTGAAAAATACCCAAATGGTGTCCAATGCATTTGGAACATTAAAGTACAAGTGGGTCGATTCGTTCTACTCTCTTTCGACACATTTGTGTTAGAAAGCTTTAATGGAAAATGTATTGATATGGTAGAGGTCAAGGATGGAAGCAAGTCCACGGATCAACTGCTTGGTGAGAGCCAATAATCCAACCCCTTCTTCACTTTTACTCTTTATTACCGCCGGTTTATAAACTCACCTATGCGCACAGTTGTTGCAGTTTACAACCTCTTAATCAGAATATTTTTGGTTAAGGAAACAGTGGCCGGGATTGAGTTCACTGCATTGTAAAAAAAACCGTGGTCGTTTTATTTTTTTACTTTCTTCGAATATTGCAATTTATTGAGACAGGACCCTAAACTATAGTCTGAATTCCTCATAAAGACTTAAATAACTCAGTTTATCAACTTTCAATCTGTTTTTATTCATTCGCACAAAATGCAAATAGACTTCACTGGCTGCTTCTAAGATCCCAAAATGGATACCTTACATGAAACATTTTGTTTTTGCACTTCAGTTCAAATCATCAGCCTTCGACGAAAAATTTAATTTCACTGGTGATGGCAAGAAATTACTGACAGGAAAATTACAGATGAGGAAAACGCTGTAAAATAATTTATCTGGATGTCATGGTATTTTTCACAAACCACAGACAAGCTTAACTAAGATATGTTGTTCTTTCTTAAGGTACTTTTTGTAACGCCAGCCTCCCACCAAAGGTCATTACATCGAGTTCAAACAGCTTGAGGATTTGGTTTTTTTCTGACATGACAGACGCTTATAGAGGTTTTAATGCCTCCTACATCAGCCAATGGGAAAAAGGTAAATTTATATGGTTGTAATGTTTACTGAAGTACGTTCAACACTGCAAAATTGGTTGGCTTTCACAAATCCCTATAAAGTTCGATAAAAGTGCGTCTTTCAACGAAGAAAGTCTTATGAATAGGGATGTGAATAAAAGGGGTAAGTTTCTAAAGAAACTGTGGTGCTGCGTCGGTGAGAGAGTATAGCAGGTAATTTAGTGTTAAGAACTGAGTTGAAAACGTAAATTGGCCACTGTAAAGGGTGAAAAAGCTGACGTTTCGAGCTAATTTATTCCTGTTTTCTCGTCACCATATTCCCACCAATAGCGTAGCTCCACTTCTGCATATAAACCCACACACAACCCACAATTCCTCCAATCGCTCTGAAAAAGGGCTAACGCTCGAAACGTCAGCTTTTTTACCCTTGTGCCCAATTTGTGTTTTCAACTCAGTTGTTAACACTAAATTATCTGAATGAGGATGTATTCAGTCTGTGAATAATCATTTGCTATGTATGAAAAAAGAACAAGCCGTTCAGGGATTTTATTCATACAAAATATTTTGATCCTTGTATGAAAGCTTAATGACATAACTCGATAAATCGTGATATGATCCAACGTGGTATGAGAAACCTGCACCCTTGTCAAATAAATAAATAAATAAAACAACTTTATGGCTTAGGAACTGCCATATCAAGGTCTTAGATTTAAAATTTGGAAAGACTCGATCCTATTGTCACACCAATTTGTAACAGGCGCTAAGTGTAATAGCCGCCAAGTTTTTCCCTGATCAGCGTAAACTAAGCTCTGGGAGGATACCTCATGATTGCGATCGCATTCAGAACTTTGAACAGCGGCAGTTTTCTCCTCTGCACTAAACACTTAAAGAAATCTCGTAAAATTTTTCTTGAGAGGATTTTCTCATTATTGCAGAGGATGCCTGAAAATTATATCATACTTTAAAATGATCGTTTAGCGAGGGTGGAAGAAGATCAGAATGTATTAAAAAGGAATGAGGATGGGTAAGGATGCTCTTTCGTGAGCTACAAGGAACGCTGTGGTGAGCAAGGCCATATACTAAGTTCCTATGTGAAACACGGCCAGCATGCTGCTAGGATCAGGAATGTCGAAAGCATAGAGTGAGTAAACAAAAACATTCTTCGATGTCACGTGCTCATGAAAAGAAAAAAATCATCTTTCTACATTTCATTACGGAGTTCTAAATTCACCATCCTCTTAAGTTATTTCTCGAATGACGTTCTCAACATTGTTGATCCAAGTGGTATGCAGAACCTGTGTCACATATGAACTTAAAAATGGCCTAGTCTATCATAGAACTATTTTCAACCAAGTGAGAGAGCATTGGAGCGCAGACTCCCATTTTTTTAAAAAAAAATCGAAAACATATTTCTTGAAGCTACTTGAATGATAAGCTATACTAATACAATTCTAACTTTTAATTCAAAATACAACACTTAATCTAAAATCTATATCTTTATTAGGCTGTGGTGGTTCCGTCACAGACTTCCCTGGGCGAATTTCATCGCCTCGATACCCAGATTATCCTTATCCCAACTCCATGCTATGTGATTGGACTATCTCTGCACCACGGAACAAGTTCATTCGCCTTGAAGTTTATGATTTTAAAGTAGAGTTCAGATGCGGAGGAAAGTGCACTTGTCCTGATCGTCTACAATTATGGGACGGACCAGAATTCAATGAGACAGAGCTTGGAAGGTGGAAACTAACTCCCGTGTTCGTAGTAAATACCTTGCTATTGAACTTTCAACAAACTGAAACACAACTCCCCATATCAGTAGTTTCGTATTGATTGTCGACTCCGTTTTTCAAGAAAACACTCTTTATTATTCCTTGCTAGTGTATATTATTGTGTTGACTGTTTAAATGTAAAGTTTTGTTGTTGTGTCATATCATGATACTTTAAATGTAAAGTTATTTGTTGTTGTGCCATATCATGATACTTTAAATGTAAAGTTTTGTTGTTGTGCCATATCATGATACTTTAAATGTAAAGTTTTGTTGTTGTGCCATATCATGATACTTTAAATGTAAAGTTATTTGTTGTGCCATATCATGATACTTTAAATGTAAAGTTTTGTTGTTGTGCCATATCATGATACTTTAAATGTAAAGTTTTGTTGTTGTGCCATATCATGATACTTTAAATGTAAAGTTTTGTTGTTGTGCCATATCATGATACTTTAAATGTAAAGTTTTGTTGTTGTGCCATATCATGATACTTTAAATGTAAAGTTTTGTTGTTGTGCCATATCATGATACTTTAAATGTAAAGTTTTGTTGTTGTGCCATATCATGATACTTTAAATGTAAAGTTTTGTTGTTGTGCCATATCATGATACTTTAAATGTAAAGTTTTGTTGTTGTGCCATATCATGATACTTTAAATGTAAAGTTTTGTTGTTGTGCCATATCATGATACTTTAAATGTAAAGTTTTGTTGTTGTGCCATATCATGATACTTTAAATGTAAAGTTTTGTTGTTGTGCCATATCATGATACTTTAAATGTAAAGTTTTGTTGTTGTGCCATATCATGATACTTTATATGTAAAGTTTTGTTGTTGTGCCATATCATGATACTTTAAATGTAAAGTTTTGTTGTTGTGCCATATCATGATACTTTAAATGTAAAGTTTTGTTGTTGTGCCATATCATGATACTTTATATTGTTTAGTTGATAATTCTCCTTATATTATTGTTTCCATTCTCTAATAACGCAGTGATAATTTGTTTCCTTTTTCTCGAGATTTTTCTTTTGTGTTACACTCATGTTAGTTTATTAATTCAGTTTCAAGTATTCAGTGAATCTGTTTATAAAATGGAAATGTATTATTTCCCATGGTACAGTTTCTGCGTGACCATCCTTAAAGTGATTGTTTCGAAAACCAATCGGATGCGGTTGCGCTTCGCAACAAATGAAGAAGGACGCTTCGAAGGCTTCCGATTGTCGTACACAACCTCTGTCACACCAAGTGAGTGCCCAAGAAGTGTTTTCGTCAATGGAGTGACTACCTACTTGTATATGGCTTAAGATTTTTGAAGAAAATCCTCCTATTTAGTTCGCTTCTAATTTACTTTCATGAAGATAACTGCGTAAGCGATCTTCAAAGAGTCTTATTGCTATCTTAATCTTCATAGTTTCCCAATCCTTATGATCAGTGTCCTAATCCTAATGGTGCGCATATGGTGTTCCAATCGCTAGAGTGTCTATGATATCCCAATCCTTACGGTTTCCTTATCGCGTTCCTATCCTTTTGACGACTCAATCCTTATGGTGTCCGTTTGTTGTTCCAGTCCAAGTGTCTATATGTTTTCCAAATGCTCATGATGTCACAATCCGTGAGTTGTTCATACAGCGTTCCGATCCATTCGTGATCTCCAAATCTGTTGAGTGTCCCTATGATTTTCCAACTTTATATGACGACCAAATCCTTAAGGTGCCAATTAATGTCCTAATTTGAAGGATTTCTCAATCCTGATGGTGTCCATATGGTGTCTCAATCCTTATGGTGTCCCCATGGTGTCCCTTGCCCTCTGATGTCTTCATCCTTCTGGTTTCCATGCAGCGTTTCATCGCTCCTGCTGCCCTTGTATTTTTCAGGTTGTGGTGGAGATTTTACCGGTAAGAGTGGCTCGATCATATCTCCAAATTACCCGAGGTCTTTTCCTTCGTTTTCTGACTGTGTTTGGCGGGTAAAAGCGCCCATTGGCCGTTACATATCACTACGGTTTCAAGAATTTACTGGAATCAACGGCACAAATTCGAAATGTTTAGTTGACTCAATAGAAATAAGGGAAGGACATTCAAGTGAAGCTCCGCTCATAGGTACGTAGAGTGACAGCAGACTTCTATTACAAATCCAGATACTGCCTTTATGATGCCGTTCTCATTTCCCAAATTATGATTTGGTTACTCCCTTGTCGTTGTGCATATTAATGAGTTAAGAGGGTTAATTTAATTCCATATGACTATCATTGTTTTTTTTCCTCAGGTCGGTACTGTATTCAGAACATTCCGCCAGTCATTGTATCCAAAGGTCATAAAATGTACATTTATTTCAAGTCAAGATGTCATGAGTTTAAAGTAACAGCTCAAAAACACAGAAGGTTCAAAGCATTATTTCTGACTCACACAACAGGTAACGTAATAATCAAAGTCGATTATGTACCCCAAGAAAGACCTCACTCAAGCTCAGGCTACTAAATAAAACTGTGCTTTTTATTCTTTCAGAATGTAATGAAACAATCGGCCTCGAGGACGGCAGAGTCAAAAATTCTCAACTGTCTGCGTCCTCCTACTACACTCTTCAGCTTGGTCGAGGTCAGCTTCATCTTTCTCCTTGGCACGGGAGAGTGGGGAATGCTTACTCATGGTGTAGCCAGGTGAAACATTGATCACTAAGTGGTTGTCGATTCATCATAATATTCTAACAAGGTTTCTAGAATACAGATAAAATTATTTTTCATATAAACACAATGTTTACTTCCTTAACACAGGCACAAACACCTAACAGGATGATTGACGAATATCTTCAAGTTGATCTGTTGAAATTGACCGACATCACTGCCATAGCAACACAGGTAAACTAAGATTTCTTACTTTGTTGGTGAAGTTAGAGGAGACTCTGCTCTGCCCCTGTCCTACAACATATGGTGTGATTTGGCATACGTGTGAAGCGAAATTAAATTTCTTTTACCTACAAATCCTACGTACGAGAGTCAATATTCCTAGGCGGGAAAATATTGGAAATTGCCATAATCTCCTTCCAAATTGATTTTGAACCGCCATGAACTAACACCCAGTTTATAAGCCAGGCCCATTTTATAAAATCGTCGGTCTGACGACTACACTTCAATCTCAGCGTGACTCTTTTAAACTTTTGGAAGGAAAACGAAGAAAAAAAAAGTTAGCTGACATCGAGATATGTCAAGTTAAAATGTAACAGTTAAAAGCTCAACGCTCAGGCATCAGCTTGTCTCTATTGAAAAGGGTTATCGACTGCTTGGTACCGCATACATGGGATATGTGTCAAACTATAGACTGCAATATACATATGACGGAAGCCACTGGATTCCTTATATGAACAACATTAAAAACAGCACCAGACGGGGATACACAGTAAGTTTAAGATTGCTATGTTGTTCGGTTTTTGTTAGGTTTGATTTCAGTGCTTTTGTTTGTTTGTTTGTATCTTTTTTCTTTTCTTTATAGTATCAAAATTGCATGCGATACTTTATTTACGTTGCTGTTTTATTTCATTCTACCCACACTGTCCCTGCTTTCCCTTCATCAGGAGTTCAGAGGGAATTCAAACTTAACAGATATCAAGAAGAATCTGTTAAAACCGTCCATAGTAGCGCGAAGGATTCGAATATTTCCAACTGGTTACCAGAGTATTCCTGTTCATCACGTGTGTCTTCGGGCGGAACTGTACGGCTGTCGTTATAACCTAGGTAAAACCAAAATTCCTTCATTTTATCTCTACTCGTCATTTTATTTGTTTGATTACAATTACCTTATCACATTTGCCAAGAAACCCATTGAATAATCTCACCGTTATTACTAGTTGCTTACAAAGTGCGGGAGCTGAATTACCATTGATTAGTTTCGTGTCGCATTTGCTGTCTTTCCTTTTCCCGTCTGTCTATTGTTTTTCTCCCCTCTTTTCGTTTCTCATTTATTCATTTATCTGTTGGGCAACCATTACAACTTTTACTCGGGAAGTGCGGGGTTTGTCACTTGCGCAGTATATAAGAAAAACGGTGTCAATCATCAATAATCACCATGTAGTTCTCAATTTGTATTTTTTTTGATGGCCTCTGAAATCAATTACCGTCAGCATGTGGAAGTATTATTACTCCAGCGAAGCAGAGCAAAATATCAGTCCGTGGATCTGATCGACAAACCAAAGAGTGTACTTGGTTATCAATTCCCAGTCAGCCAAGCCCACAGAATGAAGTCATAACCTTTCACTTCACTTACTTTGATGTACCATGCAAGCATGGCCACGTGATACTACTCGCCAGAGATGATACCCAAATACAGAAGTTTTGTGGCGCAGACCCTCCTCAAGTGTCCAGTCTTCCTGCAACTAGCCAAATAATGGTGAAACTAAAGCTTACGAAAGGAGCGGCTGTATGGGGATTCGACCTAAAGTACAGAACTGAGTACTTAGGTAAAATCGTACTATAGCAACCCGTCAAATCTCAGCTATTGCTTCCATTCCCCCGACTATGGGCCCGTCTATAAAAGCCCCAATAAAAATTGTCTTTATATCTTAATCAAGATAGGACGGAAAACTTTTTTGCCCCTCCTTCCGACATTAATTGTTCGCTCCGTTTATATACTCTGGATTATACACAACGTATAATTGCATTTTTTACTTTCTAGGATGTGGAGAAATAATTAGAGTGACTGAAAGCGGTACTGTGACGTCACCAAACTATCCTTTGTCGTATGACAACGATCAGACCTGCACGTGGCTTTTCTCCTCGGAACCTGGGTCAAAGATTACACTGAGATTCCTCGAATTTGATCTGCAACCAGCCAATGGATCAGAGTGCCTTGATTTTGTTCAGATTCAAGAGGGTCGACTAAGTAAATATTGTTTGTGATGTTGCCTTAAGACAAGATGAGAGGTTTTGCTGGTACTCAAAGAGTAATTTGTACATTTATTGCTGTTATTAGCTTAGTAAAAGCTATACAGAGAGATATTTCTGTGATTAATAATTTTTCCATGAAAGAGGAATTTAATTAGGAAAAACAGCAAGAAGCATATACATGCCTTTATCACGCTCCCTGACGGAGATACAAAGATGAATCAATAAAAATCGTTACAAAAGAAACTGAAATAGAAATTACGATAGAAATCCTGCCTACTCAACTCAAGAATTAAGATGGCAAAATACTATTTGTAAAAAAATAAAAGACTCTTTGTAGAAAGGGATGCTTGATATAAGGAATCTCTGGAAGTCTCACATTTACTACTTAGAAATTGTGAGTCTTAAAATTGATAGTTTCATGATGCCATGTAACAGAGTTATTTCGTACGTTCTGATTTTACTCCTGTTTCAGATCCTACGACGGTTTTGAAGAAATTCTGCGGAAACTCTGTCCCCAATCAAGTGGTATCCACCAGCAATCACTTACGCTTCACTTTCCACAGTGACAATACAACTAACGGGAAAGGCTTCTTTCTAGAATATGGTCTTTATTTACCCACTGGAAACGGCTCTTTATCCTCCCAAGACCAATCAGGTGGGTCACTGGTTCCTTTCATTGCAGTAATTTTCTATTCTTCACCTAAAGTGCTCTAGTTCATAATCTGAAAAGCTTCAGTGTGGGTAAATACAAAACTCGCCCGACCAAAAACGAGAACGTTATTACGTTTTCCTTCCATCCATCCAAAACGAGAATGCTATTACGTTTTCCTTCCATCCAGTATAGGGGAAGAAAAAATTGGGCGAATGAAATTTTGAGATTAGATATGTGAACTAAATGTTGGAGTGGTTGTTTTGAGGATCAGGTGAAAAGGGGGAAAAGGGTGATTTGAACAGAGGCAAACGTTCCTGCATCTTCTTCCCGTTCTCGTAACAAATTTTAACTCTCTTTTTAATTAAAAAAAAAATTGAAGTTGATGATTTTTCCTGTTTCCTATTAAAGATGGATGGGCTAACAAGGTTCCCTCTTTCTTTAAAGGACAAATAGATATCGCACTGGCTGAAACACCAACCGAAGGAAGTCAACACAGCTGCGTGGGACACACGAGCGGCGTACAAGCTTTTCTAATCTCTTTAAGCTTTCTTTATTTATCAATTGAAATACTGTAAATTACGACTGATGTAAGTCGACATGTACTGTACTAAACAAAATTAGCCTAGACTATAAAGATGACAAGTCACGAAACAAGCTGAAAGGAGTGGCGAAAAGTTTAATGCAAAAAGTTTTCGTAACGTTTCAATCATAAAGGTATTAAATTTATTAAAAAAAAAAAAAAAAAAAAAAAAAAAAAGGTTTAAGCCAAGGCTGTTGGTGAGGTGAAATCGAAGTAATGATATTCATCTCTGTTCGAAATAACGCAACTCTCTTCGTATGAGATTACTGTTGCTTCTTTTCCGATTAAAAGTCTTGTTACAATATGTGTCTTATAAGGAGGCTTATAACTTCAAACTAAATTTCCGATATCGTTTTGGAATCTGTGCGGATTTACCCTATCATTAGTCTTTCCATTTTGGCGTTTGTCTTCTCTGGAACTGACGAAATACCATTCGATTGGTACAAATCAAACTCAATAAGTACGAGTTACAAACGAGTGACGAATCGGAAAATGTTTTGGAGTCAACATAAAAACTGGACACATGAATTTCCATGACGCCATTTTCATACTAACAGTTACAGTAATCACCGCATTTACACTTAACTTCAGCCCGGTGGGCCCCTATAGTTGGGCTAGCATAACTTTTGGCATAATTTGGAAAAAAGAGAATAATTCTTCTCTTTTTATAAAAGTAGCACTGTTTTGTTTTGTTTTTTCCTTTTTTGGAAGGGAACATCACCAGAGTCACGACATGACTTGATTAATTTCAAGTTCGGTCCATGATCCAATCTCTCCTGATTTTGACACATAGTCACCGCCTCTAGTCTGGAATTAAACGCAGTAGTTAATCCTGTGTTGTATATTAGAGCAAGTATATAACTCAAAGTGAAGAAAGTATCATGCTTTATTAACAATAAATTCATGTGTTTTGTGCTTCTTTGAAAAGCATACTTAAAGAAAAATAGCATAATTTTCAAAAATGAGCAAAACTTCTAGCTCACTCTGGAAATAAATCGAGCAATGCTAGTCAGCATAATATGCTGCTTTTACGAGCACAACCTATAAGGGCCTGGCTTGGGTCGTTACATATACAAATTTTTGCGCAATTCGGTTGAAAGAAAAGGGACAATTGGGCAAGAGGAGTGGTCTCGTGGTCGAGAAGAACAACATCCTAGATCCAGATCCTTCCCGTTTTAGGATCAATTTCGCGTTTGCTTTCCTTCCACCCTTGTAAGAGAAAAAAAAGAAACAAAGTAGTCAAGGCGGACTGAGTGAGGGTTAAAATTTTTTTTTATCCATCTGTCCTTTACCTCCTCTCATTTTACCTTCCTATTCTAGATTTCAATATCTGCTACTGCCACGGCAAAGTTCATGGGTACTAATGTGACAGATATAAAGTTACATGAAGTTGGAGACATTTGATGAATAGTTTATTAACCTAACGCTACCACTGGTTTACGTCCCTGAACTGGATTTTTTTCGCTGAGCGATCCTCTCGAGAAAAAAAAAGTGATTTTTATCTCTCAGAACTCATTTTACATTGAACAAAATTGACGACTTAATTTGGTTTATGAGGCAATTCCTAAACAAATTGTGGGGTTGACTAAAGGAGATAAGTTTAGGTTTTGGTGTTATTAACTGAGTTGATAATGTAAATTGACCACTGTAAAAAGTCTTTAAAGGTGCTGTGGTGCTGCGTCGGTGGGAGAGTATAACAGGGTAATTTAAAATTATCAACTGAATTGGTAACGTAAATTGGTCACCTCTCTGAGAGGGGCAAACGCTCCAAACGTCGGCTTTCAATTTACCTGATCAACTCTGTTGATAAAACCAAATTACCTTGTTTTCATCAGAAGGGTTGATTACCGAGTCCAGTGACGGTCCATAATGACCGACAGCCAAGTATTTTCCCGTTCATCCCGACCAAACTCACTCAAAGCGCAGTTTGAATTATGACCACTAAATGTTGGAAATTTTAAAAATTTTTTTTTAACCCAAATAGGATCTAGTAGTATGCAAAATAAGGGTGCGCACTGGACATCCACTACAGGAAACACTTTTCCTCTATTGCTACGAGTCAGACCATGAAACTCAAATTCACCGAGAAGCACGACTCATTTCCTCATTTGTTTTACTTTCAGCTGCAGTATTCAATTTAAATTCACGCTCTCGGAAAATGCGAAAAAGCCATGTGAGTACAGGACCGGATGGCTTTTTCTGGACCGGCTTACGGCAACCCATCCGGCCCTACACAGGTCAGCTTTCACTCTGGTTTCCTTTGAGATTGTGCGCACGGGGCTATACGGGTCATTTGATAAAAGTTTGATTTGATCGGTTTTCGTTAATTGAGAGGCTTTTGACTTTTTAGAGGATAAGAGATGACGGAACTTTTTTGTAATGTGCAGTTCTTCCCACTTTCTTCCCCGTCTTAAAAAAATCACTCGTCACAACGTTTGAAGGAATTTATTAAAATGAAAGACGAAACTCTAAACCATCCTCAGCAGGACTTCGAAATCGTAGAAAATGGAAAAACAGTTAGGTGAAAGTAACTTCGTCTTCGAGTGAGATTACTTCCGAAGACGTGGTTGGTAACCTCGATCTCAATTGAGATCTTCACCGACAACATAACACACTCTTCCTACTTCAGTCCCAACGATACGCTCGGTGCAAGATTTGCCTATATTATCTGAATTAGTAACCACGAAAACTACGACTACACCACAGTGCTTGTCTATTTTGCTCAACTTGGGCCATACAACAAATTAAATCTTTCACAACTGGCCGAAAAAAAAAAAATTTATATACCACCGCCCGGCCTTTGTGTGTCACAGGTCTTTCTTTTCCAAGACAAGTAATTCGGAATTCGTTAGATGAGCACCAGTTTCATTAATAACATTCTAACACCTTCATGATATGCTGAAAACCACTTCAGTGAACCAAAATTTGCCAAAGCCAACTCAGAATTTGGTTGGTCTCGAGAACAAATGGGGCAGATTTAGACACTATTTTGCCGCAATCAACTTTTACAGCTCACTCTCTTTGCGTCGTGCGTAAGTCGTGTGAAGTTAAAAGTCGCTCTTAAATTTTAAATGTGGCTTGTACCTTCGAAACAAACATTTAAAAGATAAATAAACCGAAATTACTACGAATATCGTCATCAGTCAGTAAGCACCCGCTTCAAAATAAAATCAAATAACCAGAAGAAAACGAGTTCTGTGAGTTTTACACTCTATCCTGCTTTAAATGTTGTTTCGTTCCATTTTTTTTCTATGTGAAGTAAAAATAATTGGTAATACCTGGTTAAAGCTAGGTAAAACCTTTCTCCAATACCTTTGCCACTAACAAAAATAGACCAAACTTAGTAAACAAGTTTCTTGTAACATATAAATTACAATTCATTTTTATATTCCTGGTAAGCGCCAACGACCTTACGAAGGGTAGCCTTGATTACTCTTAGTTCGCTTACCAGTGTACAGGCTATCAACTGTTTCAAGCTCTCCCTAAATAAATGGAATATTTGCTTTCTTTGAAGACACTTAACAGCTGAAGCATACAAAACCAAGACAACATTTTTTCGATACAAAATTAAAGTAGCTTCTGTTACTTGTAATGAATTGAAGAGGTACATTTAAATTTAAGACGAACAAGAAAATAGCCAATTATCATATGCATAGCCAAGGAATGGTGAATTTCTGCCATCTCGGTGCCTCCCAAAGTAGGGTGGACTCGTCTTTTACTCAGTTATTTATATCTTCTGCAAGACTCTGTTAACGATGGAAAAGCATGATCTCAGTGCCTTTACGGTTTGTTTAGAGACTGAACTGAAATTCAACATTAGCCAATGGGTATGTATACTAAAAAGCAATATCATTATTCTAATTGCATATGCTAGGCCAAAGTTTGATTGTCGTCAACTTGTACCACTTTACACTTATGACTCATTAGATCTCTGTTTGCTATACTACCGATGGGGCACTTGTTGATGTGGCGCAGATTGCACTGGATATGGTTGACCCACCACATTAGCAGCCGGTGCAAATGGCTGTGGCATTCTTACAACGTACTGTCCACTAGCGTTCGAGCTAGCGTTTACAGGAACTGGCCACGGGGGCTGAGGCTCTCCAACTGGATGCCACTGGTGTTCGTCCATATTGGCAGCCCATTGAACATTATCCGGCCCATTGGGCCAAGGTCCATTCATAACAGCGCCACTATAATTTGTAACTGGAACTTGAGAGCCCTGAGGGGGGGCCTGCAAGTTCGAAAATGTGCTAGGGAAAGCTCCGATAGGTTGTTGAGAGACCGCTGTCTGGGGAACCACCTGCGATGCAGTTCTTGAAGGTCCTGGGGTTGGAGCTGTTTGTATTGGTACCTCTCGCTGAAGCTGGTTCACTTTGATCTGATTCAAACTCAATTTTGGTTCCACTTTTCCTCCCGTTGCCTGGCCCGCAACAGCAGAAGACGTAGGTTTTTTCTTTGTCTTGCTCTCGAACTGCGCTAATTGTTCGATTTCCTTATCGATACCAGAGAAAGTCTTTTTTGGAACGTTTGCATAGGCCGCGGAAGCCGACATTTCAGCGCTGCACCCATTACTCTTAGAATGATCATTGTACTCTGGTCCTTCCTCTGTACTACTCTTGTGACGAAGTGGAGGTTGCTGATGTGTTGCGCCCTGTTGTTGCTGTTGCTGCTGTCTCTCTTTTTTCATCTGAGCTTGAAAAGCGTCTTTCAATTGTTGCTGTTGCTGCTGTGTGCGTTGCTGGTGTTGTCGTTGTTTCTTCATTTCAGTTTTCTTTTTAAATTGCATTAACTCTTTCTCGTGTTTTTTTTCCAGCTCTTCTTTGTCTTTGCGTTGCCTGGCGAAAAAAGTTACACGTGAGTCCCACGAAAATTTGTCCGCATAAATAGATGGCCAAACTGTTTACAGTACATCATAAATGAAGACTTGACCGATTTCGCCATGTGCATCTTCTTAACTGCACGACCTTCACCCTTTACACCCTAACATAACTATGCATATTCTCCATAGTGTTCTCCATACATTTTCTATGGTACTGACAAGAGAATTTGTTGAACAATCTAGAGCTTCTTAAGTTGGTTATCATTTCCTTCAATCTCGCGACTTCAATTTGTGATCCAGGGGTGTTATCTTAAGAGAAGATAAATGCTAGTCATTCTAGAAGGGCTAAAGAGGTAACATTACCTTCGAAACTCAGTATTCAACTTTAGTATCCTACATAACTGGATGACCCGATACCCTTACAAGGAAAAACAATGGCGAAGAACTTCGGGTAGGAGTAAAAAGAAAAATGTAAAATTATCCTCCTCGCAATCCTTAACGTACTGGTAAAGTTCGCTGATATAGTTTGCGATAGAGAAACAGAACATCAAATTCACACTCTGAACCTTAAAGTTCGAAAATTTCCTCTTCAAAAACCTATCTCAAATTAAACTTGACTGTAATCTCTTCTCTGTTTTCTGGTGGATTACACGCGATTATGAAATAGCACTATTAAGGCTGAAATTGAACAAACGCTAGGCCCTTTACAGGATATCGAAGTAGGAAGACAAACACTGCACCTTGCAAGGAGTTTGTTTAACTCTTCATCTTCCTCAATGGTCAAGTCTAACGAGATATGTAGTCGATGTAGTCGCTGTTCAAAGTCGCTTTGGGAATGCAGCGACTTCGTTTTCAGTACTGGTTTCCTCTGCTGAGAAATAATAAGAAACTGCTTATAGAAGTTGTGAGAACTCTCCATGCGATTAACGTGACTAAACGTAGTGCATCTGTCCTATTTCCTCCTCCTTTTTTTCTGTTTCGTTTTTTTTTTTCACAAGGCGTAGCTTCTTCGTGTTAGCATATGTAACATTTACTATTTCAGAGAAGCCGTGTGCGCTCTCTACCTGCCCACATCTTACCTGGAATTAATCAATCTTTTTTCCGTATTTCTGAGTATATGTAAAGCAGATAAAAATTGCTGTTTTTATTGTTGTTTCGTTGAGTTATTATCGACAAACTCTGAGTCTGAACGAAGGCAGATGATCATTTTCTCCAGTTCCTGTAAAAACACTCTTTGATCTTAAGGGGTTACCCGGAAATGCAGCTTTTCATTAATTTTTCCTCGTGAATTCATGAGGTAACCAGTTCGCTGACGTCTTAAGTTGTTTCACCAACGTCATAAGGCCAGCGAACTGACCTGAGACGCTGGTAAAACGACCTAAGAGATTAACGAACTGGTCATAAGCCACAGAGCTGAAAGGACAAGATCAGTTAGTATACCAACAACACCTCAGGTCACAGGTCCAGGCTACACAATTACGTTACAATTGATACCTGATCTCCCTCTTGCTTTGCCAGTAAATGTCTAGCGCCATCAAAGAGCAAATCGCTTTGGCCACTGTTCTTTCTAACTGGGTCTTTACTAGAAGCTGCAGATGGACTATTTGAGCTCTGTCCCTCCAGTGGAGTTGTCTGAGGTGAACTGGAGGACGTGTGGGAAGTCATTGCACCTGGCTGAGAGCCCACTGAGTTAAGGCTTTCCATAGATGAGCTGGGAGTTAGAGATGGAACTGATCCCATAACTGCAGCAGTGGTCACATCTGAAAGGGTTACATCTACAGGTGCTAGCGAAAGCCTTGCATTGTCTAAAGTCTCCAAGAGTGGCGTGTCAGGCCTATCGGATGACGCGGAAATGGTGAATCTTCCCTGAACATATTCACTCGCTGACGACGTGGCTCTTACCTTTTCGTTTGTAGCACTAATCGACAGCTCATCGTCCGACGAAGCAACAGACTCTATTTTGTGCTTGTCAGGATTAAGGTCCTCTCCAGATATCTGAGATTCAAATTTTACCTGGTGTAATGGTAAAGATCGCCCCTCGGAATTAGAATTATCAACCGGGTGAAAAGCATATGTTGGGGTCTGTGGCCTTGAAGAATTTGCAGATGGTATAATTTGAAGTTGTTCTTCCCCCTTTGAAACTTGAATATCAAAACTAATTTGCATTTGATTATCGTTATGTAAAGATGGCGAAGGCAGTTCAGTGTCTGACTTTTTATCAAGTCTTTGATCTACCAACGGAGCTGTACTAGCTGCTTCTAGCTGTAGACGGGATGCACTGTCTTTTTTTGATAGTTTCTCTTGAGCTTCTGTCTGATCACAAGGCTCCTGACTCAGTCCTGATTCTGAAGTTCTAGACATTTCTTTGTTAGATGCATCTGACGATACCCCACTCTCGTCACTGTTAGGTTTAAGGACTGGCGGTGATTTATGTTCATTTTTTGTCATCACCTCAGGTGATGACATATTTTTTAACACGGGATCTTGAACTTTTTTCACAGTAAAGCGTCGCGTGGGAACTCCAGATGAAGGCACTGCCGTCTGCATAACTTCCACAGGAAATTGACCGTTTAAAGTTTCACCATTTTGTGTGGGTGCGTTATCACTTCTCTGTGGTTCTTCGTTCGCTGGTTCAGCCACCACTAAATGTGGTTCTTTTCCTTTCTCCAAATCTTGATCAATCTGATGACCCGACTGAAAACTTTCTTCCCTAGAAGGGGAAGAGCTGATTTCTGAAGTTTGTGGTACTTGCTTATGAGGGACAGGATTCAATACCACAGGTTGTTTGGCTTTTTCTTCTATCTTTGTAATCAGCGTTGCAGGTTGTTTCTGAGGACCTTCCGAAAGTTGTTCAAGAGAATTAGGTTTCTGCTCATAGACTGCCGACTGTTTTTCATCTGGCTGTGATGCCTGTGATGGCTGTGGAATTTCAGCCACAGAAGGTTCATTTTCAGGCTGAATTGAACCTGAATCGGGATTTTTAACAGCTACAGAAGCGTCCACAAAGAAGGGAACTTCCTTTGGAAAAGGACTTTCCAATGACTAAAAAATAAGATGATAACGAAAAATTACATCTCCAGATTACTTTGACAAAAAAATCTACACGATTCAAAAATACTCTGCTCAGTAATTTGGGTATAGACAGAAGGTCATCACTGATGACAATCTATGGTAAAGTGTTCTCATCACTGCAGATTTGTGGAAATCTTTCTTACTTATTAATGCTGCCACAAATATCTAAGGTATGCCTAAGAAACCATAAGACGGGAAATCAAACGTTCATTGATTAATGGGCTACAAAGGCTGCTAATTGACCTTCAGAACAATACTCGACTAGACTTTTGCAATAGTAAGCCAAGAAACAATTTCATGCAAAGTGAGAAAACTACCGTAAAAGCCGACGTGAAAACTTAAAGAAATACTACAGTTAGGGAAGACTTGAATTTAAAGGAGTTCACAAACTGTGCTGTTCTGTCATAACACTTAGCCAGTTCTGACTGACGCAACGACATATTTCTACCAGGCCAACAAATGCACCTCAGACTACTATGTAATACACCCTACCTGCTGTGAAGGAACTCCAACAGAGATGCTTTCCGATGATATTTGAGTTTCCAGCACTGTCCTTTCACTCGCAGTTTCCGTTCCCGGTTGGCTCTTAGCTTTCTGTACCCTTTCTTTAGCCTCGATTATCACACGCCGAAGCTGGTCTTCAAACAGCTGTTTGTTGCACTCTTGTAAATGACCTGCTTCCATCTGACAATAAGACAACATATCGTCACCAAGCAGGAACAAAACTATGATCTAACAACCTTTTACTAAAAGAAGCTCCATACATAATGAACAGTAATCCTACACCAAGTCGGTAACTATCCACCCTTCTTCCCTGGAAAGAATTGAAGTGGATATGACTGTTGTTTCATATAGTATTTACATTGTACCAAACCAACTTCATAAAACGTTCCTCGAAGACTGATGCAGGTTGGGGTTGATCCTTACTGTAACTAAGAATGAGTAACCTCAAGTGATAACGGTGAATTTGAATAACCAAGCCAACAGTTTGCAAAATCTTAAATAGCACACAGCTAAGAATTAAGTATAATAAGTGGAAAATAAAAAGGGGCAAACACATCACACACAGCAGACAAACAGTTTAGCTGTTTTACAGGATGACAAATAAAAGTCACACTGTCATTTAATCAAATCATCATCATTATAGTAAGGACACTCATTAATTGAATAGTTTTCATTGTCATTGTAGACCAAAAGTATACAACTTTAAAAAACATATTTCATTATCTACAACGTACGTAAGTTTGTCTCACCATATTAGCAGAAACTTCATCTGGCTCATCATCATCAATACCAAACTTGAAAGTTATCCTACTGTTTTTATATGTGTCAAAGCTGCACTCAACCACAGGACCCTCTGGAGACCCTTCAATCCTTTTCAGTTGAATCCTTGGTAATCTTTCTTTCTTTACTTGCTTTACAGCTGTTTTGCTATCTTTTTTCTCCAAGCCTGATGCTAAAGGTGCTGCTGACAAAGAAAGATTAATAATAGCAGCACTCTGGCTTCCATTAGTGGTAAAGCCCACAGATCCAGAGGATGAAACCTCGCCTACAGAAGTTGGGGCAGAAGGAACTGATGATATTGATGATGTATTTGACCCATAACCAGATGAACTGTATGCCACTTCAGTAATCACACCGCTACTGAACGTAGTTTCAGTTGGAGTGGGCAGAGCTGGTGAAGGCAAAGGCTCTACCTCCTAAAAATAAATGCATTAAAAAAGTCAAGTCAACCATTACTGATAGCATTATTCTTCACAGTTTACAATCAAACTAAGTCTAAAATTAACTAAAGTTTAGGAATTAAAAAAAAGAGGGAAACCCTCATGGATAGAAGGTAATAAGAAATTGAGTTATATTTAATAATTGTATGTTCTAAATATTTGGAGAAGTTTGTGAACATTGATTGATGATAGAAAAACTTCATAGTATTTTTATGGGGCTAACACATCAATTCACAAGAGATGAAATGCAATATTCCTTCACAGGGTTTTCCAAATAACTGATGAGTTCTATGGGCAACAGTCAAAGAGCATTTAACCAACAAAAGGAAAGCTAAGATTGGCTGTAAAACTCCACCAGAGAGTCAGATTTTTTTTTTGTCCCTTTTCCCCACTCAAACAAACAATTCTGTGTAAAAGTCCATTCAGGTTCAAGTTAGGTTGAAAAATATTTAGCTCTTTTTCATGACATACACACCTTGCAACCTACAAATAAATTACCCATTTGACCCTTCCATTCAGAAAATAGGTCCAAAGTATTTAAATTGTCTTAATACTGTAGTATCATAAAGCATCCCCAAGCACATACCATGGGTGGTGTTGCAACAGTTGAAACAGGCTCCACCTCAGAAGCCACACCTGGACTCAATTCTTCTACATTACCAGCTACCTTCTATTGAAGTGAAAAAAAGGAGATACAAATGGCTTCATTACAGTTATGGACCACGGCTCAACAACTGCCCCAACTATTAAGAAACTGGTATATATATAAATTGTTCCATTTTCCTACGAATGCAATTACATACTGACGGCTAATTTAAGGGTAATCCAAACATAAGTAGCGAGCCAGGAAATATAAAAGCCAACAAACAAACAAAACTGATACAACAAACATGTTTTGAATACTTCTATCACAGGAAACTTATCACAATGTCTATGCATCTAATATGTGACCCTGTTGATGAAATTAAGAGATCCTCACAGCTAAGAACACTACTGAAACGAGAATAGGACCTGAAAAAAATTCAGGCCCGTACGGGATTTGAACCCTGGTCAATGAATTGGGTCCAAATAAACATCCAAGCGAATGAAGATTTTAGATATATGAAAATTCATATATTTGTACTGCAGTGGAGAGATGAAATTAAGAGATCCTTGCAGCTAAGAACACTACTGAAACGAGTAGTTGTAAATAGGACCTGTTTGAACACTTGTGTCAGAAGAAAGATCCAATTTGAAGCATTTAAGATTAAACGATAGAAAATACCTTTTCTGAAATATCCTGGCCAGTGGTGATTGTGTGCTCATCAATTGTTCCATGAGGACTACTTCCACATTCTGCAATTCCTTCCAACCTTTCAACTAAAGGATCAATGACACGTCTTCCCAAACTACTTTTTCTTACTGAAACTTCAGCAGATGATTCTGGTTCTTCCTTGTAGTCCTTCTCTTCATGGTCCTCCTGGTCCTTTTCTTTCTCCTTTTCCATTTCTGTTTCAGGTGACTGCTGTTCTTTGTCACTATCATCTCCTTCTGTCTTCATGGGGTGTTCATCGTCCTGCCTTTCTTTCTCTCTCTTGTCTTCACCTAAACTTTCGCGTTTGACATTGCGACGATTCAGCATAACTTGAGCTATGCGGTCCCTGATGGACTTTGTGACTGCCTTTTGGTCCTCATCATAAATAAAGCCCTGTCGGACCTGTAAAAAATATACATAGTTAAAAAATAACAAGAATACAACTTCCTTCTTTTGAGCAAATAATATCTTTATTTTATTAAAGTAAATGCACCAAAAACTAGTGAAGAGGGTGCAATTACACACTGAACTTCACTGACAACAACTTAAAAAACCTTGTTAATTAAAACCAACCACAACTCAAAAAATTTTTTAAGGTTGACTATAGTACAAATGGCAAGCCTGCAATACAAGAAACCAACTGAATTGGATACATGATTAGTTTTAAGAAAGTAACAACCTTGGCACTAAATAATATTATATTTGTTGTGATGCTACATACCTACACTCAAAGGAATGAACGTGCATAAAACAAGTAACTACTAGCAGCAATAGCTAAGCAGCAAAACTTAATGTAGCAGAGGCCATATTCATATGTGACTGTCTACCAGAAAACAGGGAACAAGGTGATGGCACAAATTCGCTAATGATGATATTGCACGCCAAGAGTGTCACCAATCTCATGGATATGCACACATTTAAAAGGCAAAAGAAAGACTGGCATGGCAGCTTTTGTGTAACACACTCAAGTATTGCATCATATTGCTCCTGCTATGTCACTGGCTAGTGTGCTATTTCACTTAGTGCCAAGTTTGACATACTTCTTTGTTCCATGTAAGACATGCGTTTGTTTTTAAACATGCAATGCATACCATTGAAACATTTTCATTTGGTATACAAATGTGACATAACACTCCGAAGCTGGTGTCATTTTACTCACTGCCTATTGTTTACCGTGTCATTTTAGCCTGTCCATGCATTCACCTTTTTCCCGTGGATTCAAACTTTTACATCAGAGGGTATGTTAAAAAACTTGCCAGAGAAAATTGAATATTGTTATTCAGTTATTTGGGGATTAAATACCCATTCAGAATCATCAATCATGTGTCATTTCTGAAAAAGGTGAAGAAGCTTTCAGAAAAACTGAAAGGTCATCTTCCTGTTCAGGTAACACTGTCCAAATGAAACACAAAAGATCATGTTAGGTAAAAGTATCAAACTATTCAAATTTACAAGTGACTTAAAATGCTTAGTAATGAGAATAAATTGTACACCAGAACTTAAACCTAACTGTTTTCATCCCAGTGAATAATAAGTTATTCACAGATTTAATTCATGCTTTATCCATAAGTCCCACTCTTGATTAATCATCACATAAAGTCAATGTCATTTTTAATCAGTAAATATCAATACAATTATACTATGACTGCTTCAAAACAGAAATTCTGAAATATCATACCTTGTTAAATCTGAGTTCCATCAAAGTTCACTATATGCTTACTCAGAGCAATTAACCTCCACTTTCATGTTGTTTGAAACCAGAAACAACAACTAACTTCTTCCTTCCTTTTGAAGCCTGCCTTTCAACTTGTTTTAATTCTGTTTCACTGTTAAGTTTTGTTAAAAATTAAATTCTAGTTTAGAGAGATGTCTGTTCAGTTCTGCAAGTTATACACACTGAAAAAAATAAGCCTTTTGCTCTCTGATACCTCTAGAGTCAGCTCACTTGGCAATCTTCAAGTGGCAAAAACAACCTTTGAATTAAATTCACTCACATGTTAATAATCATTAACAATTCTTGGACACAAACATACCATAGGCAAAATTGAAAATCTGTTCTGAAATCTTAAACAGCCATACAAACTTCCACTTTTGCCCAGTGCATTTTACAACCAAAATTCCTACCTTCTCATGCTGTGAAACAAAGATGTAGATTAGAATTATCTACTGGGCATTAACAGATGTACTCACCAATTCTTGTGTGACCTTCTCTGGTTGATCAGTGCCCAGATTAAAATCAAACTGAATTCCTTCATTCTGTTTGTGTTTGTCTTTGCGTTTCTTTGGATCCTCCAGCTGAAGTAACAGCTTAACTATGTCAGCTGCTTTGGAGGTATCACTGTCAGTGCCAGGTTCTGCCTCCACTAAATTCACCTTTACTCCAGAGTCTTCTTGAAAAAATGGGTGGTTTAACATATCTTTTATTGTATATCTGAAAAAAATTATAGTAATAAAACATGTTACTTCATTCAATTGTTAATAATGTATAACAACTTCAAAATTGGTTTTAAATTTTGTTTGTTAAAAAAGCAAATAGCATGGGGGGCAAAACTAGGAGGCCTTAGAATTTTTTATGTGTGGTGACATAGGTTGTAGCTTCAATAAACTGATTCCACTTGTAAATGATACAAGTGCATGCAATAACTTTTTTACCTTTCCTCAATCTTGGCTTTGGTGCAGCCCTCAATGATCTGTCTGATTTCCTTTGAACCAACTTTATCCAAACACTCTGGCTTGATACCCTGTTGATCAAGGTAATTCATACATCATAGACTATTGAGCATTTAATATTTAAAAAGAAAACTTCAAAACTTCAGTAGCCAGTGACAATGCTACAACAGTGAAAAATTAAAGCTTTCAAGGAGTCTTTATCACAATTTATATCTAAAGTGCTGAAAACATTTTGTCTTGGCAAAAACTATCAAATGAAAGCTGAGATCCCTGAAATGGAATAGTCCCATAAATCTTGAGTGCACATTCACTTTGTAAGAGGTTTTCATTCCCTTGTTAGAAAAGTTTTACAATAAATTTCTGCAAGAAAATCCTGTTAGTTTGCTGCTATAATTTTCTTACAGCAAAAATATGGCAACTTTTCCTTCTCAGCCAGCAGTTTGGGGAATTCTAGTAAAAAATTTCTGAAGTTCCTAGGCCTTCACCATGCAGCAAAAAATAGAGGCCCAAAATGGTGCAACCAGTTAATTAAACCCCATTGTAAATAGCAAATTTGATATATGATAAAAGAACAAATATTTTCCCATTGTTTTCAGCATTCAAAGCATCCTCTTTGTTTCCACAGAACCAAAGGCCTTCAATAAATTAAAATCAGGGATTTCTTGTGTTGTACCATTACCTGAATAATAATCAATAGAGTTTTGACCAAGCATAGTGCATGTTGCATCCAAGTTATGTTATAATCAATGCTTTTAAAATGAAATTGGTAACCACAAACTGTCAATTTCTCTTTCAGTCCAGTTCTCATAATATAACTTGACTGACACATAACTTGTCAATGGTGAATAATTCAAATGAGAATTCATGGTTTTGAAATCTAGGAACAGTAATTGACATGGTGTTTTTTGGTCAAACTCAGAATTAAGAAAGAATGAGAAGATTTTTTTAATTTAGGAGGCACTAAAACACACCTACTAGCCAAAATAAAATAGGCATTTTCAACAATTTCATGTAAGCTCCAAGTCAAGCCAGTTATATTTCATTTGACAACTTCCAGCATTCAATACAAATGACAGATAACTTACACTGACAACTCTCCGATAGATTTGAGCTGGGTTTTGGCATTCCATATACGGATATTCTAGTGTCGTCATCTCCAGCATGCACATCCCAAAAGCATAAACATCCACAGATTCATCATAATGTTCTTCATACATTTCTGGTGCCATAAACTCTGGAGTTCCTGGTAAAATATGGGGATCAGTTAATATAAAGTGGTTGAAATATTTTCTCAGAAAATTTAAAAGAAATTTGAATTCTTATTCTTGTTAAATGCCCTGTACATGTTGAACCAACAATTATTTGTTTTATTACAGAGGTCAAAATCACTTAATGCTTACAGACTAAGACAGAAAGCATTCTTTATAAATCATAAAGGAGCTTTTGGTTGCATGATGGGCATGATAATCCTTATTGGATCCTCACAGAGGTTTGTGTAAATATTCCTATCCCCCATGTGATTAGACACAACAAAAAGCACCCAAATTGCCTTTCTGGTTCCATGGTTTTCTGGCATTATTTTTTTTCACACCATTTCACTTTGTTTCAGAAAGTGAATGCTACACAAAGGGAAATCATGATGGTATAAAAAAAATTCTGATGTAAAGAAAACATTTGAAGCATAACAGATACTCTCATCAAGTGCTCTCGAAATAAGGAACAGAGCATGAAAAGTAAGTAATCAGCATATTTCTAACTAATTTCAACACTGTGAAAGACCAAATAGATATTTTGACCTATTCACCTAACATGCCATAGTACACTGGTTTGAAGTTTGAACAGATAATAAACACTCTCTGGTTGTGATCTTGAAATCATGTGAACACCCTCCTATGCCATTTGTACTTTGTAACTTCTGTTTTGAATCAAATCTATGCGAGTTTGGTGGCACAGTACACAGTAGAATATTGTAATCATGAATAATAATTACTAACTGCAATTATTATGTAGCTGACAAGGCCTGTGGGCAATATGAAAATTGCCTGCTTTAATACTGTGCAAGAACAAAAAAATTGCACAGTTTTTGGACAATGTCAGCAGTGGGCTGTAAAAAACAGTAGTAGAAAGTAAAACCAAAGAAAACATAGACAACTCTTGTGGGTTTATCATGCTGCAAAAATAGTTGACTTTCTTTCCTAAATTTTAAAATAGACAATTCATTCTTGATTCTTGTAAAAGCAAATTCTTTATGCTACATAACAAATCATTTACTGACCAAGAAGGCTGGATATTAGCCTCATTCTTTCAATATGTTTTTATGGACCTTGACTTCATCTAAGTTCATAAACATGCAAAAAAGGTACTTGGCCAATATCCAGTCATCTGAAAGTGCTTCCTTATCCTTGTCTTATCCTATCCTATAATTATTTTCACAAATGGGCTTAATTTCTCATGTGCTGTGTTTTAAATTTAATATCAATTCCTTGTTACATCAACTTAAAGAAGGTAACACAGAATTTTAAGTCTAAAGGGAAAATTGATGTCTCACCTATTACACTCTTTGCAAAGGAAGATTTCTTCAGAGTAGCGAGCCCTAGATCTCCAATTTTCACCAAACCAGTGGTGCCATTGATGAAAATGTTGTCACATTTAAGATCACGATGAATGATTGGTGGTGTCCTTGTGTGTAAAAAGAGTAAACCTTTGAGAATCTGCCGACACCAGCTCTTTAAAATCTTCTCCTTTACTCCCTTAAAGCGTTTCAGATACCTGTTGACACAAACAAATGAACACATGTCAACAGTAAACATAGATGTATGATCAGACTAGCAGCCAGACTGACAAGTTCCTTGCACAAATAATACCTTTCCCACAAAATCATGAAATATCATTGCACTTATAAACACAACTAAGTAGCTGTGAAATTAAAGCCTGATAAAAATTGAGATTTGAACAGGATTTGAACCATTCTGCAATACCACTGGGAAACCCAAACTACAGAGCCAGCTGGGAGCCTGTCATCATGTGAGTGAGTGATCCACCCAAGAAAAAAGTTCAAGGAGTAAAGAATGGCAAGAAAACTACATATTTGACCTGCCAAGTCCAATTTCATTAAAGTTAGAAACTCAACTCTGTTAGCTGTGAAAATGAAGCTTGTCAAGAACTCATATACAGGATTAGAAGCCATGACACAAAGTGTCAAGCCAACAAGGGGCTCTTGGACGAGTGGAATCTGGCAAACTGGGCTGAGAATAAAAACCAAGCTACCAAGCAAGACAGTCATGGTTTTAAATCCAATTCAAACCTGAGTTCTTTGGTGGGATAATTTTCACACTACGTGATTAGTGAATGTAACTGAAATTATATTCCATCTAGTTACATCTCCATTCTACAATTCAGTTGTTATAATATGACTCAAAAACAATCCCTCTTACACAACATCATCAAAACATGTTTGTTCAAGAAACTTAACTAAGATTATATATATCTAACCCTTATAGATATAAATATTTTCTTTCCTCAAAACAACACCAACTCTGCCCCAAATAAATTCAAAATTTAATAATGATCAAGTCACTGAGACAGAACCACAATTTCAAAGGTACCATTCAGCACCTCTTAATGTAGGCCATGACAAATAGGCTCGCAAGAGGTTAATGATAATTGTTTCTATACCTTTAAAATCCTTTAAGTTTTAGTTGGGAGGATTACTTTCCATGGAAAAAACATTTGCATGCACTAGAATACTCTGTTACTTGAATGAGTTGAGAATGAAATTATGCAGAACAAGATCTGGATTAACTACACAACAAGAAAAAGTTAAATTCTTCACCATACAAAGGTTATGAGGTTAAATCTGTATGGGTTTGAGTTTGGGAAAGCAATTGCCACAATAAACAAATAGAAATATGATCCATAACTAAAGCTATCAGAATGTGCTCCTGGATTAACTTGTTGTTACCATGAATTGTCTACATCTCATTCACATCCTTGATTAATAAGCATGTGGGAAAGAGAGTTCAATCATGAAGATATCACTGCATTTACCAGACATGTTTGTCAATCAATCAAACTGCACACATTTGAGGCAGCAATATTCTGTAGTCCAGAGCTAAGACCTAACCTTAATAAATTATCCATTTTTATTGTGTCCAGAAAATACTGCAAGATTAATTTACTATCTTCCAACAAAATAGGCAAAGGATGCAAAATAAAATAAGTGTCAATCTACACCATCCACTAAAAAAGAAAAATTTCACTTACATATATACTTCAAAAATAATAAGTGCAAATTCTAAAATACAACGGCGCTCAGCTTTAAAAGAGACCGTGACCTTTTTTAAATAATTTAAAATAAAAAATTTTACTATCCCTGTCACATGGTAGGCGAGTGTAACCATCGCTGTAAGCTATAGCGATTCTACAAAGCACGCTTAACTAATGTGCGGTAAACTACATCTCAGAGACACGAACACTTATGGCAACTCTAAACCGCAAATGCTTTGCCCTGCTGTGTTTTTCTAAGGCTCTACGAAATCGAAAGACAAGGAGCATGTATTTGGGGGAGGGGAATGGTAATGTCGAAAGAAGCAAAGTCGGCTCAGAGAAACGACTCAAATTACGAGCGAAACTGATATAAAGAAAAATGTCCTTTTTAATCCGTATTTTGGTATTTTAGACACAAAGCCAAGAAAACATGTTGAGAATCTTATTAGGTAAAACACACAATAATTCCTCGCCGTTGGAAACGCAAGTTTTACAATAGTTCCACAAAGTCAACCACTAAATTTGTTTTCCTACCCAAAGGGCAAATACAAAAATCGTATTTTTAGAATAAAACATTGATATGAAATCATTCTATTAAAAATTCAATACACCAAAAAGGAGTTCTGAACAAAAAACTGTGGAACGTCTCGAGAAGTGTGTGTCAAAGTAAGACGACCACGTACCCCGGAAACTGATCACGATTAACCTTGACGAACGTATAGTCCGTTAGCTTGTACAAAGAACTGCCCGACTTTTAAAATATATGAACAATCGAATTTTAGGCAAATTTTAAGTTAACACAAGTAAAACAACGTGTCTTTGTTTGCCAATTCATTCAAAATTTACAGACATCGCAAGACAGTTTCGTCACATCCTAATTTCCTGCCTCCTTCCCATGCAAATATCACAACACATGAATTCGTGGCAAAAAGATGGCGGCCGCACAGTTGGCTTTAACATATTATCTTATACTTACGTTTTCAGAGTTCCTGAAGTCATTAGCTCCGTCACTAAAATAACCCTTTTCTTATCTTTGTTCCCGATTCTGGTCTCCCAAGAGTCGTGGAATTTTACAATATTTGGGTGTTGTAATTGCTTTAGCATCTCGGCTTCTTCTTTGAACCTCGCTCGCTCGGCTTTTGAATATTTGTCCTTGAAAGGAAGATAAAGGTAAAAAAAAATGATTACTTCTGATCACTCCATAACTAACCTTTAAAACACAGCACACAAGCGATAACAAACAATCCGTACTTTGTAAGTACACGAACAAGTTACCTGAAGTTCACACCACGCCACAGCGACCCCGGTTTCTGTGTCCAAGCCTTTGTAGACCGTTTTGAAGGAGCCTCTGCCAACTTCAATGTCAAATTTGAGGAACCGGCCATCTGGACTTACTTCGACTGCTTTCTCCTCGGCCTCAAGTCCCACTGTTTTCTCTCGGTTTTCCCCCTTGGTTGTTAATTTTTGAGAGCCATCGACCAAAGAAGCTATAGGTTCAATGAATTTTGATTCATCCTCAGTGACAACATTACTTAGCTTAAATTGTACATGTTTCGCAGGCTTTATAGGTTCTTCCTTCGAAGATTCATCAAACTGACTCTCCATAACGTTAAACTAACGTTAGAAGAAGTCAAGAAAGAAACTTTCAGAAAAGAGAAATAGTCCAATACATTGGTGCCACACAAAGATGAACGCAGTACTTCAAGAATTCCATTGCTCCGTCCAAATGAAGGTCACATCCTAAAGTTTTTAACCGTTTCCTGATTCTACCACGCAAAATTTCTGTCTAGCTGTTCTCTCTTAAGACTGACCTCGCAAGAACGCTAAGTCAAGCCAACAAAGAGAGTGAAAAGGCCGTCCATTGCTGTAAACAACACGGCCAAATCACAACATCTCTTCCCTTCTCCACAATCTTGCAAACGAATTCCTTATCAGTAAGGAGTGAAAGAGCAAAACCAAAACTTCGATCCGACCGTTCAAAGCCTAAGCTCACGAGAGCTACCCTCGACACTGCGAAAAAGTCACCAAGGACGACTAAAATGGCGGTTATTAATACGAGGAGTGCGAGTAAATACTGTAGAAAGGAACTCAACTTAACGGCTAATTCAATGGCGCATGAACAAGTCCACTCTGGGGGAGACCGTGAGGAGGTATTTTTACAGGGACTCGAGCTGGCCGGCCACCATTTGTTTGTTGCTACGCTACTGAAAATCTGCGCATGCTCTGTTGGATTTGCTAGTGCTACTCACTACTACTGGCAAAACCGGTTATGATCCCATGACCATCCATTATTCGTCACAATATGCGACGTCAAAACGTTTTGTTTTCCTAGCTCTTTGTTACGAAATTTAAGTTCACCCCACCAAGCGTAAGATATCAAGATGTAGGCTTTTTCGCGAAAAGCAATCGTTCCAGAGATTAAAAAAATCACGAAACACGTATTTGTGCAATTTCCGATGAAACTTGGAAAAGGATTGGCTCAATATTTTGAATGAAACAAAATAATAATAAATTTCAAGAACTTGCCATATGTCTAACATGTGACTTGTCAGTAGCCGACCGCAAGGTCACATTGAAAAAGAAATGCGGCAAATGTGGCGAATATAGATGAGACCAGATATTATAATTCTCTCTCAGCCTGCACACGTGTTTGAAATATTTTCTTATTTGCAATCAATAAATGCAGGAATTATTACGCCTTACTTTTCAACATCTCAACCGTATGGCAGGTTTTTTTGTTTTTTTGTTTTTTTCATTTTCCCACTCTGCTGTTGTTTTATTCCTCTCTTTGCCAGCTGTCGTTTCTAGGGCTACTCAATCATCCATGTAAAATTTTGTGTTTTGGACGTCAAATCACAAAACGGTCTCGTGTCCCGCGGCTGCTTTCGAGTTAGACCTGACAGTTATCGTTCCTTCGCATTGTTAGTGTTTTCCGTATGTGTCATGATTTAGTCTTAATCAAATTAGTAAGTAACTGAGTTTTGCGCCGAAAACTTGATCTGTCTCCAGCAATGATCATTGCGGGCACCCTGGTCTAAAAATGGCACTGACGTTTGATCTGACAGGAAGTTGAACTATCACGTGATGTACTCAAACTTATTCAGTATGCCATTGAAAAATTGCGTGACTACAATTATCTTCTTTGTTCCATGTTCATAACAGGGCTGGAAGCAAACTCTCCCTATGGGCGGGTATGCAAATGACATATAGACTCTGAGTTAACTTTGTAACTTTGGATTTAACTTTGTAAATGGAAAGAGACAATCCCAATAAAGTGACTAGACTTGATACAGCGTGTCGCAACACAGCCGTCACGGATCAATAATCCTACGTACGTTAATTAGCTGATTTCAATATCTCAGAACACATTTAGACATCGAATCATAGTCTGCACGCAACGGGCAGCCATCCCTTAAGGGTAGGTAACTGAAGCAGCACTCGCCAAATATTTTGCTATTTTCCTTGGCTTTTCCTTGAATCATCCGACGTGTTTGTATTCATTGACGTTATTCCAACATGTAAAAATCCTTGAAGCGAAAGGAATTAAACCGGTGACGTGCGTCAACGAAGGTCAACAGAGACTGAACATCAACAAGGACGAAATGCGAGTTGAAATGACATGCCCCATAGAGGGGCACCGTCTCAAAAAGCTTAGGGGCCAGCTCTCAATCAAATATTGACGAATGATCTTGTGACCTGATGAGGCAGTCAATTAACTGTCTTAGAATATTGAGCTACGAATCATATCTAACCATTTTGAAAGAATGGCTATTGGGTAACGAGTTAAGCTTTCTAATTTTCTTAATTTTCTAATTTTTCAAACATGATGACATTTGGCTTTAAAATTTCGTATGCCAGAACGCAGGTGTCAAAAGTGTCAAGAAACAGCGCCAGAAATTACTGATTTGTCTAGCTGTATGGGGATACACATAACGGTTGTTGACAGTAAGTTTTCCAAAATTGTTCACTCTAAGAGAAACATATCTGTGCATCGATGTCAACCACACTTTGATGTATCACCCGCTCCACTATGCCTCGATCCTACCTAAACGTCTCTATGTTGAATAAACAGTGGGCGCGTTACCAGTCGCTGGTGCTTCGCGCTCATTCGTTCTAACGAGTACTAGAAAGGAGGAAGCTGTGTGTAGATTTAACAGAGTCAGCTGACCGTGTGTAAAATTTAGCGAAGGGTAGGTGAAAAAAACACTTAAAGGGCCAAAGTGAGTTTTTAGTTCACATACCGCGTTCATCATCAAGGCTCTCAGAGAAATTTATGAAGTGACACGAAAGGGGTCTTTGAAACGTCCAAAAAAACTGTGGCGAAATGTGAATAAGAGGGGAGCAATTATGAGTCGCATCGATCAATAGCAAAAAATAGATTTGTCAGTTACTTATGAGGGAGGAACTATACCTTTTGGCTTGTTTCTTTTTTTATTTTTGTTGTTGTTACTGTTGTAGCTGAGTTTTCCTCGTTGTTGCTGTTTCTCCTCCTTTTGATCCCCTCTGTGATTCATGTTTGTCTTAGGCTTTGGTTTCTGGTAAAACTTGGAAACAAACATTATCTGGGGAGACAAAGAAACACTACTAACTGGGCATGACGATTGGAAAAAAGGGAAGGAAATTAATTCCCTCAATAGAATAAAAGTTTTAATGTCTTGATTCCCTGAAATACAGAATAAAATTCACTCGGAAGTTAAAAATTTCTTAGGCTAAGCCAAACTATAAATATAAATAACAATGTTACTCAGTCAGTGACGGACTTACTGAGATACATTGTAGAATTACATTGATGAAGGAATATATGGTGAATCTCATAGGCTGCGAAAATCTGAGATAAATCTAAATGATGAATCAACTCTAGAGATAAAAAGGGAACATTTTGAAAATTAAAAATAACATCAAAATCTTTCCGAACTCATGGGTCGGACTCTGATTTTGCACAAGCTCTGATACCTTCACCAAGTTCCAACACACTAAGAACCAAGAAACCTAAACGCCTATAATCGCTTGCAATTTGGCAATTATAAAATCAATTTGAGATCCATATGCTGTATCTATTAAGTCATTTATTTTATCGCGTCAATTCTAAAAATTCTCGTCTACTTTAATGTGAAAGCCTTTTAAGGCGAGCACTTGGTTTTCAGACCGTCTTTTCTCTGCATTGTACATGAGTCGAAACAGCATAATGGGACACGAGTGGTTCAATTTATTGAAGAAAATTAACGCATTAGAGAAAGTTTACCTTCAGAATTTTCAGCATTGAAAAACTACTGAAGTTGTCACTGCTGTTAAATCTTTCAAAATTCCCTACCCTAGAACAGAATCACTGCAGCAACTGAAAACCGGAAGAGGCTTGGGATAGCTACGAAAACTCAAGATTTCATGAAAGCAGAGGATGGCAAAACTGTCATGCTATAACATAACGAAACATGCTAAAACATTATTGAGGTTTTAAAATGACATTTAAAAAACTCAAAACCTACGTCCAAAGGTCGACGAGAACAATCCATAAAATGTCTTAGGATATCTCAAAGAAACCACTCATTTAGGCATTCTGACTTGATAACACGCTATTTTTTTGGACATGTTGCTGCTAAATTTTGGCAATAGTATGATAATTTTCTTTAAAAGATTATTCTTTGTGGATTGTTTTGAAATAAGCAATATAAAAAAAGTAGCGTGTTTAAGATTTGCAGTTGAGTCACTTTGCGTGCATCAGCTATTGTTGATCAAATATTTAGTTCAAAGTTTTTAAGGAAACTCTTGCAGTGACCGATAATCAATAAGAACAATGGAGTTGTACTATAGGTCAGCCGGCTCTACAAATCATGTGCCGAGTGTCTACTTAGTGACGATCTTCATAGTGGGCTGACCAGTATAAACTACACGAAAACACTAATAACAATCATTATCATGAATTTAACAATCAATAAAGTTAAAAGTATATTGCATGTACTGTGTCATTATAAAGTTAAACGCAGCTTCATCATGAAATGCAGTGTTCACGTGCGTGTAACATATAAGAATATCAAATGTAATAAGCTCACCGCATTTTCAACTCTATTCATGATAAGCTGTTGCTGTTCTCTGTGGAAAAAAAATGAAAAAAGATCACAATAGAGTAATTTCTTTATCCAGACAAAGCTGAGGTTTTTTATCTATCTAAAAAAAACAAAATTTTAACAGAAAACATTTCATTTCGTGTTACTACAGTGACACAATAACAGAAAATAGTATGAACGATACCAGCGCACATGCTACAAATTCAATTTGAAGACTCTAATAGTGCAATTTCATTTATTCTGAACTTACCTATAAAGCTATCCAAGTAATTCTTCAAATCAGGATCAAACGCTGTGATAAGCGTAATGTCCCACTACATCCCATTCTTTGGTGATGAGCATTTGAATTGTTCAGCTTTCTTTGACTTGTTCACCATATATTCTGACTGTATATAAAGTTTCTGTCTGCTGTCCATCAATTACCCATATGATTATGATATTGACCGACAAACCAGTTGTTCCCGTTTGAAAGTCAACATAGAGAACATCGGCTTTACTGTGATTATCGTAGCTATACTACGTTCTTCGATAACCTTCTCTGCTGAAACAGCGTTTAAATGAAAGATATTTTCCCCTTATACCGTATTACTAACGCTCTTCGCGTTGAAATTTGTGCCAAACTAGTTTTGGTTCATTCAATCAATGAATTGCCTTTGCTGAAGCTGAAATTTCCACAACATAACCAACGGGACGCTGGTTGCATGTGTAAATACAAATAAAAACACTGTGCTTTTGTGGGGTGCTAAAAAAGTAATACCAAGTTTATGGTGGTTTTATTGTCTCGTCCGAGACTACTCCAGGAAATACCTTTTTTAATTTTCTACCGTCTTCCTAAAGGTCAAAATAATATGTATAAAGGACCCTGTGAAGACATTTCTGAACTCACCCACCCTTTGAACACATCTATCTTACGAATACATTTGGTATTGCTAGTGAGGTCAGCAAGCGTTCCCACGTCATTCAATCCGGCAGTGACTCTCGCGCAACAGAAATAAGTTACTTTGAAGAAAATCCTGTTTTTAACAGAATAAGGCTTTATATTGATGAAATGCTGTTTTTACATCTCTGCTCTCTTGAGATAAACGATCAATCAGTGTCATTAGATTATGATGTTTTTCTTTTCCTCAAGGAATACCTCATCTACATTCCTTTGAATCTTTTGAACGACATATAATAACATCAGTTCAGATAGTACAAAGAAGAGTCCGAGAAACATATTTGGGATGATTACCCCTTCTTTCCAAACCAACATCTGTTTTACGACATTTTTTTTTTCACCTCAATACTTCAACGTTTGGCTTATTTATTACTTTTGCGCTTGCTCGCTTTGCTTCCGTTTCCTTTGAGAGAACAAGCGGGTTCCTTCGTTGGTAGCCTATGTAAAACTCTTTTATTCTACTCTTTGTAGTTCAACGTCGTAATAATTTGCCACTGGAAATTCACACGTCATGGTTTAGCCTGGTAGTCGCACCTCTGTTGTATGTTCAAAGAAAATCTGATTCTTTTCAGTAATATTGACGGCCGCGAAATTTCTTACTCTCTGCTAGATACTGTTCGGACGTTAACTGGCCATTTGTCATCGCCACCTTTTTCTTAAAAGGATTTTTCTGGTCATCGGCGTTGCATGTCACAGCTGTTTCCTTTCTTTTTAATCCTCGTCTCCAACAGCTTTCAGGCACAACGCATTCCTGGAAACCATTTGTCTCCATCAACTGGTCCACAAAACGAGTGGTTAAACCGAAGCACTTATTTTTCCATGCTACTTATGATGTTCCGTCGTTAAAAGTAAGAACACAGGTAATATAAGGAAAATTAATACATTTGAACATGATGGGAGTCTTCGCAAGGATCTTCAGAGGTTGGCAAAGGTTTACTACAAGACGCGTGATTATGACCAAAATGATTGTGACGCGTGAATTTAATAGAAAGGCAAAATAGGGTGAGATTTGAAGTTTTTCCTTTTAAAGTTCAGGACGCGTGCAATATTAATTAAAGTGCATGTGACGCGTAAATTCTCCTAAGAAATTCGAGCGTAGAACGGGATCAGGACCCCCTGGCCTCACCTTTGATATTCTCTCCTTGTGCTCAACAAAAAGCCGATAGTCGAGAAATCAATGGATCCTGTAACGATAAGTTTGGGTTAAAAAGCCTATTTATTACTTCAACATAAACCGAGCAATTACATGTTCAAAACCCGAAGAAATAACCGACTACATCCCGAATGCGCGTATCGTTATATAATCATTAGTGGCGCGCTCATTGTGACAGGTTCAATTGGTAATTTATGCCAGCATACTTCTAACAGTATTTCGTCACAGATCCCAAGTAAATGCACTGGAATCGATTCCAAAAGTAAATTATCCTAAGGAATATGTTCAACTTTTATGCGTGAGCGTCACCAAACATGTTCCCCGGTGGACCGGGCTCATGTTAGGGAAGAAACTTTGCACGAGCCTTAACTGATAAAGGGACACAAACAAGTCTCGCACGAATTGCGCATCATTCCCCTTGGTTGATAAGAAATAAGAGAAAATATCTATCGAAACGAACTTCGTTAGAAGTCTGGGCCACCACACTTTCATGTCTGCGATTATTTTACTGACAAGTAACGATTACAACAATTCACGTCATCGATATGACCCGATTCGCTGATTCAGATCACAATTACAAACACATGCAGTTTTCTTTCCTTCCAAATCTAACTACCAAGAAGGACGTGCCATGAGTTGTAGGGAGATTCTGATTACGTTAATCTAAACTTCGGCTACAAATCGTGAGTGATTAACATACGTTATGACTAGTCATCAGTTAATCGCGTTACCATTGATTTGTATCGCACAAAGACCAAAAAATTACATTTTTCTGTTCCTTACTTCACTCAATCTACTGTAACTTTGAGCCTAACAAATGAATGTACAACTCTCTAGCATTTGGATATTTTTGATACTTTGCTACTTGACTGAGCTAACAGATGCACTTTTCCCTCAGCAATGCTAATTATTGCGGTTGACAAAAATAAAGTAAACTGGTACACCAGATAGAACAAATGCCAGAGCAAACAATGATGACTGAGGTTTGGCAAACAGAGGGGCAATAATAAGGTAGCACGAAATCATCACCATGACAATAGGAATGCCAATCCACACTTTGTAGGGACGATGCTCATGTGGCCTCTTCCAGCGTAGAACCAGAAGTGACAGGAATGTGCAACCCAGGAAAATCCATGCAACAAAGCTGAAACAGCTCAGCAAGGAATCCAGATCACCAAGAATTAACATGCAAATGGAAATAAATGATGGGAACATTATAGCACGTAATGGAGTGTGGAAACGCTTGCTGATAACAGCTAAATATCGAGGCATGTGTCCCTGTTTGGCTGCTGAGCAAACAACTCTTCCATTAGTAAAAATGGAGCCATTAGCAGCACCATAACAGGAACATGCTACAAACAGTGGCATAACAACTACAAGGGTGGGTGTAACCTTCTCTGCAACAGATACAGCTACTGCTGTGGATGACAACATTTCTGCTGGTGTCAGAATACTTAGATAAGCTATATTGATCAGTGTATAGCAAATAGTGACAAGAGGAAGAGCAATCATTACTGCACGAGGGAGATTCTTGTGAGGATTCTGTAATTCCTCCGTCACATAATTGAGTTGGTTCCAGCCATCATAAGCCCACAATCCACTAAAGAATGCATGTGCAATTTCTCCAATGTTTGTATTAGTTCCTTTAAAGGGAGACTCAAAGTTTCTATTGTGCCCACTAGCAATTCTTGAAGCTCCTATCACCACTATTATCCCAATTGCAAGGAGTTTCATTATCATGAAAACTATTTGCATCTGACCTGCCCAACGGGAACTCACACAGTTCACAGTCGTGATTATTATGATGGAGATTGCAGCTACAAGTTTGATGAGGTCTTCAGGTTCGGCGTTGTTGTTCCTAAGAAATGGCTGGACAGCGTACGAAGCAAAACTCAATGTGATAATGGCAACAGAGGCTGGTTTCAAAATAAGTACCATTGTCCAGCTCACAAGAAAGCCAGGAAGAGGCCCTAGAGCTTCCTGGATGTATGTTAGCTCACCACCAGAACGTTGAATCATTGTTCCTAATTCACAATAGCAGAGAGCTCCCAAAGTTGCCATCACTCCAGATATAATCCAAATCAAAAGAGTCATTCCCACCGAACCAGAATGCAGAAGGACAAAACGTGGAGTAACAAATATGCCTGAACCTATCATTACACCAACAATAAGTGACACGCCTTGCAGGAGTGTTACATTTCGGGTCAATTTTCCTTCTTCCCCTTTTGAATCCTTCTGTGACTTGATCAATTTTTCTTCGGCACTTGCATGGTGATCATGGAATGAAATACTAGCATTCAAATCATCCCCCAGCATGGAACACTTCACCATGTCCTTGTTTGCTTCTGATTGTTTCTCTGTTAAGTCCTTTGCATCTAAAAGAAAATAAAACAGAAAGGTCTTTTTGTTACAAAACCAAATATACCAAATTAAGAACAAAAATTTGCATGCACTGAAATAAATTAAAATACTCTAAGACAATTTCAAAATTTTTTTACCATAATAAAGCCAAGATTAGAGTGAAAGCTGGTTACTAACTGTCTACTGCCATATATAAGGCATTATAAGGCCTGTTACAACCATCTATAGAAGAATATAACATTAGTATAGCCCTTTTCAAAACTTTATTGTACTTTAAGATTGGTATGCAATACAAAGTGATGTACTAGTACAATTATCACTGTGTGAATTGGAGTAGCAACATCTCTACCAACATTAGAAGAGACAGAAAGCCAGTTTTCAAGATTGGCCAGCTACTTGCTGATACAATTAAATGATTAAAAAAAAGCATTTAAAAGAAAGTTTGTCAACCTGTGTCACACCACCATCAAATCTGTTACACAAAAGAGACAAGTTATCTTTAAACTGGAAAGATATAGTGCATATCATACTCAACATCAGTAGTTAAAGATTAACTCAAAGTTTTGGTTAAAACTGGGAACTAATGAAATGATAGTAAATAAACAAACTGGCAAATCCAGAGGGTATCCGGTCAATTTGCCACCACAACGAACTGACCCCACCACAAAACTTGCCACCACTGAGAGTCAAATCATATCAGTGGTGGCAAGTTTAATGTGGTGGTGAATTGACTGTAAACATATCCAAAGTCCATCCTGTATGATTACAAAAGTAGTACATCTGAGTGATGTGGCCAAATAACAAAATTTTGTTAAAACTAATAAGACAGTTGGCTGTTGATTGCATGTTATGGTGCTCTATCATATAACCATTTTAACCTCAATAATATTCAGACTGGTTATTCATGGATAACTGTATCAAGTGATAATAGTGGTAAGAATTCAAGAACAAACCATGACTGAAACTCATGCATATGAAATCTAGAGTCCACATGAGTCTAAGTAAGCACTAAAATTGACAGCATTTGAGCAATCAACAACCATGCTCCAAGTCAATGAAGCTACACCTGACACAGAGGAATATTTCCACGAAATATTTCCTACAGGACTAATAAAGAACACAGATCAGAGGATTCCAGTCATCCAATTCACTCCACTCCACTTAAAAACATTAAATTTACAAGGTGTCAAGAAAGGCCATTGTCAAGCCAGGCACATGATATGTATCAGTGGATGTTTGAGGATGTGTGCACACTTATTTTTAGGCAGAAGCCTCTTACTTTAATCAAGCCTGAGGAAATATCTGCTAACAGTAGCGTAAGCTCCACAAAGGAAATTTTCAAAACAAACACTGGTCGCATCAAATGTTTTCTCCCGGCCCTGATCTCTAATTTGAAAAAAATCTTTAAAACACTTAACAGTTCTAAACAGAATATATTAAAATTCACATGGCAACCAGGTGGACAACCAGACATGGTTTGATGCTACTCGGATTTAAAGATTTGATAAATGTAACCGAAGAAGTTACAATTCATAGACCCAACGTTTCGACACTCCCGTCTAGTGCCTTCATCAATGGTGATCTAAACTAATTAGAGATCGTATAAAAGGACCTCTTGTTGCAACGTTTAGATCAGGAGTGTAACTTCTTCGGTTACATTCATTAAATCTTTTAAACCAGAATAGCATCAAACCATGTCTAATTCTAAACAGGATTAGCGTTAGTCAGCTTGTCATCGTGAACTATTCCATATCTTTGTTACCATTCTTGCTAATATGCATACAAAAAGTACCTTTCATCCTTGAACGCTTCATCTTGTCCTGTTAAAGATCACCTCATTCCTGCTTCATTCGTGACCTTCGGTCACTGCCGAACGCTGGAACGTAGCCGCCATCTTGAGTTACACGTCATCCGCATAATACCCAACCCGTCCCTCCCCACCCAACGATCTCTCGTTGTTGCCGGGGGGGGGGAACACACTACGAGGCAATTTATTGAAAATAAGGAGAAACAGGCAGGAAAAAGTGGGGAGTGGGGGGATGGGGGAGGAGGCAGAAGGAGCATTCTTGCGAAGAAATGATGTCATTTGCCAATCTTGCTCTCAGCGAACATTACAGTCGTGCTAGGATGGACGTAAGAATCTGGGAACGAGATTGAATCATCAGAAGCGACAGCGAACAATCACTTTTACCGGAAAACTAAGAGACCGACAAACAAAAATTATTTTAGACCGCCACTTCTTATCTTAAATTTCCATTCTTCATTTTCTTCATTCGAAAAAGATAAAAATAAACCGCACCCCTTTGATCAGTCTGTTTGATAACACAAGGCGCCCGGATTTGTGTTCATCACCACCATCGTAGTCCACAGCTTTCATTTACATAGTTTCTGTTACAGTGAGATGCCAAAAATGCCAGGCAAGTTTTCCTGTTATGTACGATAGAAGTAACTTACAATTACGATTTTTTTTGTTTTTGTTTTTCTTTATGGGGGAGGGGGGGGGGACGCGGGGGGCTGGAGAGCAGCGTTGAACTCTGCGAGCAACAAAACGTCCAGAGCCAAACTTTTCCTTTAAGCAAACAATCTAAACCTCCGACCCCTTCATGTTAATGAAACAGCGCCAACGAATTTTAATGATAATTTTTACACCTAATCGAAGCATCAATCGATCCTCTTGAAATATTCGTATGAATTACATGTAAAAGTAGCCATGTATTTTATTGTAACTACCAATGGTCATTAAATTTTTTGTTATAAAACTGTTTCTCACGCTCGACGACAGGTAACTCCGTTCTGCAGTTTGTGTTTTTTCAAACAAGTGTGCTCATCGGATCTTCCGTTGTCTGTCCTTTTCTCATCCGGCACGGAAGTGGTGTATTATTAATTTGAAGTTTTGCAGGAATATCTACAGTACAGTGTTGTGCAAAAACCATTGCAAATCAACGAACCATACAATTAGATTTGTCCTTGTTGTGAAGACTGAATCCAAGGCCTCCAAAGTGGGAGTTTACATGGCTCTTCCATGCTTCTTTTGATGTCAGCCGTTGAATAACAGTTTTCTGGTGAATTGCCACTCGCGTCAGTCAATGTAGTAGTTTCACGGCGGTCATACGGGCGGAATGCACTTGACAGGGGAGGAGATGGCGGGGGTGTAAAGGCACAGGTACACGGCGACTCCGCAGTGGTTTGTAAGCCACTAACGTACACTGCTTGGCCAGGAGGGAAGGACACGGAGGTACTCTTGTTGACTAGTGTCTGATTAGTGTGGAAATTGAAGCTGTAAGACGCCGCCAGACTTCCAAGTATTTGTTCCTGCAGTTTAGGATTCACTCCAGGTTGGTTTTCCACGAAGCTGCGCACTCTACCCGCGCACTCGTTAAACCCTGCTCTATTGTTGCTATGCTGAGATTCCGGCTCACTTTGCGGATTGTTCCAATAACCTATGTGACAAAACAAAGGGATGAGCGAGTTGCAGCCATAACGATGTCGGGCGTTTGGGATCCATCGCACAGTACAGGCTTTATAGTAAGCTAACAAACGAAACTTACTCACCGGTCAATTGTTGCCCTCGGATCATTTTTAAGAAATTCACGGTGAGCTCCAGTATTTCGGCCTTCTCCATCTTTTGGGAGTTGTGATCATTCTACCGAGATAAAAACAAATTGTTTACAAACTGTTAATGAAATAAACGTCGATTAGGTTGTCGGCTTATATTAGGTGTAATATTGACCCTTATTTGAGACTTCACGTAGAATAAAGAAAAATACAGCAAAGTAGAAGTGTTTGAATAAGGAATGCATAACGAAATGTGGCTGGCTTAACGTTCAAATAAGACTTATTGCCTTTGATAAGAATGAGATTGGGGACTTTAAGTCATAAAAGTTTACCAGGTAAACTTACATCATGATACAAAGCAGACAAAACCAAGCTTTTGAGCTCCTCAAGACTTCGGTTTATCCGCGCTCTTCTTTGTCTTTCCAGCAATGGTTTAGTCGTCTGCTGAAAGGAAACAGTAGGAATAAATATGTGAAATGAGGAAACACTCGTAAAGCAAACTAAAAGAGGGAAAGGAAGTCTAATGTACCTGTCGTCTTCTCGTAAGCTTGATTCTTTCTGCCATGTCTAGTGTCTGTCACTTTGCACTGGTAACAGCTCTTGTCTGTAAAACTGAGGTCCTTTCTGAGCGACGCTGAGTCAGGAAATGAAGTTTGTGCATAAACTCTTCAGCTAAATTATATTGGCGCGGGCATGCAATTTTACACTTATTTACCAGAGAGCCAATGAGAAGCGGCGTTTGATCTGATGCAATCAGACGCTCAATTCTCGCACGCGAATGCGAACAAATTATTGCCTTTGTAGCACGTATCACGCCCTCTATCATTCAAATTCTTTTAACCTTTTCACTTCAGAATTTCAGTGATTAAATCCCTGCGGACTAGAACCCGTGCGTTATTTAGACATTTTTGTTTAAAAAAGAAAAGTAGTAATTTTTCGTAGATTTTTTTTTGCGTCAAGAGGCCGCTTTTCAGCGGGTAATCGTTATTTGGTTGTAATATTCTCTCAGGCATTTTTGCAGTGATCTTGGTGTAACTTGACAGTCCATTCAAACTCAACTTTTTCCCCGCATTCAAACTTCAATTTTATTTTTGGAAGTTACATTTGAATTACTTTTCAATATATTCCCTGCATTTAGGATTTCTTTTTTCCCAAAGTAATCTTCGAGCATTGGACGAAACATAGATTTGAAACAGTTTTCAGATTTCGTTGATCTAAAAAAGGGGAAGCTTGAGAGAAAGAGAGATCTTTCTCTTCCTTGCAATGCAGATCAGAGGATAACTCAGAATAGGTTACTTTATATGAACCTTCAACGCGTGTCTCTAAATACAGAGTGAAACATATTGCGCACCTTACAAAAAGATTTCACAGAGTGTTGAAGGTGGCTTAATATCCAAAAGAAAGAGTACCGCAAAAAATTATCTGATCGAGGTCGAAATACGGAGGTGAATCAGCGATTTTAAGACGAAGAATAATACCTCTGGAATGACAATGAAGACCAAAAGTAGTGAACAATTTACAATTAGTTACAATTCAACCAACAGTTTCATTACAAGCAACCGTTTCTTTTTCAAATTATTTTATAAGGTTGGGCTAAGGAAAGTAACAATGAATTAGTATCATAATATGTGAATGTAAGCGTCATACGCATAAGATGTTATAAGACAGGTTAATTTTTGTTTAGCTTGGCAATCGAAATAGTACTCAAGCTCTGAAAGAGGGAGGTAAAAAAAAGAAAACTTCAAAACCTCAAACAAAATACAGCATTAAAAGTAAGTCTTTGTACTGGAAAGCCCAGTAGCCTTTTCCTCTTTGCTTAAAAAAAAACCTTTGTTTTGATTTGCCGCAAGGTTAATTGTCCACGGATAATTAAAATTTATTAATAGCTTTATTCAATAGCTGTATCAAAAGAGCGCCGCGTAAGCATTTAACCATCCAACTCTTGTTTTGAGCCGTTCAGTGGACATAATTATTCACTTAGACCTCGTTAAAATTCTGTTGTATTGTTGTTTTATTTATTAGCGCCTATGATCACTGATAATGCTTTATTAAAACCTCGAGATCGCGTCGCAGTCTTCCTGGAACCCTCATGGGACTGTTCGGCGAGGAGCGTTGTGCATTAAATCATCCTTTTGTCATTTCCCGTCTCACATAATGTAATTAGAGCGGTTCAGTTAGACTCGCTTTCCTGTAGATGGAAAAAAATACCCGAGAGAGTATTCTTTAAAATGTGAAATATGTTTTTCTTATCTAAAAAACCTCATTAGTGTTCCAGGGCAGACGTAGTTGTGTCATTAGTGACCTCAGTAGACTCAGGAAATTGCGCGAAATCCTCGTGATCATCAGTTGTGATCGAGTGGACGTGATTGGATCAGGTCTGTTTTTCTCTCTCCTCTCTGAGATCAGTGTACAACAAACCTATTATCGACTTGCGAACTCAGTATTACTCAAGTTTCAGAATTTTTTGAAACTCGTCAAAACAGCTTCAAAATATATCCAAAACAGAACAGGTAGAGAAGACCGAGGGCTAACGCTCGAAACAGCGTGAAAGTCGTTTTTTTTTCATTGCTATACCCGGTGTCACAAAATTCAAACTACAACGGCTCTCAAGGAGCTTGAAGCATATTTGCATCTCTGAGCTAAATCACCCATTACGAGGAAAACACGGTCACACATTTACAACTCTGTTCCCTGTGTGTTGTTGAATGAACGGGTAAGTTCAGGGGCGTTGCAGTTATTAATCTTAAATTAAGAAATCTCCGCCAACTAGAGCGCCCAGTTTCCGTTTTTCAATCACCCGCCACAACTCCTTTTTTCTGAATTTTGCCTCATGGTCACGCATCTGGCGCGATGATATCTATTCGGATCGTTTTTAATTTTTCCGCGCGAATCGAGTAAAGTGTGTCTAAATCTAGGGAACTATCAAGGACCATGGCACTATAGGCTCTGAGCCCAATAAATTGTTGGTCAGTGGATAAGAATATTGCGAAAAGTATCATGGGAAGGTGGGTGATTGCGAACAAAAAAATGGCGGTAATATTGGGCTTATGTCGGATGTCAATTACTTCTCGAAGCACAACATGTAAAAATAGAACGGACTGAGCGAAGGAGGGGGTCAAAAAGGCTAGGATGACTACAAAGTTACGACTTGCGTCGTCTGGAGGCGATGTAAAGATTTGGGACATGCCAGAATTGAACATAGCGAAAGCCTTCAGCCCTCACTCTCAACCTGTGGGTTCGTTGTGTTGGAGCCCCAACAGTATCTTTTGCTTTATATCATAGTGTGTTTTATTCGTCTAGACGATCCTATCTCGTTAAATGATATATTTTACATTTGTCAGTATTCTCTCCATGTATTTATTCAAGCTTGCGGTATGAAATGGCCTCAATTAATGATTGTTTTCGTTTAAAGAATCTTTCGGGCAGTGGATACTTTTAATTATTTGAATTGCTAATATTGTAGTTGGAGTTCATGCGATATTTACACTTAAAGATGATGCCACAAAAGGGTTCGCCAAGGCTATGGAAAACTAAGAAGGAACCAGATTATGGGTGTGGGCATAAAGAGCCATGGAAAATGTTCTGAAAACTATTCTTCTGTGAGTGAAAAAAGAAAGAAGTACATTTCTGCTAATGATTATTTTTACTTAATCTTGAGACCAAACTTTCAATCCAAAGTAATCATGAACATCAAAAAAGTATTGGAAAAGGTCATAGAATCTTGTGATATCTTATAAATTAAAGTGTAGTAAATCTCTTTGAAGAGTAGGATCTTCTCTGTGAAGAAAAAAAAAATCTCTGTTGTTACAAATGAGCCATTGTTGAACCAGATGACAGTCTCATTCCAACATCCTAAATTTTTGCTACAAAAGAGAGGTTTTAAATTGCTTAGAACAAAATGACTTGTTGGCTATTGTGCAGTGAGGGTAGAGTTGCATGTCGTATGGAAGGTGCTTGGACACAAAAACAAAACTAAACAAGATACAGTGGAGTCTAAACCTTCCAAAGCCTCAGGAGGAGAGTTTTAAACTCAATGAATGGGAATTCCCTCTCTTTTGAACAAAGTGTAATAACATTACCAGTTCTTTCAGCCTTGATAGGGTAGATGTTATTTATTAAATTTTTAAAATTTTTTTCTGATGAAGCAAGTGTAGCTTTGGGAGGGAAGGATTGCTCAAAGACTTTCTTGTTGGATGAAAAATTTCCTCCTCTCTGAGAATAAACATAGAAGAAAGTTATATAGGGATGACAATGCTTACAAACTTATAACATAATGATAAGGTTCTGAATCAGTCCCGGAACAGTTTGCCAACACTCCTCCTACCCAAGAGTTTTTCTTAGCAGACTGTAATTGTCCCTAAGTGTGGTGGATGTTAGAAAATCTTACATAATATATGAATCTTGGAATCGGTTATTAGAATACCACTGTAGTTCTTTCTTTAGTTGATGTGGGAATTTTGTCGAACAGTGAATCCTTAACATTGTCAGATCAGTGTTTGGCTAGTGCTGCTAATGACAAAGTTGTTGTCACATATATTAAGGGCGATGAGTATGATACTGCTGAAATTACTGCTGGGGTGAGTGCAATTGCTTTAAGTTCATGTTGCTTAACAATTCCTTGTTAAGGAAACCACTAACTCTCTTTTTGATAGATATTATCAAAGCTTTCTGTAACTATTTATATTTTTCATTTAGTTCTTACAAGAATTATGTCATGCTCATTTGCTTTAATATATTCTTTGAAAATTTCAGGAAGGAAACACTTGTGTGGCCTTTAATTCATCTTCTCGTTATTTGCTTACTGGTGGAAATAGTAAAACTCTTAATATTTGGGACATGAAAACAAAAAGTGTAAAGAAAACATATAAGGTAAGTCACAATATGAAGAGAAACCTCAATTGTTTCGTGAGAAATGACTCATTTTTTAATAGATTACTTTGAATTCACATAAGGAAGTAAAATTGACTTCAATTTCAATATCTTTATGATGAAATTTCAAATTTAGAAAGCATCCCAACCTAAATTGTCTCTTCTGGGCTGAGATCATCAATATTTATAAAGAATACACAAAAAAAGTGTGTCCACATGCTATTTATGCATAGGTTGGAAAGAATCAGAAATCTCATGAGTGAGCACAGCTAACAAGTGAGATACAAGGGTATTGTGTCTTGTGCCCTCCCTCATCTGATACTTTTGTCTATTTTCATCACCAGTTTGCTGGATAGTGTAGTGAAATTGTGACTAGTTTCTTATACTTTTAATTTGTTTGTCACTTTTGTAGCAGGTATACAATACCTTGTTAGTAATTATAGTAAACTGTTATCATGGTATTGTATAAACAACTACTTCTGAACACTTTCAAAAATGGCCGAAAAATCAAGGGGTCGTTCTTGCTCTGAGCCTTTCAATTGTAGTACGTGTATTTTTGGCTGGATTTGCCAATGAAATGGACACTAAAGTAAACTGGTACATAATTTATTTAACAGGATCACAAGGACATTGTGTCTTGTGTAGCTTTTAACTGGAATGACACATCTATTGCGTCAGGGTCAGTGAATGGAGACATACTTCTTCACAATGTTATGACAGGACAAGCCTCAGATCCTCTTAGATTAGCCAAAACACAGGTATGTAGTAGATGTACCCTGGGATGTTTTTCTGTCATTTTTCATTGTACATGTATGGACTATTAGATTTAGGCTAAGAACTACTGTAGTTCTGTATTATTCCAATTTTTTGCCTTTCTGATACAACATTGGCTACTTCAGGGAATGTAAATAAAATATACCACTCTGCTTGATTTCAAAGCAATGTAGGTGATGTTATCATGCGATAGAACACTTGAGCCATGACAAGTTGTCTGTAAAAAAACATCCCAACATTAGCATTGATGTCAAAACTATTGTACAGGAAAACCACCCTGTCAACTTATGATCAATTTAGGCATTTGAAAGTGTACACCCAAACTTAATCCTGGGGTAGAATGCATTGAACTTAGAGACCTTTTATTTTAAACTAGACTGTTCAGATCTTTTGTTTTCACTATTACTCATAAGGATTTTCTTTGTTATTGTGTGTGAGCATTGCCACATTTGGAACTCATTGTCCCTATTTTTTTTCTAATTATTTGTATCACCTACATTGCTTTTATATCATGCATAATGATCAGAATTGCTAAATAAAAAGAAATTCTGTAGCACAAGGGCCTCAGTCAAATCGTCCATGTAATCAACATGCTACTGAAGGACAACTTTAAACAAATATTGAATTTTTTACTTTTTTAAATTTCATGTTTGATTTGAAATGTCTTTTGGCCAAGAATCATAGTTACTGGTTGTCTAGAAAATTAAAATGAAACTATTATCACAGAAAAAAGTACATGAAGTTTGGAAAGGAATGCACCTGCATATCAACATGTGTTGCACTTATTCAAGTTTCTGTGTTCAATTTGTCTCTTAGGTTGACCCACCCCCTCTCAATATTGAAGTATCACAAGATAATTAGAGTGGCACTTCAATAAATTTTTTGATGAAAGAAATTTCCTTGTTTTTCTTATCATAACAGTAAAAGAATAGTTGCAATTGAATAAACCCTCACAATTCTACAAGCAGTCAAAGCTAAATTTTTTATGTTCACAATGGCACATCTTGCATCTTGGGTCAGGCAAGGTTGTTATGTCATCCCAGGAACCATGCCACAAGGCTGTAATGCCAAGACAGGAAATACTTTTTGGGAATTTCACTTTCTTTAAACATCAAAGACTTTCCATAAAGCCAAGTCATATAAAGACTCAAACTCGTACAGTGACAATATGACTCTGAAGTATTCAAACCTTCTAATATATTGGAATATGACACAGATAGAGAAAATCAATTGTGTGCCCAAATCAAAGGCTTGATATAATCATTGGAACGTGGACACAACTGAGAAAAAACTCTATTGGACTCTTACAAGCTCATCTCAAGAAGGGCACATGCCCAAAAAGTCTAAGATACAATGCAAGTGTGAACATTGCATTTGAGAAAGATTTTAAATCAGATATCTAAGCATGATGAAGAAGTAGAGCATGACCTTGCAGAAGTACTGGTGAAGATTGATGTAGTAGAATTTTCAAAGAACATAGAATTAGTGGCCATAGATTCAAGCTATTTAGAAGTAATTGAGGTAAATAAATTAGCCTTGGAAGCAAAAGCTAAAATGAACAAAGGTAACAAGCTTCTTGTAAATTTGGGAACATCAGCAGGCAATAGAGAAACTGAATCTCATACTTGTACATTCACTGCCTCCTTAGAAATGAACAGCAAGAGTGAAACATAACCCAAATAAAATAAAAGCAGCTGAAGACTGCACAAAGAAAAAAACCCAAACAAACAAACGAAAAAACAAAAAAGCAAAAGACAAAGGTCAAAGGATTAAAGCATGAGTCACACAAACAGCACACCGAGAACCTGTCATACAAAACAACAGATGAACAAATTCACAGCTGGTAAATCTGCCTCAGAAAAAGTGAGCATAGTTGAGAGATTCACAGGGAATTGATCCTTGACACACAGACACATTACAGAGATATGGTGATCCACCAATACACACTTTTTTTTTTTGCATTATCCTTCAGGCAAAATGATTTGTTATAGGAGAAGTGTTAGGCTTCCTAAGAACAAATTTTTCATGCTCTACATTTGCAAAGACATTTAGATTGTAAAAATACACTTTGAGAATAGAGGACACCTAGATGAAATTTTAGAGAAATGTATTTCTGAAGTTTATTCTACTGGGAGAGAAAAGTCACTCAAAAACAAAGAAAAAGTTGGTTGTAGTGTGTGTTGGGTTGTAGTGTGACTGCTTTCTAACTAAATGATGTGAATAATGTTGAATTGGTTCTTGGGATTATGTCATAAGCCAACCCACCCCATTTCCCCTATTTCTCAGTCATAAACATGATTAAGGCCAATTTTTTGGGTCTTTGAATACTTATTTTAAAAAAAAAAAGCTAATTAAAATAGATGCAACATTAATTGTTTTGGACTTTGTTATCAGTAAGACAAGGAATAAATTTTGGTGGGAAAAAAATTTGGGGGGTTAGTTGCAGTTTCAGTCCTAATTTAAAACATTTCTGTGTTGTGCAATATTATATCAGGGCATGGGAGCGGGAAAAGAAGCAAAACAAGTGTTTCCAGCAGTACATTTATCCTACCAAAACCTTAGACATTGACCATATATTTAGATTATTGTGATTTATGTGGTAGTGGTCTTTTGTGATTTTAAAGTGGTAGTTGTTTTGATCCATAGTGTACCATTATAGCTGAAACTCTCAAACATGGTTATTTTATCCTTTTAGTTCTTTTTTGTAATGTTAGCTCAGGAGTATCCATCTAAAGGAGCTTGAAATGTCTAATAAAGATAACAGAATTGTAACACTCAGAGCAGAGCAACGGTTAAACTGCAGTTTATTATGAGCTGACAAAAGGAAGTACATGATGGAAATGAATTTTTTTTTTTACAGGCAGTGCGAGACATTCAGTTTTCACACTTCAAAAAGAGTTTATTGGGTGCTGTTAGTGATGATGGAGCTCTTAATCTTTGGGATTCTAACACAAAAAAACTATCAACATCATTTGCCTCTGATCACAAAGGACCTGCAACAGGATTAAGTTTCTCACCCATGAATGATATGCTTCTGTGTAGTGTGGGACTCGACAAAAGAATTGTGTTCTATGATGTTCAGCAGAAAAAGTAATGTAGTACTATTACACCATTATCATGTTGTAATAAATAATAGATAAACCCTTTGGATCATAAGCAGCCCAAAATTAATCTTTCCATTTTATCTGATGCAGTACATGTTTATATGCATCACTACACACACTACTATCTTCTCTTTTTGTTTTGTTTTTTTTTTTGTTTGCTTGCTTTTTCTAACATTAATACTACGTTTTTTCCCTGTAATTTTTATTTGGTGGCCTTTTCAACACCTTAGAAATAATGTTTGTTATTTTTGATAAACCTCCTTTGGTGATTATATATTCTTTAATAACTAAAATTCAGTTGTTACAGTTTTTTTGATGTTAATCCTCAATGAAGCCCTTCCTTCTAGAACTTCAAGCTTCTAGTGAGCCACTTCCCCTAACAAACTTCCGAAACAAAATGTCACATGAGATAATGATGCTATGCAAAGGGCTCTGTTGTAGTTTAAAATTAATTTCAGGTCAGAATGATTAAAACTAGTTTCAATTGATATAATTTTTTTCTTTTGCTAGTTACATTTCAGTCTTTTTAAGAAGCAAAAATGGAAATCAGACTAGTTTGAGATCACTTTGAGCTGATATCTTGTTAAACTACAGTGTATATAACAGTTGGATTGTATTGCAATACATTTAGGCCAAGCAACCAACAGTTTAGTTCAAATTGTCCTTTTATCTTACTGTTGTTATTTATTTTCTCTTTGTTTTAAATAGTGTAAGTCAACACCTCATACCCTTTGTAAAAACCCATCCATGAAACAGATGTCCACTTAATTCTAACCTTAGCTTGGATAACTATCGTGAACTACCACATGTACATGTAGGTGGTTCATACATGCCTTCTTTTATTTCATTACACCTGAAAAGGAAGACAAGGTTTGTTTCCACTGTCATTCATTTTTTTGCTGTTTCTTCAAAGGTCAGTTAAAGTTATGATGGCAGAATCTCCCCTGACATCTGTTGATTTTATGTCTGATGGAGGAACATTGGCAGTTGGTTCAACTAGAGGTATAGTTGTGTTTGTCCGTTGTTTTGTTTTTGTTTTTGTTTTTATGAGTCACATGTATTTACTTTCCTTTTTTTGGCTCACATTAACATGTTAACTCCCAAAGGTAATGAAATGGTATCTTTTCCCTTAAAAATCTGTTCATTATCCAGCAAACAGGTAATCAGAATACTAAAATTTGTCTGGTAGAAAATGTTATCTCAATCTAACACCAAATTCTTGTAACTGATGTACAAGGAAATGTTAGCAGCTAGATGGGAGAATTAACAATCAGATTCTGGGAGTGAAAGGGTTATTAACACATTGAAAACTTCACAATGATCTTAATTCTTTGGTCTTTTCTCTAAAAGTACTGCAATGAAACTTTATTAAATAAATACAAGCTATTATCTAATGATTAGAGGAGACAAAATCAGGATAACTATGGAAGAAAATGACAATCTATCCAAAGCTGTTTAGCATTGATGTAAATTTCCTTAGCCTTTGTTTAACAGTGGCAGTAAGAAAACCTTAGTTCATGTAACATATCTCAGTTTACTACATAACATCCACTTTGTGTAGTTATAGTACAGTGGGCTTAAGATACTTTCCATAGCAAGAATGAAAAATTTTTAATTTTTTTGTTTTGTTTTGTCTTGTCTTTGTTTTTGTTTTGGTTATACTTGCAAAGGCTTTTGTTTTTGGTTATGCTTGCAAGGGCTAGGACTATTTGGAGCCAAATAACCATTATGTACACTCCGTTTAGTCAAAGCTTAAGGTAATCATAGTAACTTGCCTGTAGTTTTGTCAATACTAGCGTGGTTACACAGTAAGTTGTAAAAAAAGATAAAGGTCAACCTTAAGATTTGATCCTAACTTGTTTTGGAATCTGTAGGTAAAATCTACATCTATGACCTGCGTAGCGGATCCAGTCCAGTCAACACAAGAGTGGCACACAAAACATCTGTTCAATCACTTTCATTCCAGTCATCGACAAAGGTTAGGAAAGTTAAGCCTGTCTTTACCCAGCCCTGGTTTTGTATTTTTCAACTCTAAGGACAAATCAGCATTTCACTTAAACTATAATTAACTGTTTGAGTGACTTTTTAATTGGAGGGTGAATCAAAAATAAAGGCAGTGGATTGTAAATTTGGGAAATGCCTAAGAAATGTCAAACTCATAAATTCCTCTGAACTCAGTTTGGTTAGAACCTCTTCTTCTGGTCCTGGTAGTCCTTAAAGAAGATTTTATGGAAATTTCTGTTTGAGAAATGTTGTAGGTTGAAATACTTGTTATGGCAAAATAATCAGTAAAGGCCTTTTAAGAATATAGAAGAGAAGAGGAAGTGAGGTGTTTTGAAGAAATAGGGTGCTCAATGGAATATTCTGTTGGCTGACAAGTTTATATGGATGGAGGTAAAGCTAGGCTAGGGATTAAACTGGGCAGGTGTTAGTAGCTGGAGTGAGAAAGCCTAAAATTGCTGCAAATATGGTTGTGGCTGACTGTTGCTAACAAATAATGCCTTGCCTCTGTCTACCTACAGGTTAATAGTTTAGGAAATAGCAAAAGCTCCAAACCTGTGACTTCAAATACTAAACCTACACCAAATCCAGTGCCAACAGAAGCACAGCCTGCTTCAACAAGCATTGTACCAACCATTACAGCTGTCAATGTACCAGATCACACTTCACACACTCCACTATCAAAACAAAATGGAATTAAAAATGAAGAATCAGAGGATTTATTCTCACCTTTAAGAGAAGGTTTGTACATCAGTGTTTCAAGAGCCAATAAGAAGCAAATCGAAGGCAGATATTTTTTACCTAATGTAGTGACTAAGAAAAAATTCTTTGTATGGTTTTCTACCACTATTTAATCAACTATCAGTGAAATGCCAAATGAAAGTGTGAGTTATTCACTGGGTGAGAAGTCCACATTGGAAACACTTGGGCATTGTTGGTCTGCCAGGAAGTAACCCAACCAGTAACATGATTTTTTTTTTCTAGCAAAATTTTAATTGTTCTTTGATAATGGGTTGCGTACATAAAAATTGTACACAATTATTCTATTAGTGAATCACTCTCATATTTGAGTCTTAAAAAGGGTTAAAATTGCGGAGTCTTTTGATATGTTCGCCAATTTTTTGCTTTTAGATCTGCTGCTCTTGTCCTTGTTCTTTTCCTAAGGTTAAAAGGTCTCTCTCAGCAGTTTTATGTTTACTAAGCTAGTTTTCAGAATTTTACCCTGAGTTGAAAAAATTCTTGTACTGATTCTACAAAAGTTTATGTTACTTAAAGGATTTCTTGACCAGTAGTTGAAGGATCATTAAGCTTATCTATCTTACCCTTTTACCCATAAGAGTGACTAGCATCTTTTTTCTCCTTAAACAATATCACCCCTGAATCAAACATAAAGGTTACAAGAATAAAGGAAATGATGACCTATGAAAGAAGCTCTGGATTGTTAAACAAATTCTTCTTGTCAGAATCTTAGGAAATGTATAGGGAACAGTATGGGGAATATGCACACTAATGTTAGGGTGTAAAGGGGTTAATACATATACAATGTAGATGAATTAGCAAAGAAGAAGCAGTCATTTAACACCTTTCTCTATCACCATTGTTTCAAAAGTTAATACTTCTTTATTTCTTTTTATTAGTCAAAACAGCAGCTGTAGAGGCTCCTAGTAGGCAAACTAATGAGCCACCCCTCCCTGGTTCAGGAGAGGCATCTCCTTCATACAACTTAAAAGAAAACAATCCACCAGATGGTAAGATGCATGTGTTTCTTTGTGCATAGTTTTCTTAGTAGTGACCTATCATTAGGCAAAATGTTGAAGAATATTATTTATTGAGTATCATGAAGCAAAATTGAACAATGTTATACTTGATTTCATAATTCAAGTTGGAATTTATGACAAAAATTTCACAACCTTGATGTTACTTTATTTCTGGAAGATGGCAAGTACTGTCAGTCTATCAATTGTCTTTCATGTTGTCTACCAATACAATACAATACAATATTTATTTGCCATATACGACATTTACACATGGAAAAAAAAAAAAATGAAGAAAATTGATGACAGAAAATAAATGGCGAGGAAACCTGAAAGAAACCACGAGGCTTATAACAAGTCAGGCTTTCTCACTTAAAATAGCTAATCTTATATTAGAATTACAATATGGACTTATGGTAATTAACTTTGACCGCGCACATGTACACACACACACACGCACACACATATTAACTAAGTTAGTTAAGAATTACTGCCTTACAGAAGCTAATACCAATTATATGAAGGTGCTTTTAATACATGTTAGGAATTCATTATAGAAAATGACTTGCCTTGAGAGAATGGTGTGAGGTAATGACCAATGAATGTAGATGATTTGATCCAGCAGACTTATGGAATAAAGGCAAAATTAAAGTAATGATAATTTGTTATTAAAAAATACATCAGTGGGAATGGGTAATTTTTACTCCCCTGGAAAAGGAAGGGCTAAATGTTTTTAAACAGAGGTTTGTTTTGAAGCATGAAGTATAGTTTGGAGCAGGTCCTTGTAACTGCAATTTTGTGGTTAGACTGTAATTGTATGCTAAGAAAATCAATAATTTATTGGTAGGTTGATACCTGATGAACAATCATCTTTGTTGTATAGAAATGCTCTCAGTTCAGTTCCAAAATTCTTCTAGCTAAAGCACATGGTAAAATTCATTGAAAGAAAAGTTGAAAGATCAGGGTTTAAAATTTTTGTTTGAAGATGTATAATTTTGATCAATACCATATTATCAATGACAAAGGAAGATAAGATACAATTCTTATATTTTGGGCCCTTTTCTTGCTATGGAATATTTAGTTTAAGATTGCAGTCATTACATATTTTAAGCAAAAAAACTTCTTAAAATAAACATTTCCAAAGTAAAACTATGTCTATTCAGTGGTTCAATCAGTGCAATGGTAATTTTTACTGATGAATGATGTGTGCTCGTTGGGACGTTTTCCCAAGAAAAGATTCTTCAGCTTACATGGAAATACATTTTACCACCTATTTACTGTATACACTATGTTAGTCTGCAAGGAGAGGTCCTCACCTCATTGTAATGGAGACTTCAATATTACAAGCTCCTTACAGTAATTTCACACATGGTATATTTCAGTAATAATATTGTTTCAGTGGTCACAGGTGGCATTTTTGTTTCTATCTTTTGACATTGTTATATCTTCTCCATATTTAAAGCAACTTTATTAAAATTTTTATGACCAAAGAGAAACAGTTATAGCAAAGAAGATTCTTTGCATCTAGAGTTACTCTCTAAGTGGGAGAGCTGTGCTTAGTAAATTTTTTTCAAACTGAATTATTTTAACAAATAATGATTAGAGTTTCACAAGGTGATGATTTATCATGAATTTGTTATAAGGTAAGAACAATATTGTAAGTCTGAAATGATATATTAAATATTAAGTTATTTTACATTGAATTTCATTGTAAAAATAAGGCCATTTGTCTAAATTATGGAAAATCATCGTAAAATCAATTTCTTTATCATTAACAGATCTATGTTTCTCTCTAAACTGTTTTGTAAAACTCCATTGCTTGTCATGTGTGTATTTAATACTATCTGCAGGGGCTTTGCTCTTGCAGAGATGTCCAGGGGAGTAAGGGTAGCTTGGGGGCATCTCTCATGTTGAGATTTTCTCAGGCAATTCTTAATACTAAACTGAAAACCAAGCAATACAAACAAAGATGAACAGAAAACACAGGTCCACTGATGTATACTTCAGACCCTATTCAGGTTTATTCTGTTCCCTTTTCTTCTACAAGAGGGTATATAATAACTTTGATAAGTTTTCTTAAATTTTGCAGTTTACAACACTAATGCAACAACATGTTGCTTATAAAGAAATTTTGTATTGACTGGATTGTTAAAAAATAGTTTTATTCTGTTAGAGAATGAAGTGAGGGGGAAGCAGTTTTTTATTCCTAAATATAGAAGATTCCCCTAACCCAGAGGTTTACTGTCGCTTTCTGGAGTTTTCTTTTTTAACTTTTAGTGATAGAGAAATATTGCCATGGCATTTTTGCTTGAATTTAGAAGTACATAAAATTCACCTAATTATCAGTCACCTGCAAGTTTAAGAAAATAAGTTTAGGTTGAGACTCTATTTTCAACTAAATTCAAATCATTTTGCCTGCTTAAGGTGAAACCATCTACCATAGTTAAGCAAGAAAGTTTGAGATGCTCACAGAATTTTGCAAAGATCATCAAAAAGGTGTAACATCTACTTCCCAATTGGACTTCACTTGTAAATTAACACCAGTACCTACGCATGTCCTATCACAATGTCATTTGAATCTCAGTCTATAAATCTGTAGAGATTACATGGATTTTTCCGGGAAAGAGTAATGGTAAAGGACAGTCAAATTGTGAAATTGAATATGTAGCATATCTTGTCTCAGTGTTTCGCTTAGATGCTTCTCATTTGTTCATGAATGTTTCTTGTGAAAGAAACAGAAATGGACAAAACCTGTCAGCTTTTTTATTTGTTTCTGATATTTCAAGATGTATAGGATTAAAGTTTGGCATACTATTTTATAATCATTAAAAAAAAAAAACTTACCGAGTGGAAACTACAGCTCTGTCTCAGGCTTTTGTGTATTCTTAGTTGTTGTTTAGCCCTTGTTTATATTGTTTGCAGTGTTATGGAGCAATCTCTGAGTTGATGCTAAATAATTATTTCAATCTTTAATTTAATTAATCAGAAGTGATTGTGGAACAGTGTGAGTTTAAATTCATCAACTGATTTCTGTTATAGGATCAGGAATATTTTCTCCAATTGGGAGCAATCTGTCTTCCCTGTCAACCAGACAGTTGCATCACCCTGCTGAAGTGACAGCCACAACAAAAAACAGTTTACGTCAAGATTTGAACTCACCAAGAACACTTGCAGTAACCACAGCAAATGAAGCAACAGCTTCAACTGTTCAAAGTAACCGATCACCTGGTGCCAGAGCCCACACTGACTCGAGCACTGGTCAGGATCTGGTGGGTGACAACAGAACCAAATCCTCATCAGATGCTGTTTTCAGTGGGAATCTGTCACCCAGTATTACTAGGGCCCAGTTTGAGAGAAATCAGAGAAAACGTTTTTCTGGAGAATATGCTGATTCACAGGTTACTAAAGGGAGCCTACATGCTGAGGCAGATGTACAGCAACCAATCAGTATCTCACCCTCTGGATCTATAAGAAGTGAAAAATTAGTTGCACAACTAGAAAGCAGTGGGCAAAAGGTATTTTGTCATTTTCTTTGATAAATAAATACAAGTAACCTGAACACGAGCTGAGTGGTTCATTCTCTCATGATAATTGTTCCTCCTCTTCCTGAATGGAATGTCTGTCCATTTCAAGCTTTATATACCTCCATGGTTTCACCACATTCCTGGACAATTTGTTGAGGCCTATTTGTTCTCCAGGCAAGGGAGATTCATTGTAAGGTTAAAGGTGTTTTGCCCAAGGGAAAAAAGACATACCCAGGGCTTGTCCCGGATTAGGAGGTCTTATAGGTAAAAACTGTTGCTATTAGATATAGGTTTTGTCAGATTAACCCTTGGTATTAAGTTGCATCATATTTGGTATCTGCATGCACAGCAAAATGTCAGTTTTTACCCTAAATTCAACATCTCTTTCATTGCCTCCATTTTCTGCTTCCTTATTCAGCAAGAAACTTTCCAGGTCCTAGTACCTTTTACAGGTAACCTTTTGTGGAATGTAAATATATTACATTGACAGGAAGATAACAAGTAAATTAAAGCAATTAAGCAAACAATAATCAACAGTTGATTGTAACTACATTTAGCTATCAATTAACCCATATATGAGATGAAATGTATTGACATTATCACTGCTTGATCATCAGTAACACTGTAATGTGTCTTAATGTTCTTCAGTCACCTGGATCTCCATCCAATCACAGAAGGTTAGCAGATGATGGTTCAAGAATACGTGATCAGTCTGTTGGCCAAAGTACAGGACCTAAAGTACCAGAAACAGGTTATTAGGCCATTGTAATTAATTGGCAAATATTTCAATAACAATATATGAAACAGTTATTTTTTATTTTAATTCTTGTCTCCACTTCAAGATAGAGGATTTTATTTTCTGGTAAGTTAATAAAGAGATAAAGTGGAATTTGTGATAAGAGGCACCATTTTCAGCTGTCACCATGTATTAAGTGGTTGGTTTTCAAAGTCCCAAAAATTTCTTTCACTTAAGTACTGCAATTTTCACCTCTATAAAGTGTTCTCTTCTGTAAGCAGCCTCGGTCACCCTTAACTGAGTCGTAATGGCCTGCTTGTCTTCCACCTGTATTAATAAACAGTCACTTTATGTGGAACCAGCCTAATTATAACTATGAATAATCTCTGATATCAAAATTATTCCATGTTTATCTCCTGAGATAAATGCTAGCACTTTGAATTCAAATGTTCTTAATGCATAGTAGATTATCTTTCTTCTTGATACTATGAGGACAAAATGGTGTCTTTATTGTGTTTGACCTCTGCTCTGTGAAGGCTTTATTTGGTATCCAGTCAAGTCACCAACAGTTCAACTCGTCAATGTATAAAATCGAGTAGAGACATCGGCACGTTGGTCTTCAATCCAGTACAACTTATTAGAAGTTAAACATATAGAAAAGTAAAAGATTGTTAGTAAAAAAAACAATTTTTTTTTCTTCCAACAAAGTTTATAAGGATCCCATAGTGAATAAAGCAAGGTAAACATCACCAATGATTGTGAAATCTTCAGATGCAAATGAGTTATTGTGTGACAACAATGCTGTAAAGAATCATCATGTCAAACTTTAATAGAAAATTCTTTTTACTTCCAACAAAGTTTATAAGGATCTCAAGGCAAATAAAGCTCTATACTATTTATAGATACTTATTTAGTATAGTTTTTTAATAAAGATCTTGTCAAGAAAGTCAAGTTTTTTTTTTTTAAATCTGAGCGATTGACATGATGATTCTTTACAGTGTTGTTGTCACACAATAACTCATTCGTGTCTAAAGCTTTTTTGGTTATTAGAGATCCTTAAAAACTTAAAAATATTGGAAGAAAAAAATTGTTTTTTTACGAAAGATCTTTTACTTTTCTTTATGTTTAACTTCTAATAAGTTGTACTGGATTGAAGACCAACCCGCCTACGTCTCTACTTGATTTTATATGTTGGCAAGTTAGCGTTGGCGAGTTGAACTGTCAGCAACTTGACTGTAATTCCTTTATTTAGCTGTTAACCTGTGTTAAGCAGACACCCTGCCATTCTCTGTGGGTGACCAGTTAATATGGGTTTAACTGTAGTTTTCAATTTTAACTGAGTTTTAACTCAATAGAAAGAAGATCTTGATTAGTAGTTTCAATTGTAATAAACGTTTTTTTTTTGTTTGTCAAATCTTTTTCAGTGTCACCTGGTGAGAGTTTAATATTTGATAATGTAAATCATAGTCCAGATCCTTTACCAAGTGGAGCTGTTGGTATGGCAACTACAATTACTGATGTGGGTGCAATTGGTGCCAGTAATGCAGGCTTATTACCATTTCAAGTACAATTTATTAAGAACCTGATTGATGAATCACTGGATGAGTTCAGGTATAAAATTTGATTGAATTTGTGATTCATATGGAAACATTATCATCAATCTTTCAATGCAGGGATTTCAATAAAACCCAGTTGCCAGCTCTCTACCATTGCTCTCTAACATTTTTTTTTTTTGTTTTGGGGGGGGACGTTTCCTTACTGTGGAGCTACCTATTCCCCCAGCTGCCAATGGGAAAAGTTATTTAAACCACAGCAATGTCGTATGGAAAAATATTTTTTGCTGTCAGTTGAAAAATCTCTTGTGGAGTTGTCAATAAATCTAAGTACATAGGATATTTATAAATTGAATTTGATTTTTCTCATGAGGTTCATTTACCTTGCAATGTTTATTTTATTTATTATCATTATTTAACTATTAGTTTTGTTTACTTTTAGTTCAACATATTTTTCTTTGTATTGGTAGGGTTGCATTACACAGGGACATTGTTAATGTACAGGTTGAAATGCTGAGACAGTTTCAAATACAGAAAGTAAGTCTGGTCTTTTTGAAACCTCTAAAAAAAAACCTTGTAATGTTAGCTTTAATTTTAGGTAAGCTATGTGTGCATGGATGGTTAAAAATGCAAAGGAAGAAGAATTGGTGATAAATTATGATCCTGCCTGAAGCAATCCTTGTTTTCTTTACAAAGAATTGTATTATAAATATATTTTGCTCTTTCTTAAAATGTAAAACTATTGCTATAGCAATCTAGCTCTTATAGCTTTAAACTGGATCTGAATTTAAGTCAGGGCTCTAAGCTCAAATGTTTTCAAAGTTTCCATTTGGTAACCTAAAATCATCAAAAGGTAACTAAAAATGAAACTTTTTCTGGAAAAAAGAAAACACGAGCTGGCAATATTTTTATGTTCATCAGGTATTCTCAAAGCTCGGCACTAGAGAAACCAAAGGGAGAGAGAGAAAAATTTTCAAAAAGAAACATTGGAGCTCTCATTATATTTTATGCAAATTTTATTCATACTGAGACCATAGGCACAAATAATAAACACATTAGAGTTTGCTACATTGCAACTTAACATTGGTTGTCATATTGGTGAGTTAGTTTAATTGCCAAAAAAGTGGCAGCCAAAATAGTGACAGCTTGAAGCTGTCATAGGTGGTTCTTCTCAGCTCTAAACCTTTTCATAAGGATAAAACAAAGGATTGAAGCCTTCTAAAGCAAAGCAGTAGTATAGTGCATAATCTGGAAATATAAATGACACAACTCGTGTCTAAAACACAGTTAGACAGATTGAGAGTGATTTCATAGTTACTGTTACATTTCCTTCATACAAATAGGTGAACTAGTGAAGCTATAGTAACAGCTCTATAGTAACAGCTTTGCTAATTTTTTTTAACAGAATGAATTAAAAGGGATGCTAGAAAAGTATTCAGTCAATGAAGCCTTGATCTCTGAGATTGAAAGATTAAAAGAAGAGAACAATAGACTTAAATCCAAATATTGAGACTGTTGGGTAAGTTCTTTTTATCTTTTTCAGCAGTAACTGTTTTCATCAAAAGTCATCAGCATTGATTTATTTGGTCACTATGTTTTTTTTTTTAAACTAATTATTTTAAAGATAACATGCATTCAGAGAGCTCCTTGAACAAACTGTAGCACCATTGTTTGTATCTTTGATTATCATGAACTTTCACAATCATCATTTTCTACTAACTATGGTCAAATCAAAGGTACATGTGGGTTCATCATTAGTCGCCAGTAGTGTAACTACTTCCAGTTTCCCTGTGGTTTTTGTAAATGCCTTCCTCAAACCACTAGTGGTTATGGTCAAATCAAAGTTATGTGTGTGTTCTTTCAAAGTTCCTAGGAGTGCACCTTACTTTCAATATCTGCAGTTTGATAAATGCCATCCTTAAGGTACTATTGGTGATTATTTAAAATATACCTTTAAAAAAAAAATGTTTAGATTTGGTAGTTGCTTCAACAGGTAGAAAAATTGTCTGAAGTTAATTGCTTTTATCAGAACACCAATTACTAGATTGTGTATGAAATTCAAATGATGAGAATCCATCAATTTAGTGTTTATCATTGACCCACATTATTGCTGGTATCAGTAGTTCTTTCCAATCTTATATTTTCTAATTCCCTCTAAAATATCATCATACATGAAGTATGAAATAATGGAACCGTCAATGACAATCAATTTATTGTTTTCTTGATCAACAGCAGCTGTTCCTTTTACACACAGTAGATTGAGAGATACAGTACAGACACGACTGACAGAGATATGCATTGAATATATATCACATAAAATTCCATGTTTGTTGTTGTAGTTTTACAGTTTTAAGAAACAATGATAATCAAATGGCTTTCATTTAATGATTGGCTAGCAAGAATTATCACATCAGGGTTTTAGTTGACTTGGCAAGCATAGTGGAATTCATACAAAATGAAACCTACCAAGAAAATGCACAGTTAGTTTGTATCCACTTGAAAGAGTTTTCTATTTATTTATTTATTTCTTTTTGTACATTCTTGCATGCTTGCCCAGCTGACTTTTTATTAATTCTATCCAAAATGAGGTAAATTCTCTTAGACCTGTGATTACTTTTTTAAGAACAACTGGTTAAAAAGGAATGATTGGTGTTGCTTTTGTTTTGTAGGCCAAGTATGTGCCAGTAACCCTTAAAGTGCCACTAACTCCAAAAATTTTTTTGAACAAAATAAATCTCCTTGTCCTGTGGATAGCAAAGTGGCATCTATTCAAGGGTTTTTTTTCTATGAATTTTTAAAGATACTGAAATGGCCTCCTTGATAACAACTGAGAATTAGGGGAGTTGGGACAGGTTGACTTATGACAGCATCCCAAGAACCTATTTGACATTATTCACATCATTTAGTAAGAAAGCAGTCACATAATAACCTAGGAAAGAACCCTAGAAGTATGCTGGGAAAGTGAGGTTTCGGAGGCTGCAGCAATACAGTTTCCTTAGAAGATGGTCCACTCTTCCTACCATCTGGCATTTGGAGGACAATTTCCCTGAAGTAAAGAAATGCATAGGAAAATAGGGTTGATTTCTCTTATTTCTGTTGTCGGGCTAGCATGACTCCTGCCATTGGCAAGCAGTTTTATGTCTTCTGCCTTCAGAATTTAGCTCTGACCAGGATATCTTTTAATGACTTTCCTTTTCAATATCATAACTAGGGTGGCTTCATTCGACCTTGTTCATTTAGCTTTTGATTCTTGAGCTAATTTTTTGACATCACTTGTTTTTAAATGGATTGAATCTGTGGTCAATGACACTATGTTCCTTGAAACTTGTATTACATTTGGCTTTCTTGTGTTTGCTTACTCTTATGAGGCTTAATGCAATTGCAAAAATTCTTTCACTGTGATGATCAGTAAAACAAGGAAATGTATTTTATCAAAGAAATTTTTTGGGGGTTAGTGGCAATTGAATATTGTACTTTAGACTTACAATGAAAATCTGATTGGTCTAGGGCAATCAATCAATCAATTTACAATAGCTAGTGAAGTTGACAAGATAAATACAAGATCTGCAGCTGATATTGCATTTATCATGTTGAGATCAAAGTGTGCTTAGTCTCCAAGCCCATCATCCATATAGTGTTCTCAAACTTTTGCAGCCTGAGAGAGGACCTCAAAACTAATTCTTTTGTAGATTGTTTTTTACATGTGTGAAAAAACAAACCTTTAATATGAAAAAAAAAACCTTTAATATGATGTGATAAATTCTCAAGCCTTGTGTGTGTCTTTTTTTTTTGCCCTAGCCTTTGGCTTCAGTAGACAAGTCAGACCTTGGTTTTTATAATTTAGGATATCATGCCCAGCCTCATCCACCAATTGCTTATTATTTTGTGCATAAGAAATCGGTAGTGCAAGCTATATTTCATCCATCATAATGTTTGTAAATGCATGTTACAAAATAAATTACAGAGGTCAAATATTTTCTAGTACCAGTAAACATAACTGAAATAATCTGTGCACATTTTACTTAACAGAAAGGGTTTTCTACATTTCAGCTCATTTGAAGAATCAATTGAGGATTGTAGTGATAGCTGTAATCTTTGCTGATGTGTTAATGATTGACCTTTTTCTGATTTGCAGGGGGAGTAATTTTTTGTGATAGCATTGAAGAATTTTGAAGATTGAAATATGTTTTGGCATGATTCATTCATTATAGGGAAAATTGTGAATGTGCAGAATCCTATTTGTAGATGTGGAACTTTAAATTGAGTTGTTAGAATATAGGAATGGTTCCTTTTCTGCCGTATGTTTATATTCTTAATCAAATGACAAGTTCAGCCATAGTCTAAAGAGACGAAAGAGTCGTAAATATTTAATAATTAAATAAGGCTGAGGAGTATTTTCTTAGGATTCAATGCATTGTGAATAAAAGATTGAACTCCAGTTTATTATCTTGCATCTTTCATCTCGATAAATTGATAAATAAATTTTAATTATTTAATTACTCAAGAAATGAAAGTATTTGAAATTCTCAAATGCATTTACAAAATAAAGCAGTATGACTAAGACAGTAAGATAATGAACATGAGCATAAATCTTCTGGCATTTTATCACAAATGCTTCAATCTGATTGACTGCCTTACTTGCCATCTCATCTAACATAAGTAGAAAGTGTGGCCTTAGAGTGTGAATTTGAACAAAATAAAATGAAGACAATTTTAAAACAGCCAGTAGAATTTTCTCAAACAATATTAAATTATTATTTCTTGATATGCAGGATAGTTGATTTGGGTGTCACCCTGATTTATCAACCAGAGATCTTAAGCTCCTCATCTATTGTTTGTTAGGCTATGTGATAAAGAGAATGAAATAAATGAATCTCCAGTGTTGACAGAATTCCTTCCCTTTTATTCAAAAGGATATCCTCCCTTGAGGTAACAGTTTTCCTGCCTAAGTAATTGTTCAAGAAATTTTATTTTATTTACCTAGCCTAGGGGGTACTCCTTAATTACTCCAAAGGTTTCCATTCTTTGAGTCATTTCACTCTGAATTAAGTAAAAATTTTGACCATCATGGTCTTACTTGGGCTATGGTTTCCAACAAAACCACATTGCCTAGAGAAACCTCTGCTGTTTATATTCAAAATGAATAACAGAAAAAAAACTAAAATATTTCATTTGAGTTGTGTCTATTAGTGAATTTCACCAATGCTTGACTTCAGCACTGATAGAAAGCCCACAATAAAGCATAATGGATCTGCACACCAAGTGCAAATTTCAGAAGCTGAGTGTATAAACAGGTTTGATCTGAGAGTCCAGGTCTGACACTGAGCATGAAGAATTGCATGTTTTGCTCGAAAATGAGGTTAGGACTGTGAGAACCTAATGGGTACAATGTAAACAAGGATTCCAAGGGGTGCCTTGCAAAAGGGCCAGATTTGATGGTTTCCAATTGTTCCACAGGCATTGCATTGAGTTAAAGGGGCTCTTGTTTCACTTGATAAAGCATTCCAAGTTGACAATATTTCATTCCTCATAACATTCTCATCTATAGCTAAGTTGCCTTTGGTTCCTCATATGGTCCAAAGAAAGTCATGTTGACTCACACAACAAATTTCTCTTTCATGGATAGATAGTTTATTTTTTGCTGTTCTTGGTTCATCAGCTTGGGATACCTTCGTTTGGGATTTAAAAAAATATCAGCCAATGCTCAGTATGCCTGCATTAAGTTGATACTATCAAGAGACATGGATGCTTGTTTCATAGCCTTCCCCATAGGATTTCAGAAAGTTCTGCCAAGTGACAAGTGTCTGAGTTCAGCAGTTTTATGCATCATGGTCATTATATGGGTGAACCTTACTGAAGCTTTGGAATAACAAATGCTACAAATGATACGGCACCAGTCATAAGGGTCATAAGAATCTTCATTGTCAGATCTACAGTGATACGAATTCCAAGGATTTTAAGACCCATGTCTGACTCACATAATGCCATATACTGGAATAACTGTATATCTTCAACAGGTAGATCTGTTGTCCAGGAGGTCACCTTTAACTGACATCGCTTTGAGGCTTGCACAACTATGCGATGGACCGCGGCTGCAACTACCGATGGGGGGTACAGTTTGACAACAATGCTCACCAAATCAAAAAGAACACCACCTGCATATTGCCAGAGTTTATAATTTTCACCAAATGAAGAACTGAAATAAGCAAAGCTAAAAGTGATCACATCTACCACATGGTATGCTAAAGCAAAAGAAATAACTATATTGAAATCTGCCTGTGTTGTTTCCAGTGAGGTTTGTAATTGATGGTGTTTTTTCAGAATTGCTGTTGGTTTTAATTCACAAGACTTCATTTGTTCTATAACAGTATCAATTTGTAAACTGTGAACATGGCAAACAAATCCATAAACACTGAGCCACGTTGCCCACCAGCCTGTAGCATACACAACAACGGTTATGTAGACTGCATAGTGCCACAATTCAGAGAAGAAAGGAAGCCAGTGAATTATGAAAAATACGGCTCCAAGAGCCCAAAGAGATGCAGACATTAAGGTATACCATCGAGCAATACGGTTTAACTTCTGCTGCCATTCATGTGAGACATTTTGTACGCTGTAAACGAGCTCCAAAAACTGGCCACGGTTAAAATAATAGACGGTGAAAATGAACGGACACAGCAAATTGAGGCATGTTGGAACACTATTCATAATTTCACCCATGTGAATCGTTTCCTTTTTAAAGCCGTAATGTATAAAATCCAAACACATAACAGCTGCAAGAGATCCTAACCACAAAAAGAACACAAATCCGCGATAAACCCGCCAGGCGAATTCAAATTTCACGTTGGAGGGCTTCCACATGCCGAGAATCTGTAATATGTAGTAACAAGGCCTAATCACATCCGATGAACGTAGCCCAACATCCACGAAAGGTATCCTTTCCTCAAAAGAATTGTAAGAAGTACTTAATGACACGTCCCTGTGCCTCGAATTAATTTCTGCTCTTCTGCAAATCTCAGCTAAAGACATTCTGGAGTTATCACCTAACTCAAGTCTCAAAGTCTACTCTATATTTATTGCGCTTCAGCTTCTCACATATCGTTTAAACGATGTTACAAGAGGACAACGGGGGGGTGTGGGTTGGGGTGATCTAGCCCACGATGAAGATAAATCTCAGCTAAATAAGGAAGAGTTCAAGATGTTTCAATCACGGGTTACCACCAACTCCCCACCCCTCTCCATAAGGTTTCATGAAGGTTTCCCTGATAAATTTCGTGCAGACATACACTGTCGGTGTAAAGTGCACAGCCTACGAACATGACACAATGACCCGGTCAGGAATTAAACATGACTTTTGCGCAACTGCGTCTCCCACTGAGCTCTTATACTCTCCGAAAATCCTGAAACACAAACGTGCACGCATATTTGGAGCGGAATAAAGAGGCAGTACAAACACACCAGGCCTATAGGGCAGTGTACACTGATAAAACTTCTCAAAGTTATTAAGTAAACATAAGCGGGCAAATTCAAAGTCTAATGCATAAAAAATATGTACCGAGCAACACACGCAGAGTAAATCTTCATTAGTTGCGCAATCCTCTGTGAGTGCTTGCCTTCAAAAGGGAGAAAAGCTTAAAGACTAGAACGCGTTATTCAAGGCGTTGTCATCTCATTCTTTAAAGCTTCGAAAGGTATTCCATAGGCTAGGCAATTTTTTCTAACAGTGGATTTCTGTTTCGATATGCTCATTTCATGACACGTTTCTGCGGTCGGGTTAGAATTCAAATTTCGATCAGGTGCGAACAGATTTGTTTTTAATCCCTACAAAGAATGGATCACAAGGAGAAAGAAGCTTCCAATTTTAAACGAATATATTGTCATAATATGGGGGAATGGGGGCTCTTAGAATATGCTCACCAGCTGAAGTCACTCAACTCACTGGATAGAAATGGTGTGCGATAATTCACTTTGGTTAAGACTAATGCGATGACGCAACTATCTTATTAGAGTAGAGCAAGTTTAGAGTAATTGTTGATAGGACAACTGCGATCGTCCAGATGCGGGAATTCTTGCATAAAAACACTGGGCGACAGTGACTGCTGTTTTAAAAGTATCAAAAATAAACAAAGCTGACTCCCTTGGATAGAAAAACACCCTCGATGACGGTCCTGGATTATGAATGCGACTGAAAATAATGAGCATGGTATCAGTTCGAACTTCGAAATTTAACATTTTTTTTTAACCTAGAACAGTCAGCAGCTTTTCAAATAATTTCATGCAAAAGATTTATTCGTGTAACGATGACAATGAGTTTCCATAATAATAAAAACTGCGGTCAGGAATCTTGTTTTGTGCAATAAAGCAAGCTGTTGCTTAGGATCTGAATGACAAAAAGCTATAACTACTGTGCTTGAAGGGATGATTCGTGAAAACGGTTCTTAACTCATCCCATACAGGAACAGAAACTTTCGTCGTAAAATATCTGAGGTTTATGACCCTGCTTTACTGAATATACAGTTTTCAAAGGACAAAATCGGTAGCAGCAGAAGTGTGTTATAGTTTGTAAAGTAAGAACTTCGTTATCTTGCAGTTAGGGAACATAATTGGTATATGAATCTAAACCACAAGTATTCAGCTATAGTATGTAAAAATGATTTGATCATCTCCTTTTCTCCTAATGACCTTAATTTGCAGCCTCGGTCAAGCGGTATCTTCTATAGCAAAAAAAATACTTTCTCAACAATTAAATTTTACTGGTCATACTTGCACTATGCTGAAATTGATTTTGATCAAAGGACACTTCTCATCGTGAATTCGGCGTGGAAAAAATTATTTGTTACCATAATAGCCGGCTTTTTGAATTATAGTGTTAAAATTACTCTTGTTGAAACAATGATAATCTGTTTAACAATAAAGTATGCAATTACTTCAACATAAGTTGATCTCTGTACAGGAACTTCCCGGAGATTACCTTTCTCAAATTTTCGATCATTCAAGTTCATCAGTTATCCCTTCATCACGCGCAAAAAATATACTTAACGTCGAATTTCAGTGCAGTCAACACTTTATTTGGAGGTGGCTGAGCGTGTTGAAAACAACAACAGCAACAACAACAAACCCTTAGCTAACGCACTGCATTTGTAATAACAAAATTTGCTCAAAGAGCACGTTGCTCGTTGATTCATGGAAAGGGCTAGTCACTTGGGTGTGCCCCTTCTTCTCCAACTTTTCTGTACATCTTTGCGTTAAGCAACAATCTTTACACACTGTTTTCTCTGTAAATCTCGAGTTTCGTTGGAGATCAAAATAACAAAGTTCTTAAAATGTTTTATACTATACTACACAACAAAAGAGCACATGCGAGAACTCAGGATTGAGTTGAGACAACCTAACTGTCCGTTGCTCAGGACTTTTTTCTCATTCACTTTACTTGCACACCTTAATGCTAACATACTAAAATGAAATGAAAACCCTAAGTTCCTACAACATAGATAACATAAAGGATAATCTTACAAAATTCTCAACATAGTGTATTTTAGAGCAATGACAATATGAGTAAACCTGCCCTGAGCAGCGATAATTTCAACCGGAACTAAAATATATTACACGAAAGCATAGTACAAAAAAGGGTATAAACTTTGAATGAAATGTGAAAAGGGAATTAGCACATATCACCTATGTTATAACAGAAAGACCCAGTATTTAGTAAGATCAACGTTTTTCTTTTCTCGATTAAGTCTTTCGTTAAATATTGCGCGCCGAACAGCTAGGGAACAAAGATCAACTGATGCATCAATAGTTCTAATATTTAAAAAAATATGGCCGGTGAAGACGATTGTGAACAGGATAGCAATGTACTCTGAGAAATGTAAAAATTATCGGCTCACTTCACAGATAAGAATATGTTTGAATCTAGTCATGATAAATACAATGGAAAAAAAAAACAAACAAACAAACTAAAATATTACATTTTTGTATCTTCTGAGGCTTTTGGTGCCCATGACAGGCACGCAGGATCGATTTCTTGGTAGCTGGCAGGCCGTGATAAAGCCTTCCTCTCATAATCATCAAACAGATCCTAAAATTGTGAATATCAGACAATTTGTCAATCTAAAGGTGCAGTGAAATAAAGTATACTGTACGCCTTCTTATTAGCCCAGAGACATTGGCTCTGAAACACACGTGTTGAGTTTTCACGTTTGGCAGGTTCAATTTGGTTGATTAGCAATCATTTCACACTTTATGTCTGAGACAGCGAGTTTGATGTGAAGATCATGAACATAACATCAGCCCCATCATAGATGATCAATCTGAAGTCCATTGAGAACACTTGGGTGAGTAATTTGCTCAAGTACTAGCTCTTATTTATCAGCCCAATGAAAAGTATCAAAATGGAACCCTTAAGTTTGTCAGGCTTGAGTATGTCAGTGTGTGTGTGTGCAACTTGTCAACTTCACTGCAACTTGTCTGGAATTATGTAAGGAGCATACAATTAACTGGATGTATTTCGCTTCAGAGTCATTTAAGCCATTCTTTGAAATCTAATAAGTTCATAGCGTTAGTTTGTTTTGTTACATGCGACGCTAACCGTAGCACGGAGGATGACATGCTTTCCTTTCCAGTACTTCAGAATACCCATATACTGCAAGGTGCTGATAATGTCACTTGGATGCAATGCTGTTTCCTGGCTTATATCTGAAACAAACCAACAAATACTGGATTACGGCTGAACTCCAAGAAACTTTACCAAGTCACAAAGTTTGAAAACTGAGATTTGAAAACACAGTGCCTCTCCGTGTTCCTTAAATGGGCGACTAAACATAAGTGGCTAAACTATAAAACATTCGCTTGTGAAGTAAAATGTAGGATGGAAATATTAGATGCAGTTCGAACATCGGAAACTATTCAAATGGAATACTGGGAGAGGCGGCGAAACGGTCACACATACACTTCCGGCTCGATGTTTGAGGAAAATAATTGATTATTTAGCCAGGTTTAAGACTGGGTACTAAGAAGAAGACAAGAATGGGAACTTCTTGAAGGGGATTTGAAAAGGAAGCACACAATTGGTCGGGGCCCTGGAGACCGCAAGAAATGACGTTACATGTATGTACTTACGTTGATAATATAAAGTGCTTTGATTGGTTACTAATGTTAACCTCGCCTTGATCGGTGTAATGAGAAAAATAAAGAACTTCTGTACCGCCGTATCACCTTTTTGGGTGCACCGAACAGACAAACACACACACTCAAAAGTGGTGTCATCTGTTGTTTGGAGTACGAGAATTTCCACTCGAGAAACTAGAAATTAAAATATAACTTTTGGACTTCAAATGTAACTAACTCACCTTTAATAGATATCCTGTCAAATCCAAAATTCTTCAAGTATTTCAGCAAAATGCTTTTCCAGTAACTGCGATAACTAATAAGTCCAAGATCTGATAAGGGCTTTTCTGGAGATCCAACCTTCCCCTCCACTTTCGATAAAAGATAACCTACAGCACCAAAAGATAACAAAAATTTCTTAGTACCAGTGAAACGGAAATTCAAATTCGAAATGGAACTAATCTCGAGTACTTTCTTGTCAGGAATTGAATGGTCAATGGTCAAGGGAATTTCATTACACATCAGTTGTCACTTAAACTGGCAGAAGTAAAAAAAATGTGGTAGTGTGGTATATTCCAGGAAAGATGTTTCACACACCATAACCGCATGGCACCTTTTCTGAGAAAATATTAGCACCGTAAATGAAACAAATCAAAAGCAAAAGCAGTGATCAGACAACAATTTCTGTAATTTCTAAACAGTGGTGTGTTGAATTTACACCAAGGCTATTACACCATGATAATGACCCCAAGGAGATTATTTTGTCACAACCCAGTATCACGTGGTACAAATCAGCCGATTGGAAAATCGGAATTCGTACAGTGTATGAAAGTTGAATTATAAAGATAACTACTGGAGGAAGGTGCTGTGATATCTGTGGGAGCCAAGGTCGAAGTGCCAGCCTTGTTTGATAAAATTTACCGTGGCATTCAGATATCTTATTTAGCGTATCCACCATTTTCATTATTGTACATCGTTTAAAAAACACACACAAACAAAAAAAGCACATTCTGCAAGAAGTACAATCAACCTTTTTCCTTAGAAGAAAAGAAAGGAAATGGAGAAGTTTTTGAGTGGAGAATTTTGCATTATCTTTCAAAAAAAGTAAGTCCAGTCACTAGCAAGAAAACTAAATATTATTTTTTACAAAATTTATATACCTTTTTAATAAAACTAAGGTCAACTTTGTGTGTACTGTTTTGGAACTCAGCATCTTGGAGGTCATGCATTGCGCATGCAAGCAACAAAGTATCTAGCTATCAAATAGGGTAATTTAGTGTTATCATCTGAGTTGATAACGTAAATTGGCCACCGTTAAGAGTTACAGAGCTGACGTTTCGAGCGTTAGCCCTTCATCAGAGTGAAGGACGAAGGGAGAATGCTCGAAACTTCAGCTTTGAAAACCTTGTTAATACCAAATTAGCCTGTTATACTCTCCCACTGATGCAGCACCACAGTTTATTTAGAAACTTAACCCCTTTATAGTGACCAAATACCTTGTATATTGTTCAAGCCTGGATTGTTGGGAGGGTGGATCATGCTATTCACTGGATATATCTCTTTCCAGTGGATATTGTAGTAAGTTTTGTTAACACTTATCCACCGCAATTTATACCTTGGATAGATTTATCCGCCCTTTGACCAACTGGGCCCTGGTTTCTAGTGCTATTTGTTGGTTATTAGCCAATAGGAAGACAAGTATTGAGTACAAAGTAGAGTTTAAAGTATTAGAAAATAGCAGAAGAAGCAGAAGATGAACTTTTGCAAACAGAGAGTCACTTACTGAAGTCGATGAGCATTTTTCCATAGCCTTGTTTCATGTACATTGGTAAAGTAAGTATGCATGAAACGTTGTAATTCAGAAAGGACTTCTTCTCCTGTAATGCAAAAACAAACCAAAACAGGGTAGTGGGTTCATGTAAGTTAAGATGAGCTTTAGATATGACATATAAATTTCCTTGGAAGCTTGGGGTGAGTTTTTAAATACTGCACCCCTCCAATTTAGTTTTCCAGCCTTCAACAAATTTACACATTGTGTCTGAGTCTAGTTATAAATTTAAGCTTAACCCTTCTTTCCCCTTGCTTAACAAAACCTATCCAGCCTGCAATACCTGAGAACAATCAATGTCTTACCTTTGAAAAGTAACCAATCATATGACAACCGATAGAGTCTACAGCTGTCATCACGTAAAACAGAAAAGGTTCCACATCATAGTAAAGGGTCTTGTGATTAAGAAATAACTTGGCCAACAAACATAAGTTTTGACAATACACCTGACAATAAAAACAACACAAGGTAAGTCCCGACACTCTTATTGCACAAGTATAAATTAGCAGCTGCAGCGTAACACTCTTTTATAATTGTGATCTTTATTACAGTGTAGCAAGATCATGGAAGCTAACAAACAAGTCAAATCAAAGTCATTTGATTCAATTACAGAGTAGACATCCCTTTTAACCCTTTCAATCCCAATATCTCATCATTAATTCTCCTTACTGACAGCCATACAATTCTCAGGATGTTAGTTCAGAGAATTAAGTATCAGATCAACTTTAAATCATCCAAATGGTATTTCTCTTTGTTCTCATCACTTGTCTGCTCAATTTTGTATTAATATTGTATGAAAAAATTCTCTCTTAGTCACTCAAGGGAGTTAAATACTTACTTTTCTGTCCATGTAACACTTTTCAATCTAAGTTACAGTTTGTGGCGCTCACCTTGTGATTTTTTCCATCAACTTCAAATATTGAGAGGTCATTCTTTCTATATATTTCAATTCCAGGTGGATGCCTGACATTGCATTTAGCCTGAAAATGAACCAAACATTTCAGCAAAATCATTTATCAAATTATTCTTGGAGGAAAATCATCCCATGAACATGCATAAATAGTTCAAATCCCTTTTTTTTTTCTTCCCTAAATCTCAAATAGTAAATACATTATCATTTGCTATAATTTTAACAACAATGAATCTGATTATGAGAGTGATCTTCACAGTAATGAACAATACTTGAGCATTAGTGAAAATAAAGCCTGAAAATAAAAGCCATACATATGATTTTCATATTGCCACTGTCATTTACTCATCACTTTGCAACTTTATAACAAACCAGGATGACCAGCTCCCCGTTGGCTTCTTGGCTCAGTTGGTAGAGCACTGAACTGGTACTGCAGAGGTCATGGGTTTAAATCCCATGCAGGCCTCAGTTTTTTTCAGGCTTTATTTTCACTAATGCTTAAGTAGTGTTCATTGCTGCAAAGATAACTTTTATATTGATTTCATTGATTAATCACTCACACTCATTCAAAAACAAAATTCTATCACAAAAGATCCTTCCTTCCTTAATATGGACAGCTAACACCAATTAATTGATACAGACAATTTATTATTGAATAATAATAATAAATTCAGTGTTCTCCTTAGACAGTAATCAGTAAAATTTAGTATCACTTATGACTACCATAAATTGCTTGAACTTCAATAGTGTGGAGAAATGCTTCTCCAATCAGATAAAAGATTGCTGGGCTGTCATTCACCCAAATCTTACCATCTTATTTTTTTATAGATTTTTGTGTAGTTTTGATAGAGCTGATACTGCTATTTCAGATTTGTTATAAAATTTACAAGTAGAGATACATAGTTTGTCACAAACCTTTTTAACATGCACTGTGTGCAAATTACAACTGAATGTTTAGAAATGCGATTCAGAGTTCAGTCATGATTACAGGCAATTAATTTCTATTCAGCTTTGTAAAAGATGACAAATACACTTTTGTTAAATAACAAAGTTTAAACACATACCACATGTCGTCTTAAAACAGTTTTGCTCCTCATATATTTCAGACAGAATTCACAGATGTATATTTTACGTAATCTCTGGAATTCCTCAGGAAAAGGTGATGAGTACCATGTATCAACTTCATACAAGCCAAACTCAATACAGCGGCTTCCAGATCTGCCATTCAAAGGCAGAATTTCCTAGAAAGTAAATTGTTTGCAAAGTTTGAAATTGCTGGAAGGTCATTAAATTTTTCCACTTGACTTTTCTCTAGAGACAAATATAGTTTTAAACTTTAATGCACCGATTGCATTTCATCATAAGGAATAAAGCATGTAAACAACACATCCACCAAAACATATCATTTTATTATAAAAATTATAATAATAAGCAATTTCATTGTAGTTGTGAAAAGCAAATTAGAGCTTCTTTGTTAATTATACTGCTGTGCAAGTGTTGTGTACCTTAAATGCTGTGTTGTGCTGAAAAAAGTGTTTGATTCTGGATAATGACCCAACCATACTCATTACATTCGACAAATGACCACTTTGTCCCAGTCTCTCTCCTAAAGCTGCTAGTTCCCAAAGAAGAATTACAAAAACATACCACCATCTATAAACAACTGAATTGTTGCTACATTTAACAGCATCTTGAATCAAGTAATATCATTAGATAAAGAATTAATGACTCAATGACTGCACACTTATAACATGTCTCATGTTCAGAGTAATCGGGTAAAGGAGGAAGTGCTTTTGAAAGGTGAAGGTTAAGGCTGAATGGTTCCCATTCATCAGCTGAACATTTATTGGCCATCTTTCTTACCTCTTCATTGGCCTCTAATGCCTTTGTCCAAGCTTCTTTGAACAACTTGAAATCACCCTCTGATGCTATTTCTTTCAGAGTCTCCTGGTCTAACTGATCAATTAATGCTTTACCATTTGTTTCTTTTTCACAAGGATATCTTGAAGTGTCAAGATGGCTTTCATTGGACAATGTATTTATTTTTCTCTCACTACTTTTTGGTAAACCTAGCTCTTCTGGTGTAATTTCTTTGCTTGTCACAGCCACACGGATCTTTTCTGGCATAAAGGAAAGCTGCACCTGTACACACAAAAATATAGTGCTTTTTAATTGAGAATAAATTTTTGCTTTATGTTGAGCTGTCTACCATTGCAACACTGAACTCTCCCACTAATATTGCACAAAAGTATCTTTAAAAGATCTTCAGTGTGTGACTCACTTTGTTTCTTAATGTCTTTTTTGGTGGCAGATTCTCTTCAGGTGAAGCACTGGATTTCACTTTTTTAGAGTCTGGATAAACTGCAAGTTCCTTTTTCTTTTCTTCTGCCCTCTCCTATCAATTGAAAGTACATTAAGTGGTGCAAAACGATAGAAAAAACCTTCAGAAAGAGCTAGAGGTGTTTGTAGTTATCATTAGTAGCAATTTCTGCCTAAGAAAGTCATTACATGGCATACTTCCACACTTTTTCTTTTCACCTTTGACTGTACACATTTGAAAGTCAATATATGTGAACTGCGGATTACGAAATGAATATGAGAATGATCTTTGCAATAAAGAACACTTCTTAAACAGAACTGAAAATTAATTCTGGACTTCTGTGATACCAGTGCAGTACCCTACCAACTGAGTTAACAAGCCAACCAGGAGCTGGTCTAGAACTAACAAAATGACCAGCTCCCAGTTGGCTTGTAAGCTCACTTAGTGGAAAATTAACTCACTTTAAAACATGAAAATTACAAATAATAATAGAAGAAGTTATAAATCAACAAAAAACCTTTCTCTGTTCACAAAAGCCTCAAGCTAAATAATCTAAACAACAGCCACTGGTAAGAACATTTCTTGTCTCCTATATTATGTATTAAAAATCACAAATAATGACTATTGTATGGTATGTACCTTGCATTCTTGTGGTGTCATGTTATGATATTTTGGACAACCAGATAAAGTGTGATGCATTTCAAATTTTCCTGTCATGTGACCAAGCCCGTCACAACCAGATGTTGGACACCTCTTCACTCTCTTCATTGACTTTCTTTCCTTAGTCTCATCTCCTATTTCTGTAAAAGATGCCAAGGGGAAGCTTTCTGTTTTGTTTTCAACTGGTGGTTTTTCCAACAAATGAATCTTTCTTGGTCTCCCTCGCTTTTTTTTAACAACTGGGGTCTGTGTGTCTGATAGCAGAAGAGCGTGATCATCTAAATTGTTCATTGATGCACACTCAGGACAAATTGTTGGGATGGACTGCTTGAGTACTGATTGTGAGTAAGGAATGCATAGCGAGTGGAATGCTCTATCACAGGTTTCACAGGTCTCAAGCTACAAGTTAAAAAAAAAAAAAAAAAGAAAAGTAAATTGTGGTTTGTGAGCTATATGTAAGAAGCTAGTGTCATTTTTCAACATAAAGCAATCACCTGATGCAAATTGTCCAGACAAAAGGTGAAGAGAAAGAATCCTAAGATGAGTTGTTCATTATTGACTGAAAGAGTTATTAAAATGAAATCACTCTGAAAGCTTTGTCAGAAATGATCATACTGGTTACATCCTTTTTTCACTAAAACAGATTCCATAAATAGACTGATCAGAACCTTATAGAGGTGATGACTGTTAAATGAAAATTCTATTCACAAAAGACAATGTTTAAGAAAAAACAATCCCTCTCTCCTACTACTGAAACATCAAAGACAAGAAAGTTATAATGCAAAATAAAACTTAGGATAATAGACTCAGACAGAGGATTCACCTAGAGACCATACTTTCCAGGTGATATGTTTGAATGGAGTTACAAGTACAGCGTGTACATTTATTTTTAAATTTCAGTGTTACATACCAGTAATGATCACTAATTGCTATTATTTTAACTTTTACATCACTTTTGTTGTTGTTTTATATATAATCACCTCACTTTCAGCTGACTTGCACACATAACAGGTTTTGCAAGCTCTGCATTGCCACAAGGAACTGTCTAATCTTGGACAGTCTTCATTGGAAAGAGACAAACAAGACCTGTGCCCTTAAATTAGGAAAAAAAATAATTGAGTCATTACTGACATAAAAATCATAGATGACCATAACTACATATCAGTTGAAAACAAATTTAAAATTAAGTCACCATTGTTGTAAAAAAAGGTGAGTCACAATGGCCTCCTTCAGGACAGAGCAAAAGGGCTGTCAAGTATGACTTCATTTAAAGCAGAGGCTTTTTGTTGTTAACAGTCACAAAGCACAAATATGTCAATTGAAAGAAACCAAAAGTTGATGTTCAAAGAAGATGTAAAAAACAAAAAACAAGTATGGGATAGTGAGTATATATCAAGTTGTACATGAGTCACATTTTGTATTCTAGACACTTCATACTTTGTTTAGAAATAATGGTGTCCTAGGCTGTGGGCTTGAGTGAGTTGTTTGAGATTTTGTTTAACACTTTGTCAGTCAGCCGCTGACTGGTTGTTATAGAGAGATTAATTTGGTTGTTGGGATGTACTTTGGAGGCTAAAATACCATTAGGGAGAGGTGGCAGTGTACAGGGGTTAAAACAAGGTAATATATGGACGTTCCACTGTGACAAAAAAAAAGTGGCTGGTGTAAAGAGAAAGCCATTTGTGTAGGTTAAACTGTGCTTTAATAAAACAGGACAATCTTTAACCTTGGCAAGGGGGACTTTATACTTATCAGCAGATTATTATTAAATACTGTAAATTGCATTGCCCAGATTTTCATGTGTTTTTAAAAGTGGAAGTATTTTGCCAAGGACAAACAGTCAAAGCTGTTCACTTTTCTGATAAAATTCCTTCTGAGACTACAGCTCAAGTATAGAGTGGAAGTGAGGTTGAAGGTACATCATGTTGAATTTGGTTTGGCCAATGCATTGCCTTCTAGGCCTGTAGTGATAAGACATTATAGGACAAGCTTGTAGAAAAGCTTCCACATTGTGAAGAAAATTTTACCTCTCTCCAAGCACCATTATCTTAACCATATTTAGCAATTAAACAAACTTGAAACTTGGAATTAAAGTGCTCCAACAAATAATTTATTGACAACATAAAAAAGAAATATATAGGCCATTATATTTAAAATATAAAACCATACTATGCTTTTAGATTAAAACACTAAGAAATACCCAGAGTGCAGCAATTTGAACATTGCAGAATATTTTCTTCATCGTGGAGGCTATTACACACAATGCAGCCTTGTTTGTTATCTTCAGAAACAGTTCCTGCACTGAGCCTTGTAGATCTTCGTTTTCCTGGAGACACATTCACAACAAGAGATCAGCTCAGTTATCATAACAATATTTTCATAATTCCAGTTTTCCCAACTACTTGCCATAAACGCCACTTTTTCTGATTGCATTGCATCAAACCAAAATGGTACTGTATCCTCCCTGTTTCCTTTCAATAAATTAATCACAATTCAAACAAACAAATATATACACCAAGAAAACCAGCATTTTTTTAAACTAACAATGGGAAATTAAAAAAATGATAAAAAACTTTTTCAAGTTACATGTAAAAAAAAATAGAGAAAATAAGAAATAGCTAAACAATAGGAACTGGACACCCTCAGATGACATTCAGTCATTAACACTGTACATCCAACCTTTAGATCAATGACAGTGTCTGAGAAACTACACACCTATCCCTCCCCTAATCCAACATTAACCTAACTGGTTATCAGTAGATTTTTTTTTGGTTGACTTAGGGGAGGGGTAGGTGCACAGTTGCTCAGATACTAACAATGATCCCAACCTTTTGATGCTGTCTGATTTTTCTGAGGAAATGATGATGGTCCTTTACTGGGGAAAGGACTCCTGGCAGGATTGCTGCTACTGTCAGAAATCTCCACTACATCCACCTCAATATCAGAGTCATCTGATGAATCTGCAGCAACGCGTAATTGCTAACACATAAAATATGAAGCAGTCAGGTAGTACATGTAGCCATAATCAATTCTCTCACAACAAATGGTTCATTGACAGAGTGCAAACTCTAAAACTCAAAGGTCACACAATTATAATCAAGAGGATAAATTCCACACGAGATAATTGCAAGGAGTGGAAAATTTTGCTCTTCATGAATTCTGCCCTTCCGAAACCCTGTGCTGAGTCAAATAAACAGTTTTACGGAACAGGAGTTTGAATTTTAATAATATCCACCGTTGAGAAGAGCATTTATGGTCCAAAGACTTTATTTACCGTTTCCTCTCGATACTCTCTTTTTCGTTTCAAAGGTTGGACTTTTCTGGAGACACAGAACTGCACAATCACATAACCGAGTAAGTTATCATTCGACGTTTTTCTTTCTTTTTATTTGGTATTTATATAAAACGATGGCTGTTACCTTTCTTTTAGGCATGGTGATTCAAAGTCCAGCATCTAGCAATAATCAAACAAGGCTGCAATGAGTGAGTAAGTCATCTCTTCACCATACTCGGTTTACCAGGAGGCCATTCTTGGATAAGATTGTTACAGATCAGCGGTATTACTACGTGGTGAATAATCATGGTGTGTAAAAGGCTGTATTTTGTCTACCTGTCAGGATTGATTGGTTACTTGTTTATTACTTATTGCTGGCACCTTCAAAATAGAACTATACTAGTTTAAACAACACAAGAGGTTGTAATTTTAAAGTTAACTCGTGTAGTTTTACAAATGTATCGTATTTTTTTCTCTGAATGGCCTCGAAGGTCACATTTTTGACCATTGACCAAATGGTCAGCTCTGTGTTGCATACATAACGTCCAAGTAACGGCCGTGTGTATGGGTTGTGTGCGTACGGTTTACATCTATATGTAGTATGTCAGCTGTCCGTGTTATTTCTTTGTACTTCGCAGATTACGTGTTCCCCTCTTTCTTTTAGAGGGAATTCTTTTGTTTTAAGAGAATAACCAGAACCTGTGACAAAAAAAAATTGAACATGGAGGCGACTAGCCTCGAAGAAAGTGACCTGAAAGGAATGGAAGTTTGTAATTTTGGTGGAACGGAAATTGCACTCCCTTTGGAGTTAATTGAGCAGGTAAGCTCAACCACACCACTAAACTGCAAACCTATCTTTTTGTAAACTAAAAATCCACTGAGTTATCAAACTTGCACCTTCTCGAGCAAGAAGCCATTCCTGCGCAGTTCCAAATTGTAACGTGGTAGAGGAAATTAACAGAGATTTAACAATTTAATTTTATATAATGTTTAATTTGTCAACTTTACAAACGGACACATGAAGAGTCGATTCACTGGAAATTATAGTGATTGGCTGGCATTTAAAGGCAGAAAAGGATCTTTTGTTATCCATCCAACAAATTTTCACGAAGCGTTTGTCATCAAGAACTTGTATATACTACTACACTGAAGTAAATTAATGTATCCAAGAACACATGGCTATTAAGTGTTGTACCAGAGCACTTAGTCTCTCTTCAGAGGTGACTAACAGTTGCCTTAGGGTGACTGAAGTAAAATAGCAGGTGACCAGGCTGGACCCTGCTGTATTGTATAAAGGGAGTGAAATTTCTAAAGAAACCATGGTGTTGCATAGGTGGGGGAGTATAACAAGACAGTGTGGATTTATCAACTGAGTTGATAATGTTAATTGGCCACCATACAGAGTTTCTAAAGCTGATGTGACTATTGAAGAGCCAAAAGTCACTTGTCGACAACTTGTCGTGTTGAACTTTGTGTGCAGGAAATGTTTACTGGTTGAATAAGGCCAGAGATCATGGAGAATCAGCTGTGATTATTGATGAATTATTCACGATAATAGAATGGTAACAGAAATATAAAGCAGTGAATCAACTTATTACTAAATGACAACAGATTACAAGATAGCGTGAATGATGAATCAATAGTGGCGAACATTCTAATCTCCATTTCAGTGGAATAAATGTTTCTAGCCGATATATATCTAAAGAGAGATATCTAAAGACATAGGAAATCAATGATACTGAGAGAATATATAATTATACTTCTAATTGTTTTAAAGTGATAGCAATAATATAAATGATAACAATTATAAAATCCTCAAGGCCATAGAATCGCAGGAGTTGGTTAAAAACACAACAGGAACAATAATAGCCAAGGGTGACTTAAACTTAATCTACTGAAAAACATGTGTGCTAGATCTGTCAAGCTGAAACTAGAACCACTGGAAAAAGCTTTTGACTTAATTGCTAAGTAAACAAAATTGACAAACTGGCAAGGAGAATTAAATGGATAATTGTTGAAATAGAGATGCTTCAATTTAACATTTATTACAACAGCGTAGGTCAAAATATAAATCACTCACAGTGTTTAATGATCCTCTCAATTAGGAAGATATATTCTTTAAAGTTGTGAGCAAGGAAACCTGGCTTAATGTTCTTACTCCTGCTGATAGAAAACATCTGGAGGTAAGGCTGAGATTGTTGTCACTGGTAAGGTCATGAAGTATTTGTTAACTTGAACTTGTTTTGTACCTTTGTAAAGCAATGATTTCCTCATTGGCTATATCACTCTGTGTAAATGTCCAATAATATATGCAGAATGTTGTCTTAAGTTTTAATGATTATTTGTAATATTTTAATATCTTGATCTTAACTTGTATTACCAACAGGGTTATGACTGGTAAACAAGTAGTTTTCATTAGCCAAAAACCTCTCTCTACTAACCACAAACACAGTTAAGTAGGTAATTACATTTATTTGAAAAGCCAGCTAAAATAGTGCTCATTGGCTCTTCACAAGAACTCTGAGTGCCTGTTAAACTTTGTGTCAACTCAAGCACTAAATTAATCTTTTGCAATTGACAAAGAAGTTTTTCCCCTCTATTTATGGTAACGTTCCATTATGGTTGGTTAGAGAGGTTGTTTCATTGGCCAAGTCAAACCAAATAAGGACTCATACAGGTGTAAATTCTACATATCCAAACTTTTAAAGAACAGGAAAAGTTTTAAACAGCTGTCAACAAAGAATGATTTACTCCTAAAAACAATTCAAGATCACACAATGATAAACACTGACTGAAACTGACAATGAATCTGTACATAGTAAGAATACTCAAACAATGTAGGGAGTCAATAATGAACTATTACATTTTTCTTTCTTAGAAATTTCTTCCAGTGTTGCCAACAGATTACCCACATGCTCAGGAGGAGAACATCAGGTTAGCTCCAGTGTGACTTCATGTTTGTTTTGTCTTTGCAGTAAGTTTTACATAGATTAGTACAACTTATTACAATAAGCTTCTGACAGTCACAAAGTAATCAAGATTAAAAACAATGCAGGTTGTTATAAGTACACATGTGATTTATCCAGAGATTATAACAGGATTGTCAGAATGTTCAATTTGGCTGATGATGTTTGGAATAAGGAGTGACAGGTGTTAGAAATAAAAAGTCTGATTCATCAGGCTAACTTTTACTAGAACACATGCTTTTGAAAATTCTTGGTAGATTTGCAGTTACAAAAGCACCTTTATTGTAAGGTGTAATTCTACAATTTGGAACCATGAGGTACATGTTAGAGGTGCCTAGTTTTTTACCATTTGATTGAATGTACACCTTAGATTGTTCCAAGAGCCTACAAGACAGTTATTTATTCACTTGACAATTGTTTGATCAGTGCCTTACTAGGTGGTGAGAACTTCAGATTTGGGAATCCAGTTCAACAATTTCAGGAAAAGTTAAAAGGTGAGATGCTTTCTATTTCATTCAATTCTTGACTCATAATGTGGTGACTCACAGTAAACAACATTTTTTTGTGTACTTATTTGATTTGCATCTTTGTTTATCCTGGGCATTCTTTTGCACTATATATCTTAGATTGGAAATAACTGATCTTTTCAAATGTTTTGATTGAGTTAACTTTATGATCACATGCTAGGAACAAGAATCACAACTCCTGTAATTAAGCCTCCCTGGATGAAACTCTAAAAAAAGTAACAATAAGTACCATAAATTTACTTCACATGTTCAGTTCCTGAATTGATATATTTATTATGGTATTTATTTAACTATATCAGTCTCTGAGGCAATCTTTGATTAAAATATGAATTACTGCAGACAATATTTTATGTTATTATACATTAGACTTACTATAAAAAATCTGATTGGTTGAGAGCATTCAATCAATATATAATAGCATGTGATGTTCACATAATAAACTGATATCTATGTTGTCTGGATTAGTCTTTGGCTTCAACAGATAACTCTGACCTTGGTTTTAATAATTTGTGATATCATGCTCAACCTTATCAAATAATTGCTTATTACACATGTAGAGACCTAAAGAAATGTTTTGCATGTTCTTTATAGATGGATAAACTAATTTCATCATGATTTATCTGAGTATATATTGTAAGAACTCTAAATAACTTACATCGAAAAAATGTGTTTTGGTTTCTGATCAAGCTGGCTACTTCTATCCTGATGTTGTGAAGTACAAAAAGTTATGTCGCAAAGCTACATACAAGGAATACAAGGTAAATTGATAGGTTGATCTTCTTACAATTCTTTTTTGTTTGTGTGTTGTGTTGATTTTTTTTAAAGGTCACTTGGATCAAAAGAAAACCTAGACCATAGGAAACTAGGAACTGAGGCTGAGATAAAGGAAATTTACATTTTAAAACTGATAGTTACTAGTGACTACATATTTCACCAATAGTAATGTTTTGATATCGTGTAAATTCAAGGTGAAATAGGAGTACTTAGATTTGTTGTGTATCAGGAGGATAATTTGCCCCTCTTCTCATAGATTCAGCAACAGAGATATCACAGAAAGGTGTTGAGGGAAATTCTTATATCTCGTCAGGTACAGTACACTGTATTTTGTTAAATCTTGATTTTAAATCAATGAATGAATCAGTTAAATTAAAAAATAAATAGGTACCATATGATTTGTGTTGTTACTTGGCTGCATCTCCTAGATTCTCCTATGCACCACATGCATAGAAAAGCTAAGGTTCAAACAGTGCAGAAAAGTAATAGACTTTTAATCTCTACAGTTACAAGGGGAAAAAAAGCAAAACACTTACATATCTTGAATCATGCTAGGTTTGTTTGTGGCCTCTCCCTTAGAACATAAAGGTTGGAAAAAATAAAACAAAAGATGAATTAAAAAAAAAAAAAAACCAACTAAGCAGATACTCAAGTCAAGAAAAACTTTTTACCTTGTATGCGAAAGTACTGCTTTTGAGTTCCATGCCCATACCTTTCTCCTATAGAATATTATTGTTGAATCTTAAGTATATAACAGGTAATGAAACAGTAGTGTGTTAGGACAACTAACACTTTGCTGAAGCTATCATTGTCTTTTTCAAAGTTAAATTGGTTACTGGCTTGATATAGAACCAAGCACAAGTATAAGATAAATACAACTATTCATATTCTTGTTCCTGTAGGAAATTCTGGATCAGATTGGGAGACAAAGCCCTGGGGAACCCATCAAAACCAGGTACATGTAGAATGCAACTATTTTCTTCTTTACAAGTGTCCTTTTGCTCATGGCAGAAGATGTTTTCTAAATCTTTTTGTGAGTCTCAAGTTGTAATTTATGATTTACGAGCTTTTGATGGTATTTGAATTGAGTAATTATATTTGTTTCACAGTGGACACACACCCTCTACTGATGCCTTGGCAATGGAGCACAGAGTCAACACACGATTCAAGAGGTGACTTTTTTGTAGTTGTCTTGCTGATGCCAAATAAATTATAGTTAGCAGACTAACATTAGCAATTTTCCAAAGGCCCAATTTGTAGTCTACTTTAAATCTACTAGAAGACCATGAAATAAAAATGGTATTAGAAGCACTACAGTTGCCTTATATTATTAGGTGGGAGAATCTGTTTGCTTTTTTCTGTTGCTGATTTGAACTGTTGTATGTAATGTACTTCTGCTGCTTTTTTTCTGGTGTATTTTGTTGAATGGAATGTTTATTGTTTATACAGGATCCTCTCAGAATGTAGGCAACAATTTCAGGTAATAAAGTACATTTTAAATGTTTTTTATTTTTTCTTTTGAAACGAAAGATTAAATTATACTTCTGTGTCACTGAGGAGTTTAATACCAAATTAACGTTACTTACCATTGGTTGGGTTTTTGTTTTTAATGCTTTTAAAACCTCCCTCTAAACTATCTTTAGTCCTTATAAATTTCAAGGCATTGCTTTGTAATTTATTTGATGCTTTATGGTATTCTTTGGGAATAACCTGACATGAAGGCTTTTGTTGGACAACAGGCTAGAACACTCAGCCCTAACATTAGGTTTTAAAAGCATTAAAAATGAGCCTACCAAAAGCTAGACGTCATATTTACACAGTGCCCTTTTTCACATATTACAATTAAACAAAGTATTTGTCCTTCACAACAGAGAACATGGCAATGTTAAGAATTACTTTTAACTATCCAAATTTGAAAGATGTGGCAGAAAAAATTGTTTTGAGGTCAAATCAAATCTAGAGGATTGAGTTTTAAGTGACTGATGTTCTCACTGTGGCTCTCCTACTCATGTCTAATGGCAAGAGGACACAATCCATTCATTTTCCCTATGGTTTTCAAAACTGACAGTGCTTATATTATGATTTCAGGGAGGAAATGTATCCTCTGATGATGAAGAAAGAGGTATGGGTTTGTTAATATGTTTGAATTCTTATTTTTATTACAAGCATACACATTTGTAGACATTCCTAAACAAGCACTTAGTAACTACTTGTGGTTGCTTTGATCACTAAAATCAAATATATTCATTAGTGACAACATTAATATGGCAACTTTTTAAAGCTTCCTCAATCTGCTGCTAATAGTGAATGAAAGGTTGTGGTCATGGGAGAAGCAGTGGCCCAATGTTTAGTGCAATAGACTCCAGGTTGAGTGGTCTGGGCTAGAGACCTGGCTAGGGAAATGTGTTATGTTCTGGGCTAAACACTTCACTTTCCCAGTGTCTCTCTCAACACTGGAACATAAATAGGTATAGGCAAGTTGTCCAGGAAGCCTGATGAAATATTGGGGGTAACCTTGCAATGGACTAGCATTCCATCCAAGAGGGGAAGTTTAATATTCCTAGTTGCTCTATGTTATAGAAACAGGAATAAGCTCCAACTGGAAGGGCTACTTGACTCAAGTACACTTTACTATAAAGGTATTGATACAATAACAGCAACAATATGATGCTTATACTTAATTGACCTGCATTTTTCATAGTCCCTGCACCCTTTGGTCCGGCCATGGGTATATTTATGGCACCCTTTAACACTATGCCAGGTGTTTTGAGTGGTTTTCACCCAATGTTTGGAGCAGGACTGCCATTTACTGCAGGTTACCATGGTTTTCCTTATCCTCCACCTACCACTCATCGTGTAACATCACCAAATGTGGTGACAGAAGATGACTTTCAGACAATGATTCAAGTACATAGAAAGAGACGACTATTAAATGAGGTACTGCTGCTCATCATTTCTTGTTTTCCATTGTTGTTTTGTCCATTATTATCACCGGTTGTTTGCTTAGGTGGTTTTAGGAGGTTACCCCACAGGTGGAATTAGGGGTTGATAAATGAACTGGTAAGGTGTTGGTAATTAACAAGCATTTTATGGTGGTAATTTTTATAAAGTCATCAAATTCAGAGCTGGTCTTTGTCAGTCAGAGACATGGTCACTTTGGAGGTATTTTCTGGCAAGCAAGTGCTCAATAAATCAAATATGAGTTTAATTTTACCTGGAGGAAGTAAAAAATTGCACAAGGAGGCAAAGTGGTCTTGAGAATGACCAAATAGTGGCTTCTTCGCTCCAAGTTATCCTCAATCTTACCAATTGACATGGTGGTTTCAATTGGACCATTGAACACCAACTCAACAGAATCTAAACCTGTATTCAGCCTGCTTAATATAAAGTGAGACCCTGGAATTACTAGGCTGGATGTTATACTTTGAATTAAACAATGAGAGAACATCCTGTATATTCCCTAATTTGACGTTGTTTTTATTATTGATAGATGTTTTTCTTCATGTCATGAGTGTGGGACAAAGGAAAAGTCTGAGTCCCCATGAGGAATTGAACCTTAGAACCACGGTTTTGTGCACTCTGATGCTCTAACACTAAGCCACAGAGACTCAATGGTGAACAATGCCATTATGATGTTCAGACAGTGTATGAGACACATCCAGCATACTGTTAGGATCAGCAATTTTAATAGCATATGAATAAAATATAAAAGTTGTTTATTTTTTTGTTTAAGTTTTTTTTATTATTATTATTATTATTATTATTATTATTTTCTAAAAGGATCATCCTGAGCTGGATACAAGATTCACTTCCTTTCAAGATATTATATTCAGAACAAATCCTTCTAAGAAAGTATCAAAACCTGGTTGGTATTTGTCAATTGACAATTTTATTTGCAAGTTAATATCTTGTGTTCCAGTGATTGTTTTTATGTGGTTGTTGGGATATATATGGGGGAGGGGGGCTGGGATACTTGTGTTTGAAGGCTGTTGGCTAAGGTCAAACTAGCTTTGTTCCTGACTTCAGTTTGAACAACATAAATATTCTGATGGTTCGCAATACTATGAAAAACTATCATTTACCAAAGTTGAGGTGAATAGTGGATGATATTTAATGTTAAGGGAGTAGGTAGTTAATTATCCTACACTATCACCAGTACTAACCTAGGTGAAAAATAATTATTGTTTTTTAAGTGTATATACAAACTAGACAGCTAGTAGCTTAAAATCCTTATGGATAAAATATCAGTGGCTTTGACTTGATATGAGAAAGCTAGTCATCAACAGGATTTAACTCTATAACTGCCATGCTGTGCAGTACTTTATGCCAGCCTTTTCTTTTTTTTTAATTTTTTATGATTCTATTTAGTTGAGCTTTCAAAAAAGAAGGACAAGAAAGCCAAAGTGAAGAAAAAGTTGAAACAGAAGCTTCAGCAGAAACAGGAGCGACAAGCTCAAGTTATAAAACATTTGAATGAAAATGCTAAGAGAGAAGAGCCAGGCCATGCAGTACATAAAGTACCGAGGTAAGGCAAGATGTAAATAGATGGTTCTATCTTCAACATGGTGTTTTTTTTTGTTAGTTTGGCTGTCTGTGTGTTTTTGTTTGTTCGTTTTTTTGTTTGTTTGTTTGTTTGTTTCAGGTTGAAACAGTGCACTGAACTTTTTTGTGTCTTTTATACACTATTGAAATAAGTGATACAAGATAAAGAAAACAAAAACTTTTTCATTCCAAAAACAGTATAATATTAGAAAAAGCACATTAATTATCTGGGAAAGGTTTCTTTTCTATTATGTTGATCAGATTTTTTTTATTATCATATTCTTTTACAGTTGCATTGATGGATCCCAGGAGTTGACTTGCTTCTTCAGTCTACTTCGTGAAATTTTTCCAATTTTTCCTGATTCAAAAGCCAGCCTACAGAAAGTGAGTGATTTTTTCTGTCAAGTTTAGAACTATAGGATAGACAGTTATGAACATGTGATTGGTGATTTAAACTAATAAGTGTGTATATGCTCTCTCCTGGGGAATCATGTGACCTTTTAGGTTGGCCTTGTTGTGCAGTTGAATGTTAATTACTTTCTAGAGAGGGAAAAGTGGGTGATCCTGAAACCAGTAGCTGGTATAAACTTAATGGGCTGGTAATTGAAACAAAGTCAGCCATTGTTTAATAAAAGCATGTTGTAAACTAAAGTGTATCTTCAATTTTGCCGAATCTTTTATATGAACATTTGTTCTTGTGAACAGTGTCTAAAGGGCCAAAAAGCTAGCAGTGAAAGGACTTCTATTTGATTAAATTAACCCTCTTCTAGAGAATACCTAAAACTGAGGTTTGGGTTAGACCTCTTGTAAATAACTAGCTGCTGTTTTAAAAAAATGTAAAGAGAGTAACTAAGTATTGACAGCAACAATTTGCTTCTCAAAATGTAATTTGGCTTATTACAAGTATTTGTCTGCATAGGCAAAAAACCTGTCCTAATTATTGGAACTTGAAAAAGTGAAGGAAGCTGTCTACGAAAGAGTGGACAATGAATGAACTGTAACAAGGGATATTTTCACACTTATTTTTGCAATACAAATATACTGGGTAGTTTATTTTCGTATGAGCTATGGTATTTATTACATGATTAGAGCAAACTTGTGCTGAACAAATATTGTGGTCAAAAAGTGGAGCAGTAATAATGGGTTAAAATTTGATGAAATAAATTACTCAGCACCTTTGAAGTTAAAGCGATGATGTCAATGAAAAGCATATTGCCAATTTTAATCATTTGTTTATTTCCCTAATTTTTTTAGATTGAGGAGATTGTAAAAACATGGCAGGTTTGTCAACATCCTTGTTACTGTACATTATATAAAACCTATTTTGTATCTTTAAGGATGCTTACTAGACAGAGTGTCATCTGATTAAAGTTAAGAATATAAAAACTGAAAAGATAGTTGTTACTAGCCTTTAAGGGCATCCATTGTGCATGGCTAGTCTGAAGCTAACTTGACACACAAGTTGACCTTGAGAAGGAGTGATTTCCCCTTAAAATTTCATTCAGCTTTACCAGACCAACAATATTTGGCAATTTTTGGATAATGTAAGAAAAAAATCTCTTACTTGTTGTATTATGACTTTCACTGAACTACCCTTAATAACTGCAAGATTGTTGTGATGGAGAGACATTTTACCTTTTTGCAGCAATTGTTTAGTACGTATTTGCTAAAAACAAAGTATATGTCAAATGTGATTATTATATGGCTGGCTCTGTGACCTGTTTTTTTTAATATATCTGGCTTTCTGAGCTGGCATGACTTGTGTATCTTTCCCACTAAGGATGCCTGCCTTGTATTCATATATTAAATTTTGCTCAAAACCAGCTGAAATAGTCTACAACCTCTGGTAGTGCATGGAGGCATACAAAAAGTAACCATAGGTCATGAAGGTGGTCATGTAGTTGTTAAATAGTGGTCAAGTATGAAGACTGTGAATATTGATCATGAGAAACTCTTGGGAAATTATACCTTTAACAACTGCTTACAAAGTATTTCTTATTAAAAATTATATCACTCAAATAATGACACATGTTATTTTAGTTGTCCTCAGTCTGTGCTGTAAGTGGGTGGGGCACTCAGGAGCCAGATTGGGTCAAGCTGGTTTATTCTGCTCTCATCTTTCTCTCTGGGAGTTCAGGAGGTGAAATATATTTTGTGTTCTTTGTTTTTGTACTAAAACTGAGTTATACATAGTTACTAAGGGTTTATGTTATTTAGAGCAAGAGTGAATATAACTGCATGTTTTTCATATCTTACATTTGGCAATCTGAGTCACTGCAGGTGTTAAATGTACCTCCTTAATACATTAATTCATTGTTTTTAGAGACTCCAGCTTCATTTGTACCTTTAGTGGATTTCAAAGAGAGGCCTCAGCAGTGGAAGTGGATAGGTGAACACATGCAATATACATACTAACTCTAATTTTTATTCTGCTCTCTAGTTGGATACACTTTTGCTGTTAGGTGTGAAAGTCAAGCATTTTATATAGGAAACAATCTGTTTCTCGTTCCAATTTCATTTCTGAATGATCAAAACATCAAATGATCTATCAAGCAGAATATGTTTAAAAAAATATTTTGCAAGCCTTCAATTTGTCCCATTTCAAGTCGCAAGTGAGACGAGCGCAAACGGAGATTTGCTAATATTTCAAAATTCCAGATTAAAATGGTTTCCAAAACTTAACAAAAGGGAGGGGGAAGTTACTTTACCAAGTTTAAGCTAAAAATTCAGATTTCTCCGGAAAGTTACTTTTCTACAAGAAAGAGCAGTTGCCTTAGCATTATAAATAACTGAGTGAAAACAATGACAGAGATGTTGGCTTCAAGAGTTTCCTAGATAATAATTCGTTGAAAAAATTAAATTGAAACAAATACTGACAACATTACGGTGTTGCTTTTTCACATAAATTGAATCTAACAGAAATTTTTAAACATTCGGTACTCTACAAAGCTTTTGATAACGATTAGGAATAGAGTTCACCTGCTGACTCAGATAGTATTATGGAAGATCGCTAGTAAGCATCAGTAATCAATTGCGGAAAAGTGCAGCTCACAGAAAGTAAAGTTTTTAAAGAAAGGGAACAATTCTTAGTACACAAACATCAAGGCAGCATTTCTCAACCTGTTAAAGGGTCGCTCTTTGAAAAAAAACCTTTGGATCATGTAGTGGCACCCTATCACTTTCGATCTGGTTACAATTTGACATTTCAACACCCTTTTGCACACAACCCAGAGGTCACTTCTTTTTTTGGGCCAACAGGCCATAAGGCGAAACCCTCCTCCCCCTAATCTTTTATCTACTTTGGTGATTCATTTCATAATACTTCATAAATATTTTGAGGTGTTTGGGTTTTTTTCGAAGGGGGGGGGGACTTAAGGCTTGAGACTAAAGGGACTTAAACGACTTAAGGCTACTTAGGGTCTCAGATTAGGCCTCATCTTTAGCAGGTCTTAGATATTCTTCATCTGGCCAATATTTCATGCAAATAGCATCATTATGCTTCTGTGAAGTTACTTCCATCTTTTGCTTTATTGAATCCAGAAGTTAGTTTTAGTCAATTCGTAATTTATTTTCTACGGAACAGGTGTGGTGCCAAGAATGAATACCTTTTTCCACTTACCCTGGTCATTTATTTTATGGGCCATTTTGTACTGTGTGGGTAAAATGTTCATATGTGGAGCCTACTGTTTTGTTTTTGACGCAGGTTCTAACAGAGATGGAGATGAGTTATTGGAGCCGTTGTGTGAAGACTGGCTTCAAATCAAAGGACAGCTTACAAGCAAAAAGGCATTGCTTTTTTTTCTCTTTGGTTATGTGCAGGCAACATCTTTGAAATGCTAATAGATTGTTGTACGTGCTTCGTCTCGGTCCGTACTGTGAGTTTCGGGCTAAGTTTTTTGCGCCCGGAATTCTGAGCGAATCTGTTACTTACAGTGCAGACCGAGAAAACCAGGCTAGTAAGATATATAGTATATCTCAAGGTTCAAATAGAGGGGGAGATTTCAATGCAACTGTAGTTTGAATTTAGTTGGCTGCACAGTGAATTACGACCCGCTAAATAAACCAATCCTACTGAGCGCATGTACGGGTATGATAGTGAATATTCATTCACATTTGGGAAAACGCTTTTATGTAGGATGAATAGGTATTACTTAAAGGTGTTGAATCTGGTTTAATTACATTAATGGGGTAACACAATTTTTTTCATTTCGTAAATGGGTACTTACCCGGTCCATCAATAAGTAAGACCTGTTGGGTGAAATGATATTTTCGTACTCGAGTTTGTTATGAGGTGCATGATTCTTGTGTTTGTCATTTACAGGATGTTACAGCCGAATCAGATTCATCATCTACGCCCAATCCTCGTGTGTAAGTAAAAACACCTGAATTATTTGTGTTCGCATTCGTTTGCATGGCTGTGTTCGCTTTCCTATTGATTGTTTCATGATCTCATCTTCTGTTCGTTACACGTGAAATCAGAAAATGAGTGATGGTATCAGAAATGTTTTAATGCACATACCGCCTGTAAACGATATGTTTTTTTTAGAGTCATCACGTGAATCTTTTACAACCGTGAAACTAGAATGAATATTAATAAACAACAAAGTCACTAACGTCGTATATTAGGTAGTCATGTCTGCTCACCTGTCTGGCGTTCAAATAACGGCTTAATGGAGTTAATATCAATTTTTTATTTTTCACTGGGAGAATAAGTAATGATATTAATCTATAGATAAAAGTAGATTACAAATGAAATTTGTCTCTGCAGGAAAACAGATTTCGTTGTGAGGCCAAGTACGGAAGAGGAAAGAGCAGCTTTTAGGGAACAGGTAAATATTTGATTCTTATTAATATTTTGGTCGATAGAAATGTGGTTGAGAGCGAGTGGGGCTAGGGGAATATGGGAAGATGAGCGTTATTGAGGCGGGGGTTTTGGTAAAAACTTTGATGGCCAGTGGACGAGGATATCGTAAGAATCAAGTAGAAAATCCTCAGATATGAAGCTTTTCCACAGTAGATCTACAACGTATGTTTCCCTCTGCATGCATAATGTTGTATATAGTTTATAAATAATATTGGAATAATATTAGCTTATTTTCTCGAAGATATTAGCTCTACAGCTACACTGAATTTCGAGCGTAAATAAAGTATATGTATGTATGTGTGTGTCATGGGTATGCCGTCCCTCTTCAAAGTGGACGAAAACCGTTAAAATGTAGAATTGAAGACGTAAAATGATGCTCGTGATTGTCTCACTACAGGCGTCCATGTACCAGTCGAAGCGCAACATTAATTACAATTTAGGGAAAATTTATTTCCTTGGAAATGATCTTCATTGTATGCTGCTTTGCTGCAAGGAATCAGAAGCAGCGTCATCCTCGGTTTTGGGTCACAGAAATACCAGTGCTGTTGCATATACTTCTACAGTACCAAGAACGTTGACAAGCTCGTAAACCCAGCTGGCTTGTCTAGAACATATCATATTTCTGCTGTTAGCCTGCTGGTATTAATAATAATATAATTAATAATAATATAGGTGGTATCTAGTGGCAAGGATGTCATCCATTTCATGGTAATAACTGTCCAATAATTATTCTTAATTACTTGCACTGAAAAAAAAAAACACTCCTTATAAATTTAAATTGAATCGAAATTGACTTTGATATACTAACTTTACCTGGGGTACCATTTATTAAACTATCAGGAGCAAAAACGATACGACAATCCGCACAAAGCCTTCACCTTCAGAATGCACGGTTTTGAGTCTGTGGTGGGTCCAGTCAAGGTAAGTTGTTATCTTGAGCGTGTTGCAAGATTTACAAAGCACGCTGGTGCACCGCCTCATCTTAGTTCTTTAGAATTGCTGTGTGGTGTTACCTTAGCCATAATGACTATCAAACAATGTTATGCCATTCTTTAATAGCTGAGTAATGTTTCGCCTGTTTTTCATATGTGCATTACCTCTCCCATAGGTGTGATATTTTACGAAATGCATGGTATTTAGGCGTCTTGCGTACTAAACAAGGCTGTGTGATTCAAATGACACCCGTTGGAATGTTTAAAAGTTTTACATCAATAAGTTTGCAGTCCTATTAAAAAATTTTTGTGTAAGCAGTGATCGTGTTGTACTCTTTCCGAAATTTAAATTGATTCTAGAAAAAATCCTGAAGGTAACTGACTTAATTCCTTTTCTATAAACTTCGTGAACAGAATTCCAATTATATGTAGACGACAAAATGTTTACTCCCTACAAGTGAAAGAAGAAATTGGCTTGAAACTTTAATCCTCGTTTTTCGCTAAGCGTGGCTCCCACTCGTGTTCCTCTACTATAGGGTGTTTTTAGTAAAGATACCAACCTGAACAAGGCTCGGGAACACTCCTTGTTAACATCGCTGCGACCTCCATACGTCACTATCCTCACACTGGTTAGAGATGCTGCTTCCCGACTTCCTAATGGAGAGGGAACTAGAGCTGAGGTAACACAGCTAAAATGAATTGTAAACCACAGTTTTTTCAGTCACATTGGTAATACGTAAGTTCACTAAATAACTAGCTGCGCTTCACCAAATTGCGACTCAGAGTTCAAAGCAAGTACTATTTTATCCCTGGTGTTCAAACAACGTTCCTCCTCGGAAATTAAGAAACATTCGTTTAACTAGAACTTTATTTAAGCTTTTGTAATCTAGCTCTCTTTTAAAAGTGTCCGTAATGAGGTAAATCCCAAGTACACTCTACGTTAAAACACTATTACAATTATTCTACAGATGTGTGCATTTGATTATTGAATCATAAACTAAGTGACGGGAGTTTTTCCCTTTATAAAATCATTTATATTTATTAACTGTGATCGTATTTTCTGCTGGCAGGTTTGTGAGCTGTTAAAAGACTCGCAGTTTCTAAACTCGAATTGCTCGGACGCACAGGTTGGTGACTTATCATTGATAATGATTTGTAATATAGAATTGAAAATATCCAAGGATGGAATAGGTTTTGTTTCACCACGCTCTGTGATTGGTTTAATTATCCTACTCCACCCTCCTAACCATTCAAATACCGCACTAGATGTAAAACTTGTCGCGACTGGGAGACTCCGAAACTCTTAACTTTAAAAGCGAGGGTTAGAGTGACATCTTGCAACCACTGCCGTTTTTCCCACTCGATAGACATTTGGCTTGTAAAGCAAGAAGCTGGTGGATGGGAGAACTGTATCTAAAAGTTTACCGCTGATCGCGTTTTGAGATTCCAAACATAACATTACCCTCCTAAAACTGTCATCAAATTTCCAAAATTCGATTACAGAAACCGCCTTTTGAGAAAACAACATTGTAACCTGGCCGAATAAGCAACATCACGACGCGCGGTTTCCAAACAGCTGCACCTTCCACTTTCACAGAAATCATAATTTAAGTTAAGAATTCCTTTTTGTTTGGCTTCTTTTTGTTCAAACACATCACCAAAAAGGAGCGAAACTCTTTTACTCAACAAGTCATGTGTCAGCCCTAGGTTCCTCAGCAATATTGAAAATTCTTTCCTTGTATGTATGCAGATTCACACGGTGGTCAGTGGTGCCTTGGACAGGCTTCATTATGAACGGGATCCATGTGTAAAATATGACAGCAATAGAAAAGTGTGGATATATTTACATCGCAACCGTTCTGAGGAAGAATTTGGTAATCTAATGCAAAAAAAATTATCGCTTAATGTATAAATGGATAGACGGAATGATTGACTGGCTGACGGACTGACTGACTAACTAATTGACTAATTGGCTGACTGACAGACTGACTGACTGGCTGGCTGACTGTTCACTGACTGACCGACTGATTGACTGACTGAACGACCAATTTATTGACTGACTGATTGTAGACATATCAGACCTCTTGTTACTTATTTGCTTGTTTTTAAGAAAAAATCCATCAAGCAAGCGCAGCAGCTGCACGAGCTAAGAAGATGCAGAAACCCAGAGTTGCTCGACAACCGGTAGGTACCTGCTTGATTAAGTCATCTTAACGGTGAGAGCTGCCATATGAACATGCGTACAACAAAACATTTGATAGAGGTTTTCATCCGTTAATTAAATCAATTTGTCATTATTACAAGTAACAAGTTTCTGTACTTTAAACTTCTTTTTAAATATGGATTTCCAACAGAAGAGCAAAGAGTCAGTGCAACCACAAGAACAAGAAGAAGCTGTTACAACTCCACCCACTGCACTCACTATTGCTGGGGTTGCTCCTACATCCTCACCTCGCCAAGTGGACTCTTTGCCATCTCAAATTGAACTTGGTACATAGTTTCCTGGTGTATATTTTAAGTGAAAACATTTCCCACCCTCTCAAGCATCCCCTTTTCCTAGTCACTTACAAATCCTCACCCAAACGATGCTCTAAGCATTCTTTTGAACAACATATTAGGTTTTATCAACCGACTTGGTAATATAAATTGGCCACCTTGTAGAGTTCAGCCCAGAAATTGTTCACGGTGGCCAAGTTACATTATGAACTCCGTTGATAAAACCAAATTATCTTGTTATATCCATTACCAACGAGCACCACAGTTTCTTAAGAACGGTATTCCCTTTATTATTTTTAAAATTTGCCGCAGGCATTGAGTGTTTTCGTTCGGTAACAGGTCAGTCTCAAGTGAGAGGACCATCTAGGCTGAATACCGCTGAAACTGGCATTGCTGACTCCCCTAGTCATAAGTTCACAAGTGCTTTGAACACACATACCAGTGTGTTAAATATCACTGACGACTCTGTAGACACAAGTCCTCTTCAGCTTGCTAATGTAAGTGAAGACATGAAAGGCGACGTTCAAATCTCGCGCAAAGACAGCTGGAGTAGTGAAGGGGAGAGTTCAGATGAGAGTAGTGCAAGTGATCGTGAAAGCGATAGTGGCTCAGCCGCCAGCAGCAGTGAAGGAAGGAAGGAACTAAAAATACATCCAGGGAAAGGAAAAACTCTACCAGGTTTGCGCTTTTATTTCTCGCTTCGACACCTGTTTTTTCCTTTTTGTTTATAAAATGTACACGGAATATCCCGAGTGTCTCTTAAAGCAGTTTAGGCGCCGAGGGATAAGTGGAAATATAACGACATGTGTTTCAGGTTATGTAGTGCGTTTATTCCTTATTTCGTTTGTTGCCTAATCGTTCGATCTTTCTCTCACTCAAAAAGAGGGCCAAGCTCTAGGGAAATCGAAAAATTGATAGGAAAAGTTTTGAAGGCAAATGCTTCGCGAGCGTTTATGTCTGTGAATAAACCCGTGGCTTTTGAAGAGTTCACCAACCCATCATTGTTAGATCCAAAAAATGGTAATTTGGAATCGTTCAGACAATTTTTATGGCACTTATGAAGCTTTCGGTTGGGTCGGTTATCTCCAGGATCCCTCACTCTCGATAACTGTTGATTGACAATGAAGCTAGAAATCTAAAATCTAAATAGTTAAGATACAGTGAAGGCCAGATGATCATTGGTTTCACATTTTAAATCTTTGCAAAAGGCAGAATTATACAACGTATTTCGTTTACTCCTAAACATTCTCTTTTAAAATTCATATTCAAACTGCTCTGGGACAGCTTTGACTGCGTGTGGCCCACTTCAACGATTTTATTTATTTCAACTCTTAAATGATACTGTAATAAGTAACGGGTGAAGACAACTAGGCGAGTGTTCCAGCTAAACAAGTAATTTAAGTATTTGCGGTATTGACACAAGAACAGAAAATCATTTCGTTGAAACGAAAATACAAACGGTGATGTGCTGACGGTTCACCGTAACTTCTAAAGTGGTTTAGTTCTGGTGTCGCCGGTTATTCCAAACGCAGATGTTCACCTGTGATCTCAAAAGCGTCAACAGAAGCGCCCTTTTTTTTCGAAATTGTCCAAATTTTGTATAATGATGAACTTAAGTCAGAGTATCAATTTACGTTTGTTAAATATCTGTGATTAGTGAACGCCAAAGTTTGTTTGTTTTTTTATCTAAACTAGGGACCTAAGACTTGCAAGGTTCACTACTCAAAAGGATATGTTTCTCTCTTTCAGGGGTGGAGCAGACAGCTGCGAGAGTGCAGGATAACCAGACAATTGACGACAGCGGTAACCCAAAGAAACTATCAATATTATAAACTGTGTTTATTTTATTCATTAATTTTGATTCTAAAGGATAATGCAAATGGTTATTGTAGCTTCCAGTTTTTTTAATTCTCTTTTCACGAAAGAATAACCCCGTGACATCTGCGCCAACTCTAGGATAGCTTTCCTTAGGGCTATAGTGCTTATTGGGCTGCCGGGTCATTCGCTCAATTGAAAGGTAGAGATCCGTTCCTTCCCATTTTGCTTACTACGTTTAACTAAAGTTCACGACCTCTTTATCTCGCGATTTTTGGGTGTGCATATATTGCAACTGTTCAATTTTTTGTCGACTCATAAGGTAGACTTTTTTCCTTGGAAATATCATGTAACATGTGCTTGATCAGAGGAAACGTTGTTAGTAAAAGTGTTAGAATGTTAACACAATCCAAAGGAAACGACGGGAATCTACATTGGAAGGTTCAGGTCGCCTGTTTATGAATTATCAGTCAGTTAACCACAATGTTCATTTACATTTAAAACTCGTACGGACCCCAAAGAAACTTACAAGTGTTGGAGGTATTTGTGTGGGTTGATTGATATGGACTGCAGGTGTTAATACCTAACGAGGTCGTCCAGAGAGAGGCGTGAGCGTTCTGATGGGTTCTTACTCGGTCGGTATTTTTCTAAGAGGGCTGTTTCTACAGAAACAGTCATAAGCCGCGTATCTCTGTTCTCGAAAGCTAGCAAATTCAATGAAATAAAAAAGGTTTGGTCGGAATGCCATGTAATAAACTACTTACTGACCTCTCTTGCTCGAGCCGTTCTTAAGAATATTGGCCCTTCGTTGTACGGACTTAGCTGCCATCAGTCCGTACTGCCACGACCTCGGGCCAATATTCCCCTGTGCAGCCCTCACGCTCGTTTAATGAGAAGTCAGTGATAGTTATCCAGATTTGTCAGTGTGTCTTCATGTTATATTCGTGACACGAAATGTTCGCGTCACCTCATTGTTAGAGATATTTTCAAGATATGTTTGATGTAATAATATGAGCTACAGTGCTTTGAGAATGAAGCCGAACTTTTCAAATTTTGTTTGTTTGAAAGGTTTTGACTTTGAAGATACGACGAGCAGAAAGGAAGGAAACCCTGATACTAGCAGTGAGCCGGGTAGGCTTTGGATTGTAACTTTTCATTTACATAATCACAAAGTCTCTCTTCCATATCTACTGACTGGCATATTACAGGGAGAAGAGTTAACCTGTCCTAATTTTGCTTTGGTGATCAATACGGAGTAGAAACATAACAAATAAAATTTCTTTAGCATGAGGCGACTCAGATAAATCTGCGGATGAGCCGGAGAGATTAGTATTTTTTTGTTATTGTTTTTTTTGTTTTGTTTTGTTTTGGTTTTGTTGTTGTTGTTTTTTTGGATTGACAAGGTTCCTACAATTAGTATTCGTGGATATGATAAGCCCGCGAAAGCTACCCTTTTTAATCTGGTTTGACGTTGTTTAAAAGAAGAAAGGCTGATGAACAAAATCACGCGAGAACTGTTGTATGCTGATTGTACAAGAAAAACCCACTCAACTTTGCGATCTAAAGGTCCCAAATTTAATTCCTACATTTCCTTCATTTTGTTTCAGGATCTGGAAGTGAAAGCGACTTCAGCAATGTCGATTGATATGTAGAATATGACCTGTACAATATTTACATTAATCAAGCAACAACTTTTTTCATCTCTACCTGGTCAAATACAAACATGTTATCTGACATCATACGTCACCTGTTCCCATAATCGCCGTTATCAAGAACGTGACTGGTTCAATTCTCATTCCTTGACGCACTTGGTACTGAAGGATTCAACAGAGTTTTAAGCATGTTTCGAGATGATAATAAATACACTATAAGTCAAATCAGTGATAAAACCTGAACCTCTCTTTGTTACTTTTTTATGAATCCAGTTTTGGGTGGATTAGGGTAGTACTCGTCGATTTTTGTCAGCATGATCTGATCCCGCTTGCTTCAGTCTTTAGATGGTCTGCTTATCCTGTGCAACTACGCAAAAACAGTGGCATTTACTTTAGCTCAAATAAACAAGATTTGTAAATACTTTGGTTACTCGAGTTGCCATTTGCTAAGCTGATATTACTGACTAATACTGTGGCTTCAAAGGTTCCATAAACAATCGAATGGTATAGGAATTTTTCGAATTGGTCTTAGTTGCAAATATAAATCTTCATAGAGGCTCTCCATTCTCAAATTATCTTTTCCCGATTTTCTCATTACTGATCTGTGAAATATTCGTGCCTCGCCTACATCGTGACTGCATTTTTATCGTGTAAAATATAGTTGTTTTGTACTTTAACTTTTCAACCGTTCACCATCCGAAAGCCTGAAAATCACTTGCTGAGCGTTAAAACCCTAATTTTCAACTATCAACATGTTCTGCTTGCTTAATAAGCACAGACGCCCTCGAACACAGAGATTGACTTTGATTAGTTCGAACAATGGAGAGAATATTCACCAAAGCGGCCAACGAAGAAATTCCAGGTAACGAGCTTGTCCGAGCTTGTTTTGAGTAACCCATTTAGTAGCAATCCTAGGAGTTTTCTTAACATTCTTCAGGGTGAATTTGCGCAATAGTTCGATGATCTTTCCTTGTAGAGAAAGGTCACGTATTGCACATTTGTGTTGAAATCTCTTAATATGATGATCTTCATATGCGTTCGCCAGAGTTTTCCTTTACCATTGAAAATCTTCGAAAAAGAATGTTCAGTTAGGAGGTCTGTGAACGGAACCAGTCAGCAGACGCTAGGAATGAATAGTTTACAATCAGTGTGGCTTCTAGCCAGCTATATTATATACCAGGTATGGTCGATGTCTCCATTCCTCGTGTCTCCTTTCCTCATTCAACGAAGAAGGTGGGTTTCGATAATGATCTAATTTCATGGAAAACTCAGATGTTATCCAGTAGACTACTGATGTTTTGATAAGCGAGCTTCAAGCCTTTTCGCGAGGACATCTCCTTTTGACCACTTTGAACAGTTAGATAGCGTCGATCAGAATTAGTTTTCAGTCTTACAGATTGAGTGCGGGCGAGTGGACTACGATTTGACGAGACACCTAAGTAAACGGATATGTTGAAAGCTGCTCGTTGAATTCGCCGAACCAAAATGGCGACCGTAAGTTGAATGCCATTGAATTTCATTTTTAGTCGAATGCTGCTCTTACCGAACCGTCGTTTTTAGTTCGGACTTCTGAGCTTTTTCTTTGGTGAAAAAAAAAAGCTTATCACCAAAGATCGAACGCCATGACTTGCATTAGTCCCACCCGTAACTATGACATCAAAGTGTTTATATAATATCCACAGAGTAAACAGATTAATGTCTCTCACGAGTGAACAAACTAAACTGAATTGGTATTATCAACACTAGTGGATAAAATCGTACGTAATATCGTTTATACACTTGAATATGTGAAACCTACTTGGCTTGAAGACAGTTATGAAGTAAGTTAGAGACTTTCTTTGATAATCAACTGCACAAAGTAGAGTACAAACAACGCTCCAATGGAGTACAAATATCCTGCCTTATAAATCCTATTAGACGTTTTAGTGCCTAGCATCGTTGAGTATTTTTACGAGTTGTGCCCTATTTTGATTAGCCTGTAGGGTGAGTCAAAATGCAAACAACGAGTAAAAATTACTCGGCGATACTACACACTAAAACGTCTAATAAGATATTTATCATACAACTGCTTTTCTTTTGCTTTTCTTCTATTTTATGAAACGAAACGAAACCAGGAGAAATATGGCAAAACTAAAGGAATAATGCATTATATTATCTAATAAGGTAAAGATGACTTTCAGAAGGATTTTGGAGTAAACGTTAATATTTAAGGAGAATTTTAATTGACTTAATACATTTCGCGAAATCGACTATTTTCACCCTGTGCCGTCGGTGACAATGTGACCTTCCTCGTGTCACGAAAATAAATTAAACATTATTACACATTAGTGTATAACCAAAGCTATTGTGTGACACGAGAATGGCTTCATCGTTACCGCTAAGTGAAAATAGTTCATTTCGCAAAATAGTAATTACTCTACCATTACTACTTTACGAGATTGATTTTATATGGGTAGTGAAAAAGGAGATAACGAAGATCTTCGGGAATGTACTATAATATAAAGTTTAAACATATTTTTCTGACCCGAAAAGAAAGACGTAATTGTAGGGTGAAAATAGTCTATTTTGCAAAATAGTATATCTTCTAACATTACTATCTTACGAAATATATTTAATACGGTATAAGACTTGGAGGAGGGTGGAGGCCAAAATGTTGGGTACTGTTCTAATTTGTGATGTCTAAATCTATTTGAGTGACATGAAAGAGGTCACGTCGTCACCGTAGGGGAAAAATAAATAGTAACTCTTCCAGAATTCAGTACTAGTCAGCGAAATGAATAAAAATCCTTCTTATCAACTGACGAATACTCCTTGTGGAAGTTATCCTTACCATATTAGAAAATTCATCTGCATCATTCCTTAAGTTTCGTTATATCTCGCCAGGTTTCGTTTCGTTTCGCAAAGTAGTAGAAGCCATATTTTGATCTGGTCTGCAGTTAGCAGACACTTCTCAGCTTCGGCTGTATCATGTTCTCTCGAATCATAACATTTTTTCATTGTCTCTGAGAGACCTTACTGTAATTTGCGAAACGAAACGGAAAGAAAAAATGCAATTTGCGAGATTTACTCAAATCGATAATTAGCGAAGGAAATTCGTAATTTCTGATTTTATTTCAAATCCGAAATTTCCGAAAAAAATATTTCTGTAATTTGTACTTGTGTGAATTTAATGAATCAATGCATTGGCTATGTGAAAGAAAAATTGCGTCTTTAAACCATAAAATGCAAACCTGTTATTTGAAAAATGATTCAGCGATGACGCTGTGCTGTTTAAATCGTCAATTTACGAAGTGAAATGTGTGACATGACACACAAATTCAAGCGTGACTTGAGAGTATTAAATATGGGAAAACTGTGTATCTGAAAAGAGAGAAGATTGCTTTGTATGAAACTGCCAACAGTGTTTTTATAGTTAGGGAGATAAATTTAGTAATGATATGCTGTATTCACGAAAGGATACGAGAAGCAACTGGTGAGTATCATTTAAGCACTGGCACAAGCCGAGTTAAAGGCACACGCGTGATCAAACAGTAGAGGATCGAAAAGGGGAATTGGCGATATTTCAGTAACAATTTTAGTCTAATATATAGGTGCCAGTTTCGCATTCGCAAGACAAAAAATAAAGAAACGCAACGACCCAATGCGAAAAGTTGTTCTCTCTTTTAGCATATTGAGCGTGACCAATGCTAATCGTTGTTCCGCGAGACGCGAGTGACTGCGAATGCCGAAGAATTTCTAGTTTCAAACTTTATTCGTCATTCTGATTTGTTTGTTTGGTAATTCTGCTTACTGATTACATGGGATTTAATAGCGGTCAATTCTTATTAAGGCTCCGCGACAGTTCTCATTATGCGCTGTCACATTACGTAAACAAAACAGAAGTACTTGAACGGTAGCCAATCTATTTACGTCACTTTTTCTCAACTGTTGGGCGGCGCTGGCATTTTACGTTCTGGCAGTGACTCTGCTGAAGATGGCTTTTGGTCTCATTTTAATGCTGCTCACTAGCTCTTCCATCGTCCGTACTGAAGGTTGGTGTAATTAGTCTTAACAAAATTCCTTATGATTTCAATTCGCCTCATAATAATGAGGAGAACCTGCCAAAAAAACATTTTGAAATAGGAAGATCCATGGTCTCTTCGAGCGCCATGGCCTTCCTTCCGCGTGTTCTATTTCACGTCTGGATTATCGTTGCCCAGAAATCTTGAAAGAACCCATCTCTTTTTTTTTTTTACTGAGCGATTCTGACTGAATGGGTAGAGAAATCGGATTGAAGCGAAAGAACCGCTCAAAAGGTCTACGATAATATAGAAGTGTGAATTAATTTTATTGAGACCTGTATATCATTTTGATAAACCGCCGTCACGTGCTTGTACACATCTTCCTCACGATCACGCCTTTCGCCTGTGGGAAGACTGTCAATTACTTTGAACAATGGTCATTCATGGATGAATTGATTCCACTCATTCCGTCAATTTTAAAAATGGGAGAAATTTAAATATCAAAGGTGAAAACTTATCAATCTATATATGATGACAGCTATATTTGGGATCAGCTCCTAAGTCAGCCTACTGGTCCGAAATAAAGGCCTAAGTACTTATTTCGTCTAGAATAAAGGCAAATTTCCAAATTTTTCCCATTATTATGGAAGTACCTCTTGATTTTGGGCAAAATAAAATATCTTTGAACGACATTGTCGCAATGGAATTAATATTTGGTTATTTGAATGTTCATAAGTTGAACGTTTTATGGTCAACTTGAACAAAGTACGTATTACAAAATTTAAATTGAGCACAAAATAACTGATCTCGAACGAACTAATCTTGAACGACCTCGAATAAATTAGGACACGACTTCGAATAGACCTGAACGAATTACACAAAACATCTTTCCTTTTACAGTTATATAGTAATCGAAACGAAAATATGCCTAAAAGTTATCTTACAAAACAAAAGACGTTACGTAATAACAAAAACCTACAATACGACGAAATGAATAGAAAAAAAGATTAGTGAACGTTAAATAAGCACGATCCATAAATTAAATGTACTTTTGTCCACTGAACGTAAACAATCGATCCGCCTTCATATTTTAAAAAGAAAACATTCTCATGAATTCCATCCTAGTTCTTTTGATGGCGATTAGTGACTTAATCAATTTTGATGCTTGTAAGTGTTTTGCACTCCGCCGACAGATGTTTTTAAATCAAGAATTTTTTGTTTATTCAAGATAAAGCATTTTTTGGTTTACGTAAGATATCATGGGCTTTCAAGATTAGTTCATATACGTGAGTTAGATTAAGAAAGCGGCAGTAAGGAATCCGAGATCAGGTTGAAAGGACTGTGCTTTATTCGAAAGGTGTGTTTTCTGCCTTTGTGCAAGGACTGGAAATATCGCGTCTTAAGCGGGATAACGCCTCACAGAATCGTGAGTATATCAACATTGTACGTATTCTAGAGAGCTTTTTGTCGCTTCTGTTTTTGTTATATCCGATGTGGGCGATCCTCACGTGTATTTTTTGCTTTCAGTTGACAGGCTAGCGTGTGTGTAAGGGAAAACTCGCTGAATAAACAAGTTCAAAAATTGGTAAACCCCGAAGACTTTATTTTCCTGGTGAATCTTCAAAATCAGTAGTACCCGAACCCGTGGTACGAAACATTAAGCTACATTTGCAATTGATCCTACTTGTCATGCCAAAGGTTTATTACGTAAATTACACCATGTTTTTGACTGGGTCTTAATTTCGTTTTTGGTATGTTTTAATATTCTTATCTCTATAAAGAAAATCCAACCTTCCGGGTACTTCCACGCAAAATGTTCTTTTTAACCAACGGTGAGCGCAAAATGCATACAAGAGGCGCTCCCAGTAAGGGCATGGACATGAATTGAGTGTTGTTTGAAATAAACATCACCTCTTTGGAATGCACACGTAATCGCTAATTGAGTTTTCTCTAAAAGATCTTTCCTGCTTTGAGAGACTGTTCATGAAGGATATTTTTTTAATCTTCTTTCGGTGGCTCTATACTAGCTTTACAACTAATCTTTATCAAAAACGAAACAATGAATTCGAATTAAATCATCGCTCATCACTGAACTATGTTAGTAGTTCAACTTTATTATACTTCTGCCAGATGTTATGATTGTCAGTAGTTCAACTTTATTATATTTCTGCCTGATGATATGAATTTTCAATCGATCTACCATCTGATCTACCATCTGCGATAAGAACAGCCGCAATGGTGTGCACAACTGGTGAATGTTTTATTCTTTTTCTTTCTTTCTTTCGGCATTCCTCCATCTTCATCGTTATCAGCATATTCACTATATTTCTCATTGTAGTCTCCTTTGCTTCGCTCTCTCTTCACTATGAATCATATTCTTTTTCTGCAAAATCAAGCCTCGATCTCCCACAGTAAAGCTTTCATCTGAGCCACTATGTCAACGCCTCTTCTGTTTGACATCGCGTTATTTTTAGGAGGCTAGATCCTATTTATGGCTTGTGGTTTCCGTAAAGGCAAAAGGAGATTGGCGTCACATCCCACAAAGCTCACGTGGATAAAAGAGTTTGACCCAGTTCTTCATATCCTTTTTCATATGTATGCTTGTGCTTATTAGTCGCACACACATATAGTGGACATTGTTTCGCCTTTATGGTGTGAACATTTTCACATTCGCCATAAGTTTTTTCCAGTTCGCCAAGAAAATGGCTGGAAAAGAAAAAGACTTCGCAAACGAAAAAGGGGAATAAACAATCTTTGGGGAAAAAAAAAACAGATAAATCTTCTTTCCATTCTTTTAGTGCTATGGATAAATATATCTAGAAGTAAAAGCCTAGTAATGCTGACATGCATACCATGGAACTCTCTAAAACGATGTAATGTTATCATCAGTTTTTCTAAAGAAATTTCTTATCGTATTTTTCAGAACAACTTATGGACTCCATCGATCCGAAATACCCAGCGCCCGAGCATTTTACTATTCCTGATCTAATTTTTTTTATTAAAAACTTATGCATTTTAACTTTCCTTGTTGTCCGATTTTTACGGTCCGATTCTTGTGACGTTTAGTTTTAACTTCTTGTGCGACTTTGACTTTGGTATATCGTAAATTTTTGTTCTCCTTGTTGTCTAATTTATGTTAGTATCCCGTAAACTTATAGTTTTCCTTGACGTTCGATTTTGACGTTAGTATATTGTGCATTTTAATTTTCCTTGTTGTCCGATTTTTCCGTTTGCATCGCGTTCTTTATTGTTTTCCTTAATGTCTGATTTTACGTTAGTGTCTCGTGCATTTATAGTTTTCCTTGTTGTCCAATTTTTTCGTTGGTATATCCCGCTTTTATAGTTTTCTTTGTTGTCAGACTTTTAAGTAAGGAACTCGTGCACTTATAGTTTTCCTTCTTGTCCGACTTTTTACGTTCGCATCTCGTGCATTTAAGTTTTCCTCGTTCTCCGATTTTTACGTTGGTATTATGCGCATTTTTTGTTTTCCTTGTTATCCGTTTTTACGTTAGTACCTCGTGCACTTATAGTTTTGCATATTTTACGATACATTTTATAAAAGAAATGAAAAACTTGTTCCTCGAGCAATGTTGAGTTGTATAAGTACTTGGGTATTTTTAAGAACACTCGCGAAGTGCGGAGAAGTACTCGCCTCCGGCTCGTGCTTCACCACACATCTCTCGTGTTCTTAGAAAATTCCCACGTGCTTATGAAAACAAAACCTCCTGGCCACTCCTCCATTTCACTGAGCCATTCTTCCTTTCCGTTTTCCTGACCTTAGAACCTGAAGTCAATAATGGAGTTTAATTTAACCACACTGTAATGTCTGACATTAACATTATGTTAATACTAGTGAAGATGCAAGTGTTCCCTTTGGAGGCTTACTGATGAAGTAGACCTCCAAACTGGACCTTTGGAACTCCTTTTTCGGGGCAATCTAATAAACTTGATGGTTTTAACCTTGGAAAAAAAAAACAGAAAACGTTAGACCTCATATATCAAGTCTTCAAATGGAGTTTTCCATACTGAGAGGTCTTCGATTTCTACTTTTCAGCGTCAGCCAAAACCGGAGTTAAGAACTATACTATTTTTGGTAGGTACGATTTGGATAATACAAACGGCAAAAGTATAAGTTGCGTCTCCTAATGGGTTACTAGCATACTAGATACACTCTTCTTGAGCAAATGATTTTGACGAAGAGCCTCCCTAGTCCCTAGCCTCCCTCCCTCTCCCCAAGACAGTTTGGTTTTCCAAGAGACATTGTTAATTTTATGCCCTGGTTCCAGAAGATGTACAAAACTTGGGCGCCAGAAAGGTCAGAAAGTAAATGATTTCATACCATATCATCACCATGTCTTTGCTTTGATGCTATAGGGAGGGGGACGGGGGTGATCCATTAATTCTCCCTCCCCGTCCGAAACCCCGTGCCGGCAATGGTTGTAAGATCGCTGTATATTTTGATCTCCTGAACAGCTAGTCTGGGCGAGATGGTCGAATTCCCTTCATGGAATATATCACAGTACAGACAGACTGACTATTTCATCCTGACGAGTTCGGAGTACCGAGTGAGAATACAAAAACTAAGCTCCGACGGCTCGACGCAGTCCTGCATCGAGGAAGCAGAGTGGTATCAAAGATGTCGGGCATGGGTAAACATGACTTACCTCGGTAACGACATGGCCGGTGTTAAGATAATTGTCGGGAACGAGTCAATGGGTGGAGTATTCAGGGTGTATCTCTATTGCACTGGTGGTTCCGGGACCTGCAGCTTGGATCCGTTAATGGAAGTTCACCTTGTCATCAGCGATAAAGGTAAATTTCATATTTCACTGTATTCTTAGAATGTTTCACGATGCATACTGTCACGTCCTTTTTGGAAAAAGAAACGTCTGGTCCTCTAGAGCTTGGAGTTAATTCACTTTTGTCACAGATGAATAATTTTTGATAGTAATAATTATGGTGTATCAACGTATCTGCACCAAATGCAAATGACTCTTCAGCTGTGAATAGTAAAGGAACTACAATAAAGATGATACCCTAAACATAAATATAAGTTATTTGCCGGCTGGGAGGTCTGTATGGTGAAAAACTGTGACCTTGGCCTTAAAAATGCTGCTGTATAAGTAACATACTTTTTTTTTGAAACTTTACGAAATGCTCTCCGAAAGAACTCGAATCATTTTGGGCTGTAAATACGGCACGATGTTCCATTAACTTAAAAAATTTCGAGTTAGTAAATGGTAGTTTAAATAGAGGTGATGCAAATTTAAGAGAGATGCTTCACCGAAACATTTTCATTTGCGTTATGATAAAGGTAATTTAAAAGGCTTCCAAACAAACTTTGAAACATTATTTTTCAAGTATCTGTCACAATCTGACAACTGTCAATTATAGAACTCGTGAGAAAAAAATCAAACGCGTTCGTACGCTTTTGAAAAACAACGAAACTAGTTTGGCAAGGACTGTCACGAATCAAAAACAGTCAATTAATGATCTAACGGAAAGTATTATACACTCTCATCGACGATTAATTTGTGTACGAGGATTTACCTCTGTTCACTAAGTAAACGGCGAGGAAAGTAATTGTAAGTAAATTCCAATTTTTTATTTTGAAGTTGTGAGAGTTTGCTCGTTTGGGTAAATCTTGGACAAAACCTAAATTCGAATGATATACTCTAACGAGACACAAGGGGATTTAATGCGGCCTTTTCTCACTGAATTCCTTCTGTCAGTTTCTGTTGTGAAATTTACAGTACAAATGTTCAAATTGAATGGACTTCGTATATTTGTTGTAGACCTGAGAATAAAACTTCGCTCGTTCTTTCACTACGAATAAAATTGTTTAAAAAATTCAGATATTAAATGAATGAAATTTCCATCAGTTAGTTCAACTGTAACCAAATACCTCATGTTTAACTTTCTAGGTACTTTCTGTGACCAATTAAAATTAATTGCAGACGGTTTTTAGGCCGCTTGTCAACTAACGTAAAGACCGCGTAAAGAACCAATCAGATTGCAGAATTCGTTACCGTGCCCTCTGGAAAAAGAAATAAATACATTTATAATATATCGTAGTAACTAATGTTCCCCATAGCCACTCAAAAACTGCGGCTGCGGTAATTTGTCTACATTAGAAATGCTGGTAGTAATAATCAGCCTTTTAATTTCCTCCTTCGTTACAAGTGGAACAATTTTACCAATTAACACAGGAGGAACGACTTTTTTGATTAACATTGTCTGTATCGTTATTTTCACCGGAGAGGCACAGGTCTACTGGCATGGACTCGGAACTGAAATGTCAGGGGTTGAGCCCAATGTCATTTGGGGAGGAGCCACTTCACTGTTAAAGAGCCTATTTTCTCCCACTTGTAGCTTTATCATTTTCATCATTCTTACTCGCTGTTATTTCTCTTTTTATCTTGACGTCACCGGCAGCCTTCAAAACGAACGCGAGCGCAAGTGTTGTAGACCCCACACAGAAAACAAAGAACACTAGCGCTCAGCTGAATAGAGGAAGAGGTAGGTTTACTGTACTGTACAATGATGGTCCTGGTGATAAACCACGAGAAACTCCTTGGTAGACCGTATGCAGTGCAGTACTGATGCAATTGTTGATAGTAGTGTGGTATCCTCCCTCTCAAAAGAGCCCTTTAGGTTATGAAACCCCTCTGACCCACGCCTAATGAATCGATTTTTGTAAACTAGTTTGAGTGGAATATAACTCTAGCTGAAAATCCCAACGCTTTTTTTAAAAAATTTTACGAGTAAAGAAATCCATATCTGTTTTTTCATTTAATTACAAAAATCTAATCGTCGGCACGCCTCAAATTGAAAATCTTAATGACATGTTCTCTTATTCGTAATGCAGGTTGTTGCAGATCACGACAATATATTTAAATTAAACAAAAACTCAGTTGTAATGAATTTACATCTTGTCTACTCTGCCAGCACCCATTTATCGCCTTCAACAACAACATGATGGATGCAAGCCAGATTTTGAAAAATCTTAAAAGCATTCTAGTTTGACATATCAAATATTTTAATGTGTTATCCCTTGACGAAGGAAAAGAACCAGAACCTATTAGTAATGTCCTCCTGATGATTCTTCCTCGAGATAGAGACTTAGAAAGTGTAAGCGAAGGAGGAAAGTAAAAAAAACCTCTTCATACGTATGTCAAATTCATCTCCGCTTTATCTTTATCAATCAACTATTTCTGTTTTTTACAAAGCTTAAATGTTGTGCAAAGAAGGATTTCGAGCACGAAAATTGCATTTTGCATTATCTTTAAGTTCAATCAGCAATGTGAAAAAAAAACTTTAACTTTAACTCCCAGTCATTCATTTTTGACAGAGGCGAAACCATCAGTCCCATATACACCCACTATCCCGACTACCCAGGGCTTACAACTACCGGAATCGAGGTCTAAGAAAAACAGGAATGGAGGGTTGAGCCGTAAAACAGGTAGGTAGGTTCACAGTGCAAGGAAAGGCTGATTCCTTTAAAAGTCCAACAGAGATGTTACATCTGCTTACAGCGGAGAGCAGTTTTCTTTACTAATCCCTCAATGGATTAGATAGATCATCAGCGATTATTATTTATTATTCGTTTATCATAATTTGAAACTAAAATTATAACTGAAGACTATTTACTTCTTCACAATTTTCACTGCGTTATCCTCATCTTACAGGAGTCTCTGCTCTTCTCCAAGCCGTCCTTCTGTTTGTGATGGCGGTACTTATCTAATCTCGCTCGAAGAACACCGAGACATGAAATCATGTATTTGACGTAGTGCGTCCTCATTTGAAAGGATCTTGATAGAAAAAAACTGTTTTCATCTCTTCATTACGATATTTGGCGTTACTTAAACTTGAAAGTTTCCAAAGACACAGCAATTGTAAAGGTAAAGAAATTATGAAAACTTATTTTCTTAAGCTACTATAAACGGTATTTAAAAGGAAAAATTTTGAGAAACAATTATGATGTAATTAACTAATGTGAGATTTCAAGCATGATGATAAAGCTTTGAAAAAATTTTAGAATTAGGAATCAAGAAATTGATCTCTTTTTTTTTTAGATAATTTTGTTAGTGCCGTCTCTCCTGCTAAGCTAGTTGATGTCATTTCAAGTGTAAAGTTATTGAATGAAACAGTAGTTGGCAAAAACGGATTTCCACGACATATTTAGATTAATTAGATGCTGTTACAAACTAGAAATATTAAATCGGTTTAAACTCGACTCGAGGAGAAAGTTTAGACACGATTTCATAGAAATTGTTTAAGTAATATTGTAATCAGGGGGGCTTATAGAATTAATTTCATTCTGAAACAGTGCTTTTGCAGGAATCTCAGAAGAAGAATAAATCGAGCGTAACTTGTGGAATAAACTGAAATGAGAAGCACAAAATGACTGTCTCTTCCCACTGAAAGAAAGGCAAGCCGAAAATATATTGGCACAGAAACAAATTCAGTTACATTTGAGAGGAAAGCTCATTCCTAAACGTAACTCTGACTCGAAAAATGCATTTTTAATAGGTGAATTTCGTATTGTCAATTTTAATTTCTTTTTGCTTTGTGACCGGTCAAGTCAATACCTCAGCACTCACCTCTGTCAATTCATAAACTCGTCATATGACAACATTTTCTAATTAAATAACGTGGCACTTCACTGGATAAGTTTCAAAAAGTAGATAAATGTTTAGGTTTAGACACCGGCTGAGATTGGGAAAGTCAAAGCAAAGGGTATCAAAGGTCTATTGTGCGTGATAAGTCATTAACAGAAGAAATAGCAGTTAGTGATAACGATATAGAGAATAATGCATGGGCGCGCGTTTATAGGAATTTCTCTTCGAGTGTTTAACACGATAGCTCACGAGTGAGCGCAGCGGACGAGTGAGATGTCGAGTTGAACACGAAAAGAGAAATTCCATGTCTACAAGCAACCATGTATTATTTTGTTTATCGTATAAACACAATAGCCATTTATTGGGAAGAAAAGCCGATTTCATTAATGAATGAAAATAAATGAATCGGCAATCCTCGAATAATAATCGTATAGTGTGTTGGCGCTGACTCTTAAGATGGAAAAATTCGCTGAATCATGACTACAAAAACAACAGTGGTCGTAATTTTCAATTTACAAAATTCTCATTTATTGAATTTGTCCTTACCGACAGAAGAAGTCTTTCAGGTAAACGGCCAAAATCGGCTGGTAGCAAATCTTCCAGTTGTCGATTTTCATTCTCAGACGAGAGAAATGCCAACACCAAAGCCACTGAATACGCAACTTTCGGTTTTTCTTTTAGTATATTGGTTTCCTTCCCCTTCTAGGAAAGTTTGAACCTCATTGTCTGCCAGCGATACGGATTTTTTAGTGTTTTAGCCACCATAATTCGAGAAAACTCCGACAAAAAACTTGTATTGAGAATCGTGAAGGCTTTGCCGTTCATTCATCAACCTGACCGAGTGGCGCCAAGGGCGAGTGACGTATAAGCAGCTGATTGGCTATATCAACACACGTGAAAAATTACGATATTTTTTCACGTGTGTTGTTACGGCTTTTCTCAGGGCTGGAAATCCTTGTATAACACCGCGGTTTATGTGATTAAAAGTATTATCGTTTGTCTCACGATGTGGTCACTTATGACGTGAATTGCGACGTTTCAACTGCATACTACTAGTCTTCATCAGGCGATCCCCGATGTTAGAGAAGGAAAGGCGTACGTGCCGTCTTCAAGTCCGAAATTACACCAAGATCAGAGCTACTGAGAGCGAAAGACGTTGATCCGGCTAAACAAGACGGCGTAGTTTACAGGATTCCTTGTGAATGCGGCAAAGTTTACATCGGCGAGACTGGAAGACCGATGCAAGACAGAATAAAGGAGCACGACAGAGACATTCGACTAGCCCGTAGCCAGACCTCCGCTGTTTCAGAGCACGCCCACAACACCGGACACCAACCGCTTTGGAATGAGGTTAAGTTTATTGATCGTGATCCTCACCGATACACTCGCAGGGTCAAAGAGGCAATTCATGTAAGACTTCATTCTAACAACATCAACGGGGACAGAGGAATAAAAATTCCTGAAGTATGGAAGCCCACGATCAAAAACACAACAACCGGAAGGCCATACGACAGCGGACCACCGAGGGAACAACTCTCTAAAATCGAGGATCGAAACGCGCCAGACAGAGTTATGGAAAAACCAACCAACAGTAGGGCATCCTGCTTCATAAGAAGACCCGAAACCACTCGACCTTATTGCCTGATGAAGACTAGCAGTATGCAGTCCAAACGTCGCGATTTACATCATAAGTGACCACATAGTAAGACAACGATAATACTTTATTATTATTATTTTTATTGTACTTTACTACAACTAACAAGCACAACCTTTTTTACGAAAGTACTCAGTGATGTGTGAAATTGGCTGAAAACAGGTTATTTATAGGAAGGAATCACAACCCTATCCCTCTTTCCCTCAGAAGCGACTGAATACATATGGGATTTCAAGTTCGTATATTTTGGTTGAATGATCAGTGGTTCCCTAGGAGGTGTTTTCCTGGAACACTACTTTCAATTCTGGGACTAATTTGATAAAACTATTACACTTGTAATCTACAAGTCGGACGGTTATAATTACAATCTAAAAACATGGTTGCTAGTCCAGGTTACAAGTTTACGTAATTACAGGTGTAGTGCTACAAGCGTAAAAGATGGTAAGTATCAAATTAAAAAAAAACTTTTAAAAGTCCGACTTGTATTTTAACAAGAGTCCACCTTGTAAATCAGAATAGCAAATGTTCCGTTGTTACAAATTAGCTGATTGACGTTTGATTTTAGCCTTGATTGACAGTCGATGGCGCAAGTCGTTTTAGTAAGTTTACCTTGAGATCAAATGACGCGTTTTTTCAGTTGTGAAAGAGAAAATACTGTTCCTCGCCAACTAACCTGTGGTTTTTCTGCTGACCCGTTTATTTCCCGTTTCGTTGACCTGTTCTGTAGTAATTTCTGACTGGATAACGCCACAGAAGTAAGTAATTTGCTTTGAAACCAGGTAATTTAGTGTTAACAACTGAGTTGAAAACGTAAATTAGCCATCGTAATGGGGCGTTAGCCCCTAAAGAGCGTTAGCCCTTCGTCAGAGCGATTGGATCACTCTGACGAAGGGCTAACGCTCGAGACGTCACCTTTTTAACCCTTTACGGTGGCTAATTTAAGTTTTCGACTCGGTTGTTAACACTAAATTACCTGCTATACTCTCCCACCGACGCAACACCACACTTTCTTTAGAAACTTACCTCTTTATTCATTTGCTTTGAAACCAGTTTGATTTTCAGTATTTTAATTTCATATTTTCTGCATGTAATTCATGAATCGCTCGCTGTTAGATTTCTTAAGAATTATGTATTGTCTAAAACGAAAGAAAGAAGTATACGATTCGTATCCAGTCAAATACTCCATAGCCACTTTATCCCGGGACCAGCAAATGGTCGCACGTCACTTGTAAACATTGAGTATTTCTTATGAAAAAGGACATTAGGGCGTAACAATATGTCATCTTCTAGTGAAGAGGAACTTGACGAGCTGCTGAGACGTCAAGTTATACGCCAACCGAGGAATTTCCGAAAAAAAAAACCGGATTTTCAACATCAAAAATCCGAAGAAGTTCCGTCGGCCTGACCTGTCCTTCGTCCACCTTTCGGAATCAATAGGCTCGCGTTTGGAGCATAGCAGGAGACGTAACATTGTATTGACGGCAAGGCAGAAACTTTTAGTGTTTCACCTCTTTCTTGTCCTCGTTGAGTTGGATATCGGTCGTAGAGAAGAACAACAGAACAGAAGGTAGCGACTGCTGCAACACTTCCTTTGAGTTTGAGGACTGATACACGCTCCACCTCATGCAAAACAAACACGAAAGGAGTTCGCCAGGAAAACGAATTACCATCATGACACTTCAAAGCATAAAGGAGGACTAACTGGATTATTACAACTCTTCAAATAACGACCACAAGCACAAACGGACGAAAATGACACTTAAATACACAAGATGTAGCATCCTTTGTGGCATCCCTTGAGCTGTAGCACGCTCAAACACTGTAGCTTTTAGTTGATTTATTTCGTCTTCATTTCACAGAGGCTGTTTAAAGCACCAGGACACTGAGCTAAAACTTTTTTGGAAGCAACACTAACCTGCCAGAAGGCAAAAAATATATATTGAGGTCATTGATCACGAGGAAGAAGAAGAAATAGCATTTTCTAAACGAAAGTCCTACCACTAGCCCATTTTATTATTTAATGGTAACATGCAGCTGTACAAAATAAAAATGAAATGAGTATCATGTCAGACCATTTGTAAATAGTGTTGGAAAGTTCAAAATTCCTTAGTATCCCCCAAACATTGTTACTCCCTCCATATCAAGCCCCCTCCCTTTAACCCTTTACACCCTAACATCAGTATGCATATTCTCCATACTGTTCTCTAACGTTTCCTAGGGTCCTTACAAGGAGAATCTGTTTAAGAATCAAGAGCTTCTTTAGTTTTGATCATTTTATTTATTCTCATGACCTCAACTTATCTCCTCTTCTTTCTCGGATCCCTTGTGGTTTGCTTTCTCTCTGTTGATAACCTAAGTAAGTGAGGTGACGCTCATGGAAGCTAACATGGCTTCTACCGTTAGGTTTCCATTGCCATCCTCTCTAGTTATTTTGGACACATTATTTTTCCTAATTCAAGTTAACCAAATGATTAGATGACTTGGATTCTCAATATGCCACTACAAACAGGAACGCATGTAAATTTGCAAAAACGGGCTGGATCGATAACATCTGGAAACTTTCTTTACCGAACTCAGCTCGCAGTTCGAATAAGTTAAGCCAGTACTTTCAGCGAATAAATATCAAAATGCCTTCCTTCGTAACATTTCGAGCTATACCAGTGTTGGAAGAACTAGTGGCCTACCTGGAGGGTCATCTGGATATTTTAGATGCAGTAAGTACAAGTCTTAAAGCGAAAAACGTTTTTTAGGTTTTATGTGGAAAAGCAACAGTGCAAGAGTTGAAGAAGCTCTACTTAAGAGTGATTGTCAGTAAAAATCAAAGAAATCGTGGCCACGGTCAAAAAACGATTTTGCTCATACTTTGTCAGTTTGAAGGCCTAGGTAAGTAACTGAATGATATGAGGTTAGTTTTTTGAAATGTTCCATATAACGGCAGAAAACCACGAAAAACGGTCACCCTACCGGAAGCTCGGATTTCACCTGGCGGAAACTCGAAATTTTACACTTTTCAGCTTCTCGCTACACAGACGTTTACATAGCTGTGAATCTTTCTTAAGTATAATTGAATACATTGATTCTTCCTTAGTCAAACCATGGGAATTATTTTTATCTCTGCTTATTTGTGAGCGAACTGAGGCCCGATTAAGAAGACACACTTTTCTCATTTACGCGAAGGTGTAAAATAATCCAAACTCAGCGACGAAAAAAGCTGACCGGTAGTTCTTCAAATCCTCTGATATTATAACCAAAGACAGTTCAGTCATTGATTTTTAGGTCTACGGTTTTAAATCTTTAGGATCTAGTAGCACTTTTGCATGAACGCCGATCAAAATTCGATAAAATTCCAATTGAGCGCCTTTGAAATCTACAACTCTACATAACAATGCACTATTGAATAAATTAACTCCTCGGCCAAAGTTTGTACATAAAACATGAGGGTTTTACTTTCTTAGCGGTTTGAACCTTTTAAAAATATACATTGATGTTAAATATTGTCTACACAGGTAAAACAAACTATGAAACACCAAAATTACCACGAGCTGAAATTAAATCTCACAGGCTCGCTCCCTAATCTGTGTCACGCGCGAGCGACTTCGCTACAATTAGTACAGTAACAAACAGAGATTTACATCTGTTAATTTACAATAAGTCTTATTTTAAAATATCTTACTCAACGATGTGCCAGGTTCCCCAGTTAACTTGCTGAAGTAAAAATAAAAGAAAATATCATAATAGCAATTCAAACTGAAACGATAAGAATTGATTTTAATAAGAATGAGAAGCTTTATGCCGTCGATAGCCAATCAGAAGTACCTGTTCTCACGAAAATTGCATCGTTCTTTAAATAAATAAATCGAATTATCTTTATCTGTGAAACATTGCATCTAAAACCAGAGTTTATTGTCGGGGAACTTCATAGAACAGCGATGTCTTGCTCGTTCTTGAATATTGTTGGTGGGATTTGCGGCGCAGACGAACGCACAAGTTCTTCAACTTCCGTCACGCCTCTCACGCGGTGTAACAGGGATATCAAAAATCACAAAAAGTCGTTGAAATTTTCTGGAATTGAAACGGAGGTAGAATTAATTTTGGCGAGATGTGGATGTTTTCAAAAGCCGGCGAATTTATCGGATATGACTATCTGTCCGGTTCATCGTGCCAAGTTAGGTTTAGGTTGGCGAAGGACGGGTAATCTTTGCACCATCCTGGAAGTTGTTTCTGGTCACTGCAAGGAGCTGAGGAAGGCACCCGCACTGGAAAAAGGAATAAATTTATTCCAATCCATGAAGATATTTGAGCTTTCAAAACAGCTCGTCCCTGTGGGCTCAGGTAAGCAACCAACTACTTGATGTTCTACCAAACAGAAACTGTCTCCAATGAATTATTTTTAGTCTATTCATTCTGATGACTTGAGATTATATGAAAGAATCATTTGTTTAAACGACGGAGAAATAAGTAAGGTTGATGAAGGACATTTCGTTACTTATCTCTTCATTCAGTTGTCCAATCCAATTTTTTTATAACAACCTTTATTTCATGCCTCTCATTTTTTTATGGATTGCGCTTATATTAGTGTGTGCACTGTATAGTGCCCTACCCACTTTGTCGCCAGGTATGTGAGAGTGAGTGAGTGAGTGAGTGAGTGAGTGCCGGTGTCCGAAAACAAACAGGTCCGCAGCGCGTGCACAGCACTACCCATATGTATACAATGAGTTCCTATTTTTTATCAGTATCTCTCAGTTCGTACGCGGGGTGTGATTGGTCAATTTTGCGCGGCCCACTAAACTTTAACTAGTTTCCATTCCCGCGCGCCCGATTGACCTCAGAGACATAATGAATATCTTACTAACCTCGTTTCACGCTCTGTAACTTACAGTACGCACCTGGAATTCGGTTAGTAGGGGTTAATTTACTTTGTTTAAAACATTTCAATTTCGTTTCGCAAAAAGCCACTTGAGAAAGATATAAACAATAAACAAAAAAAAAGGATAGTCTAATCACAATGCTACTCCCCCCTTCTTCTCACCTCTTATCGCGCAGTCAACTTCCGATTGTTATTTTATTCTGTGGGTCGACAAAACTTCAGACTTTTGTGTTTAAAAAATACGCGCCTTTCGGTAATTTCGGAGTTTTGACGGGAATTTGACTATGTTTTTTCTAAAGGAATTTGCGTAAAATGCAGAAAGATGCTTAGTGTGTATAAGGAAAGAGCACCTGAGAAATGCCAGATGACCGCTGAAGTTTCAGAGATCGCCGAAACCTTGAACAAGTTAAACCTGGTGAGTATACGCACATGCTTTATTATATAATATGAAATACCGGTGGCAAGACACTTTCCCAGTTATATCGCTTATCAGAGACCTTATAGTCTTTCTGTCATGTCAGCCCATCTCTAAACGTTTCTTCAGGCCACCAATAAGCATTCATCCTTTCACTTCACAAAGTCATACAAACTCACAATCCAAAATCATCATGACGTCGTTTACGTCTTGATCTATTCCCCACACTTTAAAGTATATTTAAGGTCTTTTTTTTAATTTTTATTTTATTTGCCGGGGGTGGGTGGGTGGGTGGGAGGGAGGGCAAGGGGCAGGAGAGAGGAGGATGTAGATTGGATGGATGGCCAACCCTCTCCATTGTGTATCTGCAGAAGTAAGAAAATTAATTTGTACATCAAAACCTAAATACGTTATATTACACCATTTGAAATCTAAAAAAGCATGTGTCGAGGAATGTTAAATTACTTGTCCTATGATATGTGTCCATGGCAGCCGAAATTAGACAGCTCTTAATTAGAATTTCGTTAATTTAAAGTTTAACTGGAAAACTTGGTAATCCAGAGTCGGAAGCAGGGTTCGTGAATGATATAAGGAAGTCATAGGTGTTTTAACACTAACTTTACTAGAAATGTCGAACTGGCCCACGAATCGTGGGCGAATCTTTTGTTCATTGTATATAGAAAATATTTTAACTTTTTCGCACTACAGGTCGATCATGAAGCTGACACTGATATTTCCCTTCCTGTACCGATCACTGATACTGAATGCAAAGAAGGTAGATCTAAACGAGAGAGCCTTTACGTGCCAGACGAAGATTCGCAAGAAAGCGAAGATGACATAAACTATGTGCAAGGTGAATCCCTGAAACAGCTCAATCGCTTTCAACAGCTTCGTGACACCAGCCCAGTCCGCCACGTACTATCAGTACCATGGAATGTAGCTCAAAGCCGTTCTAAACGCCGTTATTTGAGAAAAGCTGAACAGTGTGCTTCAGCAGTAATGGAAGTCCTTGCTCCTGAAGATTCGAATTGCTTGTGGAGGGAATTATGTGAGCGCGAAGTGAATCGAAGAACAACTGGCGGGAAAAAGTGTAAGGAAGTGGAGCTTCTTCAAGCGTTTGCCGAGAGTTATTTAAACGCTCAACACTGGAGTACCCGTCGGCAAATACTCTCAATCCTGGCTGACAAGTTGTCTTTCAAAGAGGTGCAAGAATTTATCCCAACCCTGACAAGTTACCGCTTTGACATAGCGCGACACCACACCCTGCTTCATGGAAGAGCAGAACCGATTCCTCGCCAAGATAACAGGAGAATGAAAGTTGACCAAGGAAAATTGGAAGATTTCATTTCATTTATCACAAGTTCACATGTGATTCAAGATGTTCCATTTGGCGAAAGGCTTTTGAAGTTATCAACCGGTGAGGTTATTAAAATACCAAATGTAATCAGAATGATGATTCCGGAGCGTATTTTTCAACAGTACCAACAATATTGCAGTGAAAGAGGTTTTGAGCCCATGAGCAGGCGAACACTGCATAGAGTGCTAGATGAGTGTTCTGCGTCTGTTAGGAAGTCTTTTCAAGGACTTGATAACTTTTCATCTCAAGGAGCAGAGGCATTTGATGACCTGGACAAAGTGGTCGATAAACTGGTTGATTGTGGAGAAACAGAAGTGTGGGCCAAGGAAATGAAGCTACAGTTACGCTCATCAAAGCAATACGTGAAAAGTGACTACAAGGTATTTGATTTATTTCATTACACGGTTTGTTATGAAGTACTTCAAAAGAAAGGCGCAAAACTGACAGAAAGTTGATGCAACAACACAGGCAAATTATTTTCCTAAAGTTCAAATTTTTGAAAATGCATAATATTGATACTTGAACTAGTTCCAGGTCCTCTCGTGCGTAACTAAGGAAGGAATTATTGTCGATAACCTGTAAGTTATATTTATACATTTTGCAAACAAAGGGGGACCGTCGGCCTTTTCAATGTAATTGTTTTATAGAAATAGTAGTTAAGATCAGGACGATAAAATTACTGTATTTCCTCCGCTAAGTGCCCGGGCGCTGGATCGAGTCAGGAAGGGGCTCCCAATATAGAGGTTGGGCGCTTGTTCCAAGGGCGATTTACTTAAGAGGAGCTCGCTTATTGGAGGAAATGCGGTGATTGAAATTGTTTACGTTTTTGTTGTCTTCGGCTTGTTTCAGGTCCATGTGGTTGAGTCTTCGAGTATTGCTGATCATTGTAGGACTTACGCCTTAAGTGACTCAACAGACTCTGACTTCCAAGGCCACTGCAGTCATTCACACAACGAAACATATGCACAGTGTTGCCAGCTGCAAGAAGTTCTAAGCATCTTGGAGAGTGAGTGTTCAAGTGCAGTTTGTAACGAGGAGCAGAAATCGGACATGCTACACGCTGTTAAGCAGGCCAGAAATAATATCATGAGCTGGAAAGCCCACCAGTTGCGCTCCGTTCACCAAGATCAGGCCAAATGTTCTGTTCTAGCTAAAATGAAGAGCAAATGCGACGTGTTACTAGTGCAGGATTGGGCAATGAAATTTATGCCACGAAAATTTCGAGAGCCGCAATCAGACTGGTTTGCTAAGCGCAGTTTACCATGGCACATAACAGTTGCTATTAGGAAGTCGGAAGAAGGCGAGCAGTTTGAGTCTCAAACATTCGTACATGTCTTTCAGAACTGTTTACAAGACAGTGCTGTATTGGTATCGATAATGCAGGATTGTCTTGTTTCGCTGAAGAAGGAAATGCCGGAATTAGAAAGGGCGTTTTATAAACAAGATAATGCCGGCTGTTACCACAGCGGATACACTATCGTTTCAGCATATTTGCAGGCGACATTGCTGGCGTGGGCGTGGAACGGAACGACTATTCCGATCCTCAAGGTGGAAAAGGAATATGCGACCGCCAAGCAGCGACTATTAAAGGAGACATTGGAAGATATGTAAACGAGGGCAATGATGTGACAACAGCAATTCAGCTCAAAACAGCCATAGAGTCTGGTCCAGGATCTTGCGCTAAGGCTAGTTACGTTACATTCAACCCGTCAAGCACTCGGCACGTCAAATGGGATGGTGTAAGCTTACTCAACAACTTCAAGTATGAGGAGAACGGAATACGAGCGTGGAGGGAATTTAATGTGGGTCCTGGAAAGTTGCTAACGTGGTCTCAGTTTGAAGGAGTTTTGCAGGTCCCGGAAACTCTTGAAGTGGTTGATCCCCCATCGCAGAAATTGAGTACTAAGCCATCTTTCAAGAAGGTGAGACACAGACATGTAAATAAAAAATCTGCAAGTGATCCAAACGCAGCCAGTGATGCCAATAGCCGAGAACAAGAAGATGATGATGGTGAAAACGAGCAAGCCTCGCCACTTTTCCCATGCCCCGAGGAAGGGTGCATTAAAGCATACAGCCGCTTTGTATCATTACAAGCACATCTAGACACGGGGAAACACAAGCGACTACCTGAACAGGAAACGCTGTACGACAAAGCAAAACGAGGATATGCTTCAAAGCTAATGGATGAAGGTAGCAGGATTTCCACTGTGCAGTTACAATGTGAAGAACAAAACAGCCAATGCTTTTCGCCCCTTACAATGGGATGGGCACTTAAGACAATCACAAAGAAGACACGTTTTACGCAAAAACAGAATGAATTTTTGAAACAACAATTTGAAATTGGCGAGCAGAGTGGAAGGAAAGCAGATCCGAATGAAGTCTCAAAAATGATGAGATCTTCAAGGGACGAGTTAGGAGCTCGTCGATTTCTACCAGAAGAAGTTCTAGCAGGACAGCAAATCACTGGATTCTTCTCACGACTGGCAGCAAAGAAAAGGCTTCCTCCCAGTACAGTGAACCGGGAAGAGTCGGACGAAGAGACCACTAGAGAAGATGACAGAGCATCACAAGAACAGGTAATCCAATCTGAAATCTGTGCGCAAGTGATGAGAGAGGTTTCCCTTCAGCACCCCATTGTATCGTCGTCAGGTTACAACATCTGTGAACTCATGCGCATGGGCAAGAAAAAGCTGATGTCACTGAGTGTGGACATGCTGCACAGTATTTGCAATGAACTTGGTGTGGACGTCTCTGATATAACACAGAGACGAAAGAATCCGTTTATTAGTCGTCTTTCAAAGCTTGTAGGCGAGTGCGGCTGTACCTCATAAGCAGATTAATAAACTGTTTTCTGTTGACTAATTATGCCTTGCGCATAATTGTACACAAGATAACATCATTTATTTTCTTTCGAAAAAATCGTTTCATTGATTGTTATCTTTTTTTAAAAGTGTGTTCAGTGAAGAGGTAGATACACTAATGGTATGGCGACCACCTCAAGGCTGCCACCGAATTAAACCAGCCAACCAGTCACGTAATGTAAGCTAATTACAGTTGTATATCCATTCAAAGTTTTAGGGCTAAAAAGTTTGAAATTGTCTCCGCAAGAAGCCAAGAAAAATTCAAAGTAACAAAGCTTGACGTACAAGATTGATCAAAGATCTACTTAAATATAGTTTTGTGGGGAAATGGCCATATTGGAGTGATGCAACGACCGTAATTGTGCTATTAAACGTAAACATATAAAATGCTGATGTGACGTTTTCACTAGTGTACTGTGCAAACTGTGCACTTTGTGGGTGGTTGGGGAGAGAGAGTAGTATGGTTGTTAAATCCTTTCCCCCACCCCCGTTCCCTCCTTTTTAAATGTCGTAAAAATGACAGTGCACATTATTTATTCTTCGGTGCCCTCTTTGGAAAATTCTTAGTATTTTTCATCGAATATTGTCAAAATTAAACTTTATTTTCTCTATCAATGACAGACTGTAGTGTTGTTTGACAAGCGCAATCAATAAAACATGCAAGTCGTAAAACTCATAGTGTTTTTAATAGTCGCATTGGACAACAGAATGAAGAGGATACAAAACTCATTGGAGACAGTTCCTGCTTGGTAGTACATTTTTTAGTTGTTATTTACCTGAGCCCATAGGGACGAGCTATTTTGAAAGGTCAAATATCTTCATGGATTGGAAAAAATATATTCCTATTCCAGTGCGGCTACTTTTCACAGCTCTTGCTGAGTGACCCGAAACAACTTCCTGTATGGTGCAAAAATTAATACTTTTGAACATGATGTATTACTCAGTAAGTGACACAGGCATAATCGGAAAAAAAATCCGAGTGCTTCATGGGACAAACATCCTGCATACTGCTAGGATTGGAATGTCATGTGTGGCATACGCGCAATGGAATAAATGTGATGGAATATTTTTAAGCCTGGTGAATAAATGAGAATGATGTATTATTCAGTAAGTGACACAGGCGTACTCTGAAAAAAAGAAATCCGAGTGCTCTCGGCCATCAGGAGTCGAAACTATCGACATCGTGTCAGGTTATGCCTAAGTGACACGATGAGACGGTACGGGTAGTCATCTCCAATAAACTCGTTGGCTTTTAAAAACACGCAATCTTGCTAAAATCAATTCTGGTTCAAGTCCGGAGAGTTTTTTAGGACTGCGTGCGATGTTTTATATCCTTGTTACACAGCGTGAGCAGTGTGACGAAAGCTGAGTAAGGGTAGAAATTAGCCATTGGAAGTTACTTAGCAAGTGCGTTCGTCTGCGCCGCAAATCCCACCGACAATATTCAAGAACGAGCAAGACGTCGTTGTTATGTATGTCTATTAACTTCGCCAACAACATACTCTGGTTATATGGTTAAGTAGATTTGTTTATTTAGAGAACGATGCAATATTTGCTTTTCGTGGAAACAGTTACTTCCGATTGGTTTTCGACGGCACAAAACTTCTCATACTAAATAAAATCAATTCTAATTGAGCTAGAATTACTATCAAGGTTTTCTTTTTTTTTCAGCAAGTTAACTGGGAAACCTGGCACATCTTTGAGTAAGATATTTTAAAAATACGACTTAAAATCAACGGATGTAAATATCTGTTTCTTACTGTACTAATTGTAAAGTCGCTCGTGCGTGACGCAGATTAGGGAGCGAGCCTTTGAGATTTAATTTCAGCTCGTGGTAATTTTGGTGTTTCATACTTTGTTTTGCCTGTGTAGACAATATTTAACATTAATATATATTTTTAAAATGCTTCAAACCGCTAAAAAAGCAATTTATGTACAAACTTTGGCCGAGGAGTTAATTTATTCAATAGATGCTGTGTTTTGTAGATTTCAAAGGCGCTGAATTAGAATTTTATCGAATTTTGATCGGCGTTCATGCAAAAGTGCTACTAGATCCTAAAGATTTAAAACCGTAGACCTAAAAATCAATGACTGAACTGTCTTTGGTTATAATATCAGAGGATTTGAAGAACTACCGGTCAGCTTTTTTCGTCGCTGAGTTTGGATTATTTTACACCTTCGCGTAAATGAGAAAAGTGTGTCTTCTTAATCGGGCCTCAGTTCGCTCACAAATAAGCAGAGATAAAAATAATTCCCATGGTTTGACTAAGGAAGAATCAATGTATTCAATTATACTTAAGAAAGATTCACAGCTATGTAAACGTCTGTGTAGCGAGAAGCTGAAAAGTGTAAAATTTCGAGTTTCCGCCAGGTGAAATCCGAGCTTCCGGTAGGGTGACCGTTTTTCGTGGTTTTCTGCCGTTATATGGAATATTTCAAAAAACTAACCTCATATCCTTCAGTTACTTACCTAGGCCTTCAAACTGACAAAGTATGAGCGCAATCGATTTTTTGACCGTGGCCACGTTTTTTGAATTTTCCTTGATTTTTACTGACATTTACTCATAAGTTTTGTGGACAAAGCTGCCACATGGGAGGAAATTGTGCAATTTTTACATCGTGTAGCACTTAAACTAAACTGGGGAACGGTGTGCATTTTGGGCCAAATAAACTTCAATTAATAAGTTTGCACTCATTTTCAGGAGAGGCCCCCGGTAAATTAAATTGCGCGTTGGTAGGTAGTGATTTACGGTGTTTCTCTTGATGTGCTATTCGAAGCCTCGGGCATGTTTTGTGCTATACTGGTTGATTTTACGATATCTGTCACCTTTTCAGGGATCGCAGTCCGTTTCCTCTCCGAGCAGCTCACTTTTCGGGATTTAGAGGAACATGGTATGTAATATGAAGACATTTTGATGCGTTTAAAACACTTAGGCTTGCGCTTGTTGTTGCATCCCTAATGTTTAGTTGGTAGACTACCAAGGTGACTTCGTAGTGGCGAGACTCTGATACATGTTGAGGTGGCTGTAATTCGAGACTAATGCCCATTTAACAACACTATGTAAATATCTTCCGTGGGCACACAGACTCGGAACTTCGGTAACAGTGAAGCTTTGAGGCCAAAACAGTGAATAAAGGAAAGAACCGGAGCCCTAATTGTGTAAAGGAAGATCTCAGTCAGTCCTGCAAAATGTTGTTTTCCCAATATGTTACGCTTAATGCCGCGACAGTTCGCTCAGGCAGTTGAGCTCAATTATTCAATCATTAACTATCATTTCACTTGGTCGCTCGATAAGTGGCCGTTTTGTGTTTTATAGGATAAACTACAACTCGATCGGCTTTTCCTCGTTGGAACTGGAACTGATCCATGAGAGATCGATTTCTTTTCAGTACGGAAAAAAAAGCGCATAATTATACATCCGAAATTTCGAACAAGATACCTAGCGTACGACAGCAACAATAAACAAGAAATACGCGATACTATCGAGTACAAATAAACCGCGCTTGCCGTGCGCTCTGCTTCAACTCACGCATGAATTGAGTCAAAAACTTTTAAAAAAGACTGGAGGCTCAGAGAGGGCGAAAGAGCCGGCAGAGGCCTTTCCGTTGGATTACATTTGTTCGTGACAAAAAATCAAAGTGGCACGCTGATAGAATTCTACCACCGTTAGACTCGTTTATCATTGAAATTCAAATTAGCGACACGTCAAGAGACCAGGACTTGCTTTAAACAAATACCATGTAAGGTCATTTTTTTGTATTGAGATTGTGTTTGTTACGTAACTCCACATGTCAGTGATTTGAAAATTGCACGCTTTTATTTCGCGTTCTCTGCAAATCCGGCTCCTTGTTTGTTTTCGCGTTCATTCTGCCTCGTTGCTTTTTGTGTTTCATTTTCCACGTCGTTGCAGTGTTGAGCTTCATTTCCCGCGTCATTGCAATGGTAAGTTTCGTTTCCCATCTCGGCGTACTTATCGTTCAGTATTTTCCCTTTTCCTTTGAGTGCTTGTGTAAAGTGTTTCACACTTTCTCAGTGAGTTAAGTATAATGCTTCAAAATAAAAGAAAACCCTTCGTGCTTCGTATCTCGATGAAACATACTAACACAACCAATTTTGTTAAATTCATTCCTCAATGATAATGAAAATAACTTTCAAGTTCTGAGATTATGCTGGCAATTCATGTTCGCAGTTTAGGCTCGCACTTCAGGATCGCAGTTCATGTCCAAAGTCAGAACCTCGGTTCAGTCTCTCAATTTCAGGGTCTTTAACGGCTGACATTTGTTCGAAAAATTTATTTCCATGAGTTAAAGCCAATATTGAGTTTTTTCTGTGCTTAATATCAATAATGGACACTGTTCAGATCTATTCGATCTTTCTCTGACGAAAGGAAATGGCCGTATTCAATGAATTGCTGCTAATCGAATACTCGTGATTGTGCAAAGGCTTCCGAGATCTGGGATTAAGAAATCTGTCTCGTTCGACTGTTAAGTAAGTATCTCGCGCACTTTAAGGATTATCTTTCACTGAATTGTTGCGTTAGTACCTAGAGCACTTTCTTTCGTTCGATTGATAAGTCAGTTACTCGCGCACTTTTAGGATTATTGTTTAATTGATTGTTAGATTGGTGTTTTGCATACTTCAAAAGTTAAGTCTAACTTAGAATCTTATGCACCTCTTGGATTCTGAGTTATTGGATAAATGCGTTAGCATCTCGCGCACTTTTAGGATTCTCTTTCATTGAATTGTTACTTTAGTACCTGGTCCACTTTCTTTCGTTCGATTGATACGTCAGTTACTCGGGTCCTTTTAGGATATTCGTTTAATTTATTGTGAGGTCACTGTTTTTAACACTTTCAGGATCATCCCTAATTCAAAAGTTACATTAGTGTATCGCGCACTTTTCGAATTCTCCTTCATTTGATTGTTACGTTAGTATTCCGCGCACTTTAAGAATTCTTTTATTGGGTTATTAGGTCAGTATCCTTCGCACTTTTAGGATTCTCTTTCATTTAATTTAAACGTTAGTATCTTGCCTACTTTTGGGATTATACTTCATTGGATTGTTACGTTAGTATCTCGCGCTCTTTAAAGATTGTGTATCATTTGAATGTTGCGCTATTATCTTGTGTACTTGTAGGATTCTCTTCCATTTACTTGTTACGTTAGTGTAACAAGTAAATGGAAGTTCGTGCACTTTTTCACTTTTCAGTTTTGCCCACTTTCAGGATACTCTTCTGTCAAAAATTGCGTTATTGTCTCCCACAATTTCAGCATTTTCTTAGATTGGATTACTACGTTAGTACCTCACACACTTTTAGGCTTCTCTTTTCATCGATTATCATGATGGTTTCTTGTGCACTTTTCAGGTTCTCTTTCCTTCGATTGCATACATTAGTATCTTGGACACTCCTAGGATTTTCTTTTTCGGATTGTTGCGTTAGTACCTCGCGCGCACTAAGGAAATCTTTTTCGTTTTATTAATACGTAAGTTACTCACTTTTTTTGGATTACTGAATTTTACAAAAATTCAACATTCTTCCTCATTCAAAAGTTACGTTTAATATAGTATCTTATGCAATTTTAGGATTTGATTTAGGATTTGATGACCTTCAACAAAATGGTATTGAGGTGGACGGAATACACTACAAAGTGATATGGTAAATAAATTATTTAATGTCAAAAAACAAATTGTTTCTTTAATGAATTGCTAGAGATTATGTAAATATTCTAGCTACGAACATAACTTATATGTCTGAGTAGATAATAGGTGCACTGTGAATTAGAATCCATTCAACTTGAAACAGGAAATGGTTTACTCAATGAGGCATTTTTCATTTTATTTTCCTAAGGTACTGCTGCTCAGACTGGAAATTTCTCGCCATGGCCTATGGACTAAATGCTGCCACTGGAAAATATTTTTGCATGTGGTGCTACTGCACAAAAGGAAAAATTTGTGATTTCTCAAGTAAGTCTGCATCTAATATACTCGATTGTTTTAAAAGATAAATTTTGTAAGCAATATTTTGTCCAACTACCATCTCACACACTAACATTGCCATGATAAATAGACATGTTTCGGATACAGGGTATCCATCATCAGTTTGAGGATGTTTACAAGTTAGAAAACATAAATATGACAGGTGATAGAATATGGCATTACTTAAAAGTGTGCCTATAAATACAAAATGCAATGTTTATTTGGCATTTTCCTGATCAACATTCTGTTTTGTAATTTTCTTTTAGTACAAGACTGGCCAATTGAGAGGAATCTTCAGCAATGTATGAAGAACAGTGCAGAAAAAAACCACTGATGGAAGGGAAGGCTCAATTCATGAGTCATTAACCTCAATTCCATTCACACAAGTTATTGTCGACACTCTTCATATTTTTCTTAGGATCATGGGGCTTCTCTTCCACCAAGTAAATACACATTGGAACATTAATGCTAATGACTTAATTGAGTAAGGTCCTCGGCACTCACGAGAAAATTACTCAGAAGACCTTCATCTCTGGTGAATCGTCAGATTTGTCTTAGACGTTTTTAAGATTATTTTATGGACAATAGAGTAGTAGTAGTAGAGAAAAGGCCATACAGTTAACATTAAACTGCATAAAACCAAACAAAACCTAAAACAAGCAAAAAACCAGTTACGTATACTGTATCTCTAAATCTGCATTACAGGTAAACGAGTTTGTAATCAACAAAAAGAGGATGGATATTCTAGAGAAGGAGCTAGAAAACATTGGTGTCCCATTTAAGTTTTTCCAAGTACAGTATGAGGATGGGTCACCTCAAACACAGTGGACTAGACTGGATGGTAGGAATGCTCATTGCTAAGTTATCAGTTGTCTCTATATACACAAATAAAGTTTAACTTAACTTCAAGATTTTCATGTATTGGAGTTATTTGCATTACTTTACGTATCACAGTGCAATGGCAAGCAATAACTAATACTGATAACAATGAAGATAATAATAATAACATCAATATATTATCTCAGGAAAAGACCTCCGAGCAATCCTAAACAAACTGAATCATAAACCAATCTTTGAGGGGACAAGTCATCAAAGAAGGACAAACAGAGAAGTGAAGAAATTATGGAAGGTAAACATTTTCTTGTGTTAATCTGGTCACTCAGATCCTTGAGTTAAATTTTAGTCAATATCTAAGGGACATGACTACAATAAATTATATTAAAATATACTCATCTGCATACTCGCTATCTTTATTGATAAAATAGGGTTTCAGTGATCTGGTGGAAGTACAGGACTCAGAACCAGGCCAAGAAAGCTACAAAACACCGGAACAGTTCAAGGACCATGCAAGGAAATGGGCAAGATTCTTTTGAGAGGTACACCATGACGAGGTAACTGTGTTCTTTGCAAGTATTGCTTATATTGAGATAAAATAAAAACGTAGAGTTGAAATTCTTGGCAATATAATTCAACATTGGTCTTTTCCCAGCATAGACAATTAAAGGAAACCCAGCCAAAAATCCATCGAACTCAGTGGAATCCAATCGTTAGATTGCTGTTCAATCAAACATAATCGAACTGGAGCTTTTCAGTGAGTTCAATAATTTTATTATTGAACTCAAACACGCCTATCAAACTAAATCAATGTGATTAGTCCGGGTCTTTTCCTTGGCCATGATTTGAGAAAGTGAACTCCTTAAGTTAATCTATGATATAATAACACTGAAACCACTAAATTGAAAAAAAAGGTACTTATCATTATTATTTTTCTCCAAATTTTTCCTTTTAGGATCTGACTCCATACATACATGGTAAGATCAATTTCTCTGTTGTGGTAATTTCAATGATTTCCAATCCTAACAGTAATTATAAAAGAACTTATTAAACCCTGATTTGTTTTGCTCCAGCTCTAGTCTATCACGTCCCTCAGTTCCTCGAGAAAAGTGGAGGGCTTTCCATTTTCAATTGTCAGCCAGTGGAAAAAAAACCACCAACAATCAAGAATGTTCCACCAAGGAACACAGAAGAAATCCAGCTGCACAAAGCAAGTTATGGAAAAAGAAAACAGGAAAATTTATGCCAGAGTAAACAATCTCTACAGAACAAAGAGAACATATGAGAGAAATGCACATACAGAGGAGGATCTTGGAGATCCGCACCTGTACACCCACCAGAATCTGGAGGAGGGCTAAGTTTCAAGTTTTTCAGTCTAAATAAAACAAAATTGCTGATATCTGACATATTTTGTGAATAATATATATATATGAAATAAACTAGATATGAACTGAAGAAATGAAACTAACACCATTTCTGATTTTTTAAACCAGATATTTGAAGCATGCATGTTTCAGCTGCCATGCTTGCATTGACAATGGTATAAGTTTAAATCTTCATGAATTTAGGCTGATTTAGGAATTGAGCTTAAGATTGTAAGTTGTTACTTTCCAAAATGTGCCAAAAACAAGCAAAAGGGAGGCTATGCAAATATCAACATAACTTCAGCCATACCTGAATTCAGTTAAACAAAATTCATTTATGAAACTTACCCCAGCTCGGACCTTTCAGCTCCAACGAGTTTTGCCACAAAGCCAGGTTGCCATTTTGATTACATAACAAAAGAGAGAGTCTAGGATCTAGGGATCTAGGGATCCGCGTGAAAGGGCGTGTTACTTGTGAAGAACAGGAGACTAATTTCCAGTGGGGCTGCCAAAAACTGTAGAAAATGTTTAGCGATGTTTAGGGCAGCCAGTACCAGCCCAGAACGAGCTAAATCTCTATTAAGTAACGACAAGTTGAGCGATGTTAAATTTGTGGTTCCCTTGTCCCTGCATGGGGGTACAACTGATATGTCCAAGATGGTAATTCCCGCGCATAGGTTTTTGTTGGCGATTGCAGGCCCGGTTTTCTACGTGATGTTTTGTGGCATATTGGCAGAGAGAAATGATTATATAGATCACCTTGATTGTGACTATCAAGGGATGATGGAGTTCCTGTGATACATTTACACCAAGGAAGTTAGCTTCAATTTTGCAGTTACTCTATTTGGAAGAGAAATACATGATTCTCTCGCTGACCAACCGCTGCATTTTATTCTTGCACGAGCATCTGGATTCAAGTAACATCTTTTGTGTCTTGAAACACTCCAAGTTAATTGAAAATAAGTCTGTCTGGCGTTCTTGTTGGAAATTTACAGAAAAAGAAGCCAAAGATGTTTTGGAATCAAGCGTGTTCTTTGAAATGGACCGATCAGACTTGATTGAATTGGTAAAAAGGAACACAATGAACATCGAGGAAATTGAATTGTTCACTGCCATCAATAAGTGGGCGGCAAACCAATGTAAAAAGCTAAGGCTTGACGCTACAATGGAATGCAGTCAGATCCTTGGAGATGACATCATAGACAACTTGAGGTTTCCAGTTATGGAAGAAAACAAATTTAATGTTGTTAAAAGCACCAATCTGTTAATCAAGGTAGAAACACAGGAGGTTTTGAACAACTTCACTGACAGCAGATGGCCAATTTGGTTTTTGCGACACGAGAGGCAATATGACCCTTCATCTCAAAGAACTCTTTATCACAGGGGGCAGATATGGGATATCTTTGATTAAACCATGCCTACTCGACAAAACCCACTCAGCAGCACGTTTCTCCTATGAATTTGTTTTTGTTTATGTTGTAATAATCGTATTAATACGCTTTACGTGTGCTTAAGAGGAGGACAGATGGAAAGAACAGCAGGAAAGAACAATTTTCAAATGAGACACATTTTGGAATGGTGATGTGTTGGTAGATTTTTTTTAGAGAACTGAGATCTGCGAAGAATTTTATCATAAAGAAGTACAAAGCTATTTATCATACAGACACTTTTTCTTACTTTCAACTTGAGCCTTCACTGATCTTTTAAATTAATAGTAATACTGGGATTGTTGGACAATATCTTGGAATATTTATTGATACTTGCAACTGCAACCTTTACTGATATTGTAAATTAATATTGATGATAAAATTATTAGGCATTATCTTGGAGAACTGTACTTAACTTCTTGATCTTTAAAATACAAAAAAAACAGAAATTAGTTTTATCAATATGTTACTTTGTAGTAGTTTTCCCTCAATACCTGAACTTCAATAATATTAACAGAGAGAAAAGGAAAAATGGGCGTAAAGGAAACTTTGGATTGAGAACTCTATCAATATCAATAATATTTATACCATGCTGTGCCCAAGAAAGGAAATTCCCTTTCTTTCTCATTATTACCTGCGAAAAGTCATGTGGCTTCACACCTCTTTACAAATAAATGCTTTGCAGATCATAGTTATTTTTAAAAAAGTCTGCTAAAGTGATTGAGCAGTCCAATCACCAGTTCGGAGAAAATTTAGTGTGACAAGGATTTAGAAATGCTGTTGTCTGATGGAGTTGTCAACCCTTCTGCTTTTTCACACCTATTGTCAGGGGCACACATGCAAAACATATGTTAAAAAAAATAATTGTCAAGTAATGGTATTTATGTAGATTTTCTTTTGCCACTTTTTCATCTGTCTTTTGTTTCAGAAGCTGTCTAAGCTTGAGCAGGTGAAGACATCACTTTAAGTATGACAATCTGATCAGAAAGAAAGGTAGCTTTAACATGGCTTTACACCTCCTTAGAAAAACTCCTAAGCTGTGCCTCGTTTACTACAGTATTGATAACACAACCTCTATTGTTGAAACCAAAAAACTGAGGCTACAAGACTGCAGATAGTGTTTTTGAATAGGAGACCAGGTAACTGTTAAATGCAGTAGTAAACTCCTAGATGCCATGGTGCTTGCTGCAGATGGTAAGTAATTTTCCATTCTTTGTCTTCACCTTTGTTAAAATTATTTAATAGATAATCACATCTCCAACTTTGCTTCGCCCCATGAACTTATTTACTTTAAGCTATTGTAGATTTCAAAGAAAACCTAAGCAGGGAGAAATCTTTTGTCAAGAGTCCTGCGAATGCCACCTGTTTCTGATGGACCACAAGAGTGAAAGTGGAAAAGGTCATCCAGACCAAAGCAAGAAAAGAGCTAACACAGCAAAGAATGAGAAAGAGGTAAGTTGCCAGAATTTTCCTGTAGCATTCATGTGAATACTATAAGAACAACCCCTTTCCTTAGTGAAACCTTACCCATTTCAACTGAGTAGGAACCTCACCATGAGTTTTCGTATCCTTTGCATAGGTTAAGATGCTACACACATACCTAGCAGAGCAAGAAGAACAACAGGTCCGTCTTAAACAGCAGCAAGAGCAGAAAAACCTTCAAGACCTGCCTAAAGCTAAGACAAGAGATGCCAGCATTCAGTCTGTGCCTGTACATGTACAGGGGGAGTCAGCAGATGCTGCCATTTGGACAGTTTCCAATGGCAATGCCATGCAACAATTCAAGGAGCAGGTGCTGAACCTAGAAAATATTGTGTCAGAATTAATGTCCTACAAGTCTCAGACACAGGCTGATGCAGGGTTCTCCTTATCAGGTGGTAACCCATAAAATTTACTGCTTGTAAGAGCACTTAGTATTGCCTGCAAATGCCCAGAAGCCGTAGAAAAATATGCATTTATGGTAAGCTAATCTGGTAAGAAATATTCAAATGCATATGACAAGATTACAAACAAAATAAAAAGGCTAAAAAGTTAAAATTACAATGAAGAGTAAACTTACAATAATTTTAAAAGATAAAATTACAATTAAAAGGTAACTCACAATGATAAAAACTATGATAACAATGCATGATGGAAGAGGTGAGTTTTTAGCTTGGCTTTAAGAATACTAACTGTGCTGGTGCTTGTTATGTTCAATGGTAACGCATTCCACAGGTTAGGTGCAGCACAGGTAAAAGAACGATCACGTAGTGTAGCTTTAGATTTAAAACGCAGATAACTAAGTAAAAGGTTATCGCTAGAATTCCTTAGATTATATTTAGATGGGAGCCTAAGAGAAATGAGAGATGATAGATAAGTAGGCGCTAAAAAGTTAAGAATCTTAAAAGTAATTAAAAGTGTTTTAAAATCAATTCTATATTTAATCGGCAACTAATGTAATTTATAAATAAGAGGTGTTACAGGACAAAGTATGTCATCTTTTTCAAACCTGTAAAGGAAACCCTATGTTAGGTGGTTAGTGACTCACCCCAGTCTTCACTAGTTGAGTCAAGTTCAAAAAAGTTTGCTGTGCAGAATCTGTGGGACTCTTGTTTGGAGCTTAAACAACAACAACACTCAATCTGGTACATGCATGCTTTGCAGGACACTTGCGAGTGTTTTTGACAAAAGAAGCTTGGTCAGACCATGCTTACAACCCTTTTATTTTGTAATTGTCTTTGAAAAAATCTTAAGTGCTCTATTTCAAATTTCATTAGGAATCATCATTTGAGGATGATTGTGTGCATCTTGGTTAGACATACAGCATATTGATTTTTGTGAGTACAATTACATCTTACACCTTAGCTAAAGTATTCAGTTTTCAATGGATTCGTGCTGAGGGGGGACTTAAATTTGTTCATTCAGCTTTGTGGCTTGGAAGTCTGAACACCATGCATAATGCAATTATTGAGACTTCTCTTTATGGGTAGTTTTCAAATCTATTGCTGAATATAACTGATATCAATCTCTTTTTAACATTTAAAAAGTGACAGTTGATTAAGAACCTGTTTTCTTTCTTTTCTGTAAAGAACTGGAGAGAAACCTGTACTGCTAACAAAAAAAGATAAAAGCATTGAAGAAATTAGTCCTCTCTGCAGTACAGAAAACATTAAAAATTGCCAGGGTCAAGGATGCAGATTTTGATGCTTAGAATGTGCATCTAAATTCTGTTCTTGTCTAGATGATGAGGAAGCAGTGCCTCTATTCATGTGACTCTGAAGATGAAGAGTTTAACATTGAACTTGATGGACGCCCACTTGGAGGTGTGTTCTCATTTTAGTACATTTTTAGGGGGTGGTTAGTCTTGAGTACGAAAGTATAATCCCTGCCAGATTAAGTAGAGGTGTCTGAATTTGTTTATTTCAGTCAAAGACCAAGAAGTTGAAGGCCTGACACTTATTGATTTTAACAACAAAAGCTCTGAGAGTGCAATGTCCATTTACCCCCTTGCGATTGGGAACTGTAAAGAGAAAAGGTTAGTGGTGATTTAAGTAAATCAGATAAAATGATCGGTGAACAAAAATTATAGCAACTAATTTTACAATGATCATTTATAATCATTTACAAGAATAATTTAGAAGATGTGTATTAGATCACATGCTGATGCCTACAGACAATAATCCATGTTACTGGTTTAAAAAGAGAAGACTTTGAATAATTTTAAAGGATCTTCAAAATAAATAAGATCTCTGTCATAAACATCTATAGATGTCAGTCACTGTGTGCTATGTCACAGATTCTAAGTAATCAGTTACTTATTGTACACTTTGGTCTTGTTGACAAAAAAAGATACTGAGTCAAAAAAAAGAAATGTTTGCCCATGCTCAGGCTTCACAAAACACCAATGCTGCTCAAAAGAAAGATGCCTTAATTGCAGACTAAAACACCACACATCAATTTATGAGCCTAGCAAACCAAGTCAAGATTCAAGCAAAGTGACCAAAAAACAAAAAAACTAAACACAACACAACTGAGATGTTAGGCCTGCATCAACAGCCCTGGCGACTACAGCTACCATGCGCACAAACACACTACTGAAAACTGCTATTGTTACAGAAAGTGGCCCAACAAAGTGATGTCAAGTATGCATCCTCATTGATACAGGTTCACAGGAAATATTTATTGCACAAGACTTGAGAAACAAACTGCAACTAAAACCCATTTAGAATGAGACACTAGACATAATCAACTTTGAAAAGACCTCTGAACTGTTTCACCCTTTAGGATTCTTGGAATCAGTGACGGCAAAAGCCAAGATAATGATGCAGAATTTGTGGGAAACCAACATTGCATGGGATAACAATATTCCACAAAATCACTGGGAAAACTGGATCAAATGGCTACATTGAATTGAAATTGAATCTTTATTAAGTCATAAGATAAATAATCACATATCCTATGTTACAACATTAAAAGAAGGTATATATATAAATTACAGAGAAAATCAAGATAAAAATTATAAGACTAGATTATGTTTAAAAATTAAGCGATTAACAAACGTGTTTTTGAACCTATCAGTGTTTATTTTAGGATGGTGACTTGTCTCTTTCCTCAGATTGTACTTGGTTAATTTCTTTTTTGGCATTATAGCTCTTAAAGGGTGTATTGTATTATTAAAAACATTCTTGAAGATACGCGTGTCCTGTTGAACTAACAATTCATAAACATTAATGTGATCGGATGT